ACCAGTCGAACCAGCGTCCAAAAGACTACAACATATGGGCCAATCGCGGTCATCCGTGCTTTTATAAGAACGAAATGGCGCTTTTAGTGACATTTTGCATACAAATCCCCATCTAGTAGGGCGCAGTCACCCAGTTTCGGTGGAAGTGCGCGAGTTCGATTGGGATTCAAGTAGGAAGAGAGCGTCGCAGCTTCCTCGGACCAAGACCATTCGACTCATCACCCAAAAGACTACAATTGGTGAAAATTTGATTTTAGGGTATACTTCCCCTTTAAATCGCTGTTGCACAGGATCTCAGGTGCGAAGAAGCGATGAATCGATACATGGCATTGTGAATAAAAGAAGAACAAATTCACAGTGCACGTGAGACTCGGTTAGAAAGACTGCGTTTCCGCGTTCGTAAGAACGCCACACGTACACCCCGGGGATCATGATAAAGAAAATATGTCGTGAAAATGACTGAAAAAAATGAAAATATTTTTCTGTATTTGTGTGGAAAATCACTCCTTGTTCGCACTACAGAATTTGGGCAAATGGTACAGAAAATCGAAGAGGATCAATCAGCTGTGTAGAAGCATTGCAAGTGTAAGCTGAGCGATGAATAGTCTTGTACCAAAGTGAGTGCATGCCGTACCACGACAACATGTACATGTAGCACAAAAAATAATGTCGTGAGTGCAAGTCACACATGTTTTACACTACCAAATGCAGCCTACGACATGCATGTGCGTGTCAAAAAACTTTATAGTGCAAGTATGCATGCAATGTACACGGCAGTACGCAAAACACTGCAAGATACGGAAAATCAGAAGTCTGAGTACGCAAAACAGACTCAATTGGTGGGCAGCTCTGTACTGGCCTGTACGGAGGGAGTGAATCTCAATGTGTGCAATGCATGGACTTCGGCCGACAGTGAAAACTATGCAAGTCGTGTAGGTTTGCAGGATGAACGTGAGTCCTTTTAGACAAGCGCCTTAGTGAAGTAGCCCACCGAAAGAAGAGTACTTGACACCGCAAAGTTGAGTCTGCGCATACAACAGTGAGGGGGTAAAATTAGCTATGACTGATTCTGCATGTGTGTCACATTACACTAGCAGATAGGCACACGTGTTGTTCCAAAAAGATGCTTACGTCAGTGTCTGAATATGTCATGTACCAGGTAATATTGTTGCCAGGATCTCACGGTGAGAGTCAGACTTGGATATGGTATCAATTAGGGGTGAAACGATTACACTTTTCAACTATCGGTTAACCTACCCTTGTATCGATTCGATTATCGATTATGATTATTGATTACTGCGTCCTAGAAATTGTCGCGCCAGACCAGCACAAAGCATGCCGTGTTGAAATATACACATATACATGTACATACACACGTGCAGATAAACCCGCGTACTCTACGCAATGCAGTGGCACATCACGTGCAGGTGCAGACAGTCAGTTTTTTATTTATTTTTTTTCACAGCCCTACTGGAAAACATATGGACAACAAAAAGAAACGAGGAAAAGGACAAAGTACAGTATCTAGTAGTGCTGTACATGACATCTTTTGATTCTTGCAGACGTTTCTTTTTTTTAGAATCGCGTAATCGAAACAGACAGCGTAATCGAAATCGTTTCCTTGTAATGATCGATTAGACGGATAACCGATATAATCGTTTCAGCCCTAGTATCAATAGATTATCAATATCATACATCACCACCCAAATTATAATAGCCGAAGGGCGTTTGTGTGGTGGTGTATGATTTCGTGAGCAAGATGAAGTGGCTACAGATGTGTTTTATATAACACCCTAAGAAAAGATCATCAATACTGGGGAAAGTGATTCTGGTAGCATGTTGTATCCAGTGTGGCATGACAGAGACTCCCTCGATTTAGGCTAAGGCCTGTGGAGAATCCATGAATCAATGAATACAATACATACAGGCATCGCAACCTTCGGATTATATGCACTTTTGCTTGCCTCCTGGAGTGTGGTTGTACCTTGGTTCAGTAGACTTTGTTTTTCGAATTCGTTTCTATAACATTAGGTTTCTTTGTGTTGCTGCTATGTCTTTTCATGTGTTTTACAGGATTGCCATCTGTTGATGAATACCTCTCTGAAGCACTCTCACGAGCGAAGGTGTTTGAGAATCCATGTCGGAATGATGGTCGTGTTGGCCTAAAGGTGCATTACATTGCCGATGCTCGCCACCTCCACCCTGGAACATGTTCAATTTCTGTTTCTCGTATGGAAGGACCGAACAGGTTGTTTTCCTGCCTCAGTGGACCACTCACGACTGAACAGCACTGATGGAAGAAGATTTGCCGTGAATCTCGTTCACATAATCAGCCTGTTTAATTGCTGTACTGAGGTGACTGCTTCATAACAATGACCATGCAGCATTAATTTTTGCATAGTACTTTAGCGCCCCTAAAATTGGAGAATATCGAATTTCTCTGCTAGCATTGTGATTCTTTTGTGAATAAACATCACTACTCTTTTTGAGTAGCATAGCAATGACAGAGTTGGTTTGATGTATGACAAAAATGGAGCTGCTTTTTAAACCTGTACTGTATAATCAGTACCGCCTGAAGCAGTTTTTGATCGGTCTGGTAGTTTCATGGCCTTTTATACTTTGTGTGTGATATGGCGGGTACACACGTCCTCCACAGCAGGAAACATGTGTTGGTGGCCAACAAGTTGGTCCGGTGATAACCCGACCAACCAGACCGGTTCCGGTGGGCCTGATAATTGTGGGGTTCATGAGCAGCTCAAGTACTTAGCATGGTTTTGGACATGTCCTCAGTTGAAACCGACTTCACCCAAGCGTTCTCTGAGGGGACCGAGGTCTACTCTATCAGTTCATGTATTCTGTGAAGTGACATGACCATTCGTGGGGACCTTGCTCATAACTGCAAAAGTCCTTGTCTGATTTTTCCGCATCAATTGAACGTTGTACATGTGCATGTAGTGAAAGCCACATGCAAAAGGCTGTTCCATGGCACCATGCCACCAAGCTCTGGGTTCATTGGCTGAAAATATTCTTCGGCACAGTAAAGTCGTGCGCCCAAGAGCGTGGAAGCCTAGAACATCCAGCCTGGAATACTAAGAACACCACAACCCAAATTTAAGAATTGTGGTGCTGTTGTAAAACACGGGGATTGTTATTGATTGTCATGTTGTACATGTATTTGAGCTTTACCACTACATACACGTCTGTCTATATACAATACTCAATCTGCGGACAGCATGCTGTTTCGCTCATCAATGCAGCACAGAGAAAATGAGGCAGATGAATGTCCTGCTAGAGAGCATCGAATATAGGTATAGAATCATGCCTTGCAGATCTCGTTACGGCCCCTTCGATGCATGCATGTTTGAACATTAGATGGCTGTGTAGCTTCAGTTATCTCAGAATATTTATTTATCCAGCAGCAACAACGTTGGGCACCGATTAACTGACACACAACTATTCACTATAATGAGTATGCGTTGGAACACTTTACCCCGAGTCATACTATAGCAGTGAATGCCATGCATGGGTTTACCTCACAAACTGAATTTCATAATTTGACATCCAAATCACAGAAGAGTGAGTGGTGTTCCAAACTCACTCCATGTCCTGCGAGCTCCAGTAGAATACTTTAATAGAATACTTCTTATAGCACGTTCTTAGAAACAAAATTAATCGTATAGGTTTGAGGCTGTCAACCCAGAAATTTGTGATTTCACAGCCATAGATGTTACCAGTCAGGTCACTGTATACAGTAGTATGCAGAAGAAAATAATAGTAACTCTTTGTGGAAGAGCTGTGCCAAAATGTGTACAGTACAGTAAATTAATAAAAAGTGAGAAAAGCAGTGACAAGGCTGTGCATGATGTAGATCCACCAGTAAGTACAGTGTACCAGTGAAACTGTTGGTGTAGTACCGGTATACCACTATAATGATGGCATGGCCCATGCCACTACAATCTATTTGCAGTGGGCCGCAGTAGGCCAGTGCAACAGAAAGCAATTCAGTAGCTGTGTGCAATGTGAACTTGCATCTATGACATGCAAGTAAACTGCCATACAGCACAATCGATTACTCTCAGCCCACATAAGTACAATATAGGCCAATCAGTAGTATCAAGAGTTCATAACCCCCAAGAGTGTGCAACGGGCATAGACCCAGCGCTCGGCGAAATTCCTACATTACGTCATGCGCAGCTTGTCATCCGAGGTAAATTTGGGTTCTTTGCGATTTCTGGAAACTATACCCTGAACCGCCCCTAACTCAAGTGTAGCCTCGACTTTTCGAAGCTTTTTTTGAAGACATTTCGGACGTACAAGTCGTACTTTCTCAAAAACAAACTCTTTCTCCAAGAATCCATGGACATCGCGACAGGAAGAAGTGAGGAAGCTGTTAAAAATATTGCATTGCCGTTGAGGACAATCATTCTGATAGCTGTGTAACTCAGCCGAAAAATGCTCCTTCGACGTATTCTCAAGTTCCTCAACCATTTGAAATTATCTTCCAGGAAAGCACCAGGAATATGCCGATGGCCTGGGGAAGAAATTGTTCTTGAAGAGACTGACTGCACTGGTGAAAGAAGAAGGCGATGAAGAGTCACCCTTGCATCGAAAAAATAGTTTTGTCTTTCGTGTGCATACTTTGTTTCACTTTTGCTTCTTGACTCGAGGCTCAGACTAGAATCGCAGTTTAGGCAGTTTACCCTGGGGAAGCATCCTGGTTTGACTGTAAATTTTAGAAGAATTCATCGGCGTGACTCATCGCACTGCACCAAAAATGACGCAATGAAGGAATTCCGCCGAGCGGGCTTCCATACAGGGACTGATCAGGAGTTGCACACTCTTGGGGGTTATGAACTCTTGGTAGTATAGATACATAGAGCACACTCTGCATCATACATAGTCAGCACCAAATCTATATTGTCGATGTACTTTGCAATGATGAAATGATGGCAAGCGTGCTTGATTCATCATAATACTGCCTTGAACTTGGTTGGAAGTTAGTTGTAAGTTCAGTGGTCGAGGTAAGCAGAGCTGCTCCAGCTTTCAGAATCCTGCATGAAAAAGGCAGAAAGTAAACCATTGCCTTTGGGTTATCCGTCATAATAATAATAATAATAATAATAATAAATGTAGGTATAATAGTAGCAAGCTGACGTAAAGAGCCTGTCTTTCAATCCAATAATTCTATCCACTGCATGGACAGACCTGGTGCTTCATTCACCTCTGTTTCTTGCTTTCTCAGAAAACCTACTTCCTCCTTCTGCCATCTAGCTCATGACATACATTTTCTTTACACCTTTTCAGCCGTGGTCGACTTTCGCGCCTCCTGTTTGATTGGCAATTGCAGTCAACCTGGGGAATACTGACCCTCGATTGTGAATGAAAAAAGTGTCGCTATTGGTGTATTGTTGTTACTCGTGAGGTTGGAAGTATGCAATCAAATGGTCACTAGATCTGAAGAGTGTTATTTGCGAGTTGTTTTGTAAACCCGAGGTACATTATTCACAAGTTGGATTGTACATGCTATGGGATGTAGAATAACTAACCAAACAAGAATGGTGTGACAATGATTGAGTCCATTTCCAATTGGATGAACCTAGAGCGCATGATCCATTCCAGAAAGGCAACTTCAGTGAGTCTTGAATTGTCAGCAGCATCATACTTCCATTGAGCTTTTTTTCTTTTTCGAAACGACCCTCTCTTTTCAATTCGAACGAAGGTCAACATACGATTACGGCAGGCATCCATGCACTGATCTTCACTGTATACATGTGCATGTATACTGTACTGTAGTCTGTACAGTCAACTAGTCGTGGTCCACTTGGCTTCCATAGGTGCAACTTGGCTTACGGTAAGTGTCACTACAAGTGCATAGTAGCCCCCCCCCCCCCCCCCCTGGGAGTGCGTGTGAACAGGAACTGTGAACTGGTAAAAGAATTATTCGACACCTTCGTTCGTTTCGATGGAGAAGGTTCATTTGGCAAATTGAGGCCTTCGCTTCACCCCTAGCCCCAGGAGCGAAATTTTCACTCCTTGGCTGCCTGTTTGAGCCGTCCTTGTGGAAGGGTTGATTTATGCATGCCCGCATATAGACCTTATTCGATAAACGTCACGATCACGTGAACCGGGGACCAGGGAGCGGCAAGAGACCTGCACTCAGTGCACAGAAGACTCGTCGTGGGAACATAGGAACAGAAAAATACCGGTATTTTACTACTCCCTTGTACGAACTGGGCCTTTCTTGCCACTTGTTTCACGTACGCGTGCCCCAGCTTGCGACAAATCCCTGGAGGCGAGTCCAAAAATCACGTATGTATCTACATATACAATGTAACCGTAACTCTACCAATGTTGCGGACTATGACCCCCCCCCCCCCCGGCATACAGAAAGTTGCTATGTCCTGGCCCTCATACAGCATTGCGGAGGCACTGAATCACTTCTGCAAAAAGGACTAGCCGAAAGTGGCACAACAAATTTCTATTCCCAGAAAAGCGGTGTTCCAGCCGAGTTTATCTTCTAATTAAATGGTTTTCTCGGTTGGGATTTCATACCTGACAACCATCCCGACATCGAGGGCGGTAATAGGCACCCAAAAGAGCATTAGTTCCATGCCTCACCGCGAGCTACATTTGTATACATTTTCATGCCTAGGTATGTCATTCGATCTCAGGTTTGCAAAGGTTGGCAGGTATGGGATTTGTAGAGTGACCAGTTCTGACTATTGCCACCTGCTGCGCAGAAGTGTCATTCCTACATCCTGGCTGCAAACATACCCCCCCCCCCCCCCCCCCCCCACACACACACACACCACCACCAACAATGTTGGATCCTATTTACAGGACCTCACTCTATATGAAAGTGTAGCAGAGGCACTGCCAAAGTATAAAAACAACATTTGAAGTGCAAGCTCCATTGTGCATGCATGGAGGGCATGGGGAAGAGACTGAGAGGGTGAAAGTGAAGGAAATTTGTTCCGAAATCAAGAGAATCCGAGGAACCCTTGCTGCATTCTTCAGTTCGATAACGTCAGTGGGTGCATCTCAGATGTGTTGTGTGCCCAGACATACAAGTAGCACTAACCTGAGCATGAGAGCTGCTTGTCATCATCGTGGTCAGGAAAACGAAAGGACGAACGAAGAAGATTGCTGACCATAACGAACAACAGTGCATATCCAGACGACAGACGGCTTGCCAGAATCAGTCTGGTGCATCTTCAGGAATCTTCTTTCCTAATCGCATTCAGCAGTCAGCTTCGAGGTCAAGAGCGCGATGATATTTTCAGAAGGAATAATTTTCAATTTTTTTTAAATTTTGGGGAAGAAGCTTCCTTTCTAAAAAAAAAGCGTTCCTTGCTTTCACCAAGAGTACACCATTGTAATTGTACACCCGGGCCGCGCCGGGGGGTTATGTACTCTTGCTTTCACGCAAGATGCCTTGCGGGACATGTCGTCGACAGCACAGTGTCGGCAGATCCACGTTTGTAGGCTGCAGACCCGGCAGACGTTTTGATCAGCCCGGCCTGGTGGTGAGATTTTGCATTTTTGGACCCGGGAGTACTAAAAACTGCTCGCATCCCAGGTGCTCAGTTTCGCTCTACGGTCATTGTAGCCTCTATCCGATCGAGCAAGGCTTCCGGCCCTAGGCAGTGAGGTGCGCGGCCTGCGGTGCACCCATCAAAAATCACGATTAGTCTCGGCCAGGGAGTCGTAAAAGCTTTTACGACTCCCTGCCCTGGTCTCGGCCCATTTTACTACTCCCTGGTTGAAACCCTGTTTTTTTGCCGCGAGATTCAAAAGCCACGTGGCCACATGCGCTAATAGTTATTAATAGTAATAATAGCGCTTGTGACTCATTCATTATGTAAATACAACAAGTCTACATGACTTGTTACTTCTTCAAGCGTGCATAAACATCGTTTATGGACTCTTGCTTCAACTTGTTCAAGGCATTTTACTCCTGCTGTTGCATTCTTTTCTGTAGCTATCATCATGAGCTCGGGCCCAACTTGCCCAAGTCAACACATGTGCCCGGTGTGCAGGGAATTTATATACAAACCCGTGTCCCTGCCATGCCATCACAAAATTTGCGAATCTTGTTTTGACCTTATTGTGGAGAAGTCAAATGTCTCATGCCCAATATGCCGCGCACGCCTCTCCAATTGGGTGAGGCGAACTCCAAGACATCAGGTGGTGGACGTCTCGTACCACGAGTTCCTGTCCGCGAATTTCTCCGCGGAGTATGCCCGTCGGGAGAAGGATGAGTCAGGTGCGATGTAATTCCCACAATGTACTTGGGCCTTGGCAGTGTAATCAAGGGAAACATTTCATTTCCATTTCTTTAATTTTGCAGTTATGGTACAGGGTTCTAATAATAGGGAGGTTCTGCTATACGTGAAACGTAGAGAAATCACGTAGAGAGCAGGTGTCGGGGTTAGAGTCTACGGCTTTGCGTGTTTTGGCTCCAGATTTCTACGCGGAGATGAGGTTCTCTACGTTGTGGCACACGTGACACGTACACGCAGAGAAAATGCGTATGGATCTGCTGGGTATCGATCAACTACAGGCAGAAAACTGCCAAATATGGAAGGGGAAAGTCCCAGTACGCATTTCACGTGATTTCTCTACGTGAACGTAGAGCAGAACAGCTTTTCTTTACGTTGCGGGAACGCAAAGAGAATTCCCGGGCCTACGTGATTTCTCTGCGTTTCACGTATAGCAGAACCTCTCTAATATGAATAATATTCGCGGGATTCGCGTCGGCATCGCTTCTAGCCAGGTCAAAATAGTGTGTGTGTGTGTGGGGGGGGGGGGGGGGGGGGGCAGGGAAAACAGGTACCTCGTAACCCATTTTTCCCGTCTTGCAATGCGAAATGCAACGTACGGGGCGAACACCTGACTTCACCCCAGACAGATGTGCCTTTATGAACCCTCGAGTAGTACTGACTATCGACTGCATTTTCGTTGAATGGCATGAAAAAACACAAAAATCGGAAAATGAGTAGGGGGGGGGGGGGGGGGGGGGCTGCGCCCTTCCCCCTTAGGCTTTGGCTAGAACCCTGTGGCACCCTGTCTCCACAGGATACCGCGATTCCCCGGACGCGCAATTTTCCGCGTTATTGGCTTTCATTCGCGTTTTCGAGAGATTTTGCATAAAACCAGCTTCATACATGTCACGTGCCTATTGTCAGGTCGTTGCTAGTGTAGCGACCTCGCTGCATGACGTCAGCTCCCTCACCAGATATATACGCATGCGCATGAAACATTTCTTCCTCTTTGCTCTAAATAAACACCAACGATTAGACAAAGTTGCCCTCTCCACTGGAGTTGTATTTATTAGGCCCCAGGGTGGTATGTCCCGGGATTCATCTGTCTCCCCTGTGAACAGATACGACCTCTGCCATCTTGGGTGCCTAAATTGATGACCCCCGACGCTGCGCTCGCGGAGCATTCTTGTTTTTGACTTTCCGGATTTGGGAATTTGTGGTGCCTCTCGCCGCCCACCCACCCTCGGCACACCTGGAGCTGCTGCGGACTACGCCCTCCTGCCGTCGTCATGCTGTTTCCGCTAGTCAGCCTGCCAGCCATCACTGGTTTTCGCCGCAGTCCGTTCCTGCGTGCACCACATTCTGGCTGCCTGTCAATCACCGGCTGTTGACATTAAACTTGAGCCTCAACATCCGCACTTCACCGCCTGGATTCGGAGCTGCTGTGGAGCAACCACCCTCCGACCACCGTCCAGTGTGCGCCGGCTACAAGCTGGAGCTTGGCCCCCTCCCAACCGCAAAGCCTCCCCAATCGTGGAGCCAGTACTGCTGCATTTTGTACTGTACTGCTGTCATGCTGTCCTGTGCCCTGGATAGGCTGCCGACCACCCAGTCGCCGCCCTGCCATACATAGGCACACAGCTACATGGGCTGCTGTCCTGCAAGACTTCTGCGCCTGATCACTGCGTGTCTTTGCCTCTGCCCTCCCATACAGATTTTTCTTCTTCTTTTCTCTCTTTCTGCCTCTGACATGCTCTCCACCTCTGTCACGTTAATCCACCTCTGACATGTTAACCCGCTATGTCCCGGGATTCATCTGTCTCCCCCGTGAACAGATACGACCTCTGCCATCTTGGGTGCCTAAACTAGCATTTGGCCCATCAGAGCAGCACCGTATGCCCGGGCACGGCGTACCCATGCCCGTTAGGAATGACCCCAGGCGTACTACGTACGCTGGTGCTTTGCCAATTATGTACCAGGACATGCCTTTAGGGCAGTGACCTGGCACATAATTGGCAGTACTCCAGCACACATAGAACACATGGGACCATTCCTAAGGACACCACACGCACTCGTACACACCACACAAAAACGAAACTACTTACTGTAAGTCGTTAAAATTGCGGCCCATTCAAATTTCGGCCTCCCAGGGCTAAAACCCATTTCAGCCGCCTTAACATTTTCGGCCTGTACTGCTGCCGCCTGTATATGCTGTGACACTGAACCTGCGAAACAAAATTTTGGCTGCAACAAATTTTCGGCCAATTATGTCCAGGCCGAAAATACCGGAAAACAAGTATGGGCCAAATATTTGTTGACCTACAGTACGTGCAACGTCCAAAACAAATTATATTTTACCAGCAATGTCGACAAAGGAGAAGTAATTTATCATCATGTTGGTTTTTTGGATAGACTCGACTGTTACTACTCCCGAGAGAGTGGAGTAGTAGATCGGGGAGTCGTCAAATACTATAATATTATTTGACAACCATATTTGATGACTCCCTGGTATTTGACGATTCCCTAGAGCAGATCTACTGCCCAAATAGCGATTCTACAAATGCAACAAATTTCGTGATTTGGCCCAAATCTGCAATTTTCTGCAAATAATTCCGCGAATTCCTGGCAAGTTCCGCATCTTTCCGCCGCATTTTTCGTTGTTTTCTGCCGCAATTTCTTGCACAAGTTTTCGAGACTTTTTCCGCAAATTCCCGCAGGGACAGGTGAGGCCTCACACATGTGTGGTTTCAGGTGCTACGACTTGTGCGACTGGAGCTTGTGGGGATTTCACCTCCTTATAAGTTATAGGCCATTCAAACGACGTGCAGGCTCACTTTTATCGTACTTAGGCCAAGTTAGGGTGCATTTGGATGGTCCGATATAGAGCATGGCATGATGGAAGAGGTGGTGCACAAGAAGTAGCTTCATGCCAAAAGAGATGCACTTGACCTGAACGCGAGCTGCAAATTGCACTGTTTTCATATTCTGCAATAAGAAACAAAGTTCGCGAGTGAGGCCTCGCACATGTGTGTGTGGTTTCAGGTACCACGACTTGTTCATTTTCATGTCGTGTGAATACCCTATTATGCTCACAAGCACATGATCAAATGTGTCGGTTGTTGAAAGTGCGTCCAGCAAATGCAGCGTGTGTACTATTATTTCAAAAGGGAAATTCAAAAATTATAATTTCCCGGCAGTTTCTGGAGATCACTAGGGATACATTGACTCATGCAAAGTTTACCCGGCACCGTGTGAATTGGATCACGGTTTGCAAGTGACATTTTGGTAACATGCGTCAAGAGTACATAACCCTTGCACGCCGTGTGAATGGCCTATTAGCAAGAGTATACCCCCCCCCCCCCCCTTCAAGAGTGTGCAACTCCTGATACCCTTTCTATGGGGTACGCCAACGGTGAAAACTCACATCACGTGGTGCAGTGTCGCAGTTGTACGTTTCCAGCCCGTTTTTAGCGAGCAGCGGAGTAAAAAAAAAGCACTATCTGACAGAAACTCACTGCAGGTATAAAAATCCCCGGCATGATGTTCGGATTGTACGCACGCTATCCTTCGTTTGTACGTAGGACGAACGTATCTCAGACACGTGATGTGAGTTTTCCCCGTATGCAGAGTTGCACCATCTTGCTATTGGCCTAGGCACGTGCGCCCGACGCGTGCGGCATGCATCATGGGGTGATTGCAATGGTGCACACTGCCCTTTGAAACACGAGGTTGCGGGTTCGATTCCCAGTTTGTGCAAGGACTATCACAACCCCCAGGATTCCCATCTGGAATTGGGTACCTGACTTCATTTGGGGAGGCAAGCGCGATGAGGGAGAGGAGTTGAGCACTGCCCTCACGATGACAAGCTTATTGAAAGCAGAGGTCTCTAACACTTCTTGAGCCGATGGTGAGAATTGACAGTGACCTACATGTACCAGGGGCGTCGCACACAGTACGGTCACTACGGTATTGACCGTACCACTTTTTGCCCCAAGTACCCCGTGAATCAACAAAATAAACTGATCTGGGATCTAAAATTCCAAATTTTTCGGCTCAGCCACCACTCCCCCACGAGTAAATTGTACTTCAGGTGGCTGACCGTACCACACTAAAATACCTTCCGACACCCCTGTGTACTTGTACCACGCTCTCTTACTCAATTGGTAGAGAATTTCATGTAGCGATGGCTGTGCATGTATCGTCTGTATCCCATACACACGTGCCGTACTTTACTGGTTTAAAGTCAACATTTTTAATGACCTAAAAGCTCGAACGAAAAAATGGGTAGTCGACTTATAACCGGTAAAATATGGTAAGCCCTGTCAAAAGCTCCGGGACTTTCTAATATGGAGCGCAAGGTCTGTTTGGTACCTGTGGGTAATGTTTGTGAAAGCGGAGGAAGGGTTGGGGGCCGACATTGTTCGTATATACTTCGAAGTACCACGTGTAGATGGCCAAGATTTTTGGAATTGTTGTGTATTTTCCTTTGTATGCAGTACTTGATGTTGAGGTGCCGTTGCCGGTGGTGTCGCCAGCGGGTGAGGTCAGAGCAGAATATGAAGCTATGGTTGAACAGGTGAGCTGCTGCTGCTGCTGCATGCACTTATTATTGCCTTCCTCTTCTGACCCACAATGGCTAGCGTTTCATCAAAATTCTTGATCTACGCCATCTGACTGTTCTGACCTATCTGAGCTTTGCATATTTTGGGTTCATGTAGAAGTTTAGACCCTGTTGTTGGTTGACAGCATGTAACAAGGTGGAGGACCAGTGTGTTGGGAAACAGTGACCTTACTACACCCATCCACGGTTGTACACAAGACCAGAACTCTCTAATAGCATGCAAGCACTTACAAATCTGATCACCAATCACACCCGGACAAGAAAGCTGACCAATTTTGTAGATCGGGATCTGGCGAAAGCCTAAGTCTACCACTCCATACTTTTGGCCAAGCCAGGCCGAAAGCGGTTGGCATCTTTTTTTGCCAAACATTAGCGCCAAGGGCAAAAATGGCGCAAGCAATACCAAGAGTGCATAAACAAGAGTATGCAACTGTGGTTATGGCCCAGTGCGCGGCGCGCTGCCTTCATTACGTAACTTGCCTTCATCACGTTCTGAAAGCATGCATTCAAACTCACAATTTCTCGTACCAGCCCATCCGTTTTTGCTCGATTTGTTCCAGTACCTACGCGATCTCTGAATTCTGGCGCGTGAACTCCAGTTCCGTACGAAAGTTCATTTCAAACCAGAGGGAAAGTACGGTGTTTGATTTTCCGCAGTGCGCGGACTGCAGCTGAATGATGTAATGAAGGCAGCGCCGCGCATCTGGCCCATAGAAAAGAGATCACAGTTGCATACTCTTGTTTATGGACTCTTGGCAATACTCTACGCAACCTGCAGCTTGCTCCCACCTCAGTTTTCAAGCCCTGCTCAGATTGAACTCCAGACTCCAGTACAGACATCGTTAATGCCATAAACCGCACACCACACACTCTGATAACTGTCCTGTGCCACCTATTGATTTGTTTCTACCTGCACTTATCTCTTTTGGTGGGTCGTCATCCATTGGCCTAATTAAGTGGAAATTCATGAAACGCATTCTCCGAACAGATTATTGTGGCGATTGGTTGAATTTTTGATTTATTCTCATTGCCCCTTTCTAGGGGGCTGAAAAGAGAAAGCAGAGGGATGAGATGGAGCTTGCCGACCTGCGACTTGCAAAGAGGATTTACGACGAAGAGTCAGAGGAGCATAATCGGCACTTGCGTGCCGCTCACCAGCAAGTGGTTGATGACGAATCGCTGGCTCGAAGCCTACACGTTAAGCTGCAACGGAAATCTCCACACAGGAAAAACTCCCAAAGAAAAATAGTGGTGAGGGAGTGAGGTTGTGTATGTGCGCGTGTGCATCTATGCTTGTGTGTGTGTGTGTGTGTGTGTGTGTGTGTGTGTGTGCACGCACGCATGCTTGTGCATGCGCACGTGTTATGTATCTACTTGTGTGAGAATGAGGGAGGGGGCTTGTCTGTATAGTAAACCTATCTTTACCGGACGCCCCTGGTGCAGCGGAATCTATCCTGATACAACAGGATTCCTCTTGATAGAGGAAGGCATGCGTGATCCACAATATGCATGTCAAATTGATCGGCATGATGTCACTTTTGGTTCTAAACAAGTCAATACGGTGGAGGGTTCTGCGAAACAAAAATGTACAAACTTTCGCAACTTTGGCCGCAACACTTACTTGCATGAAACGCCAAATGAACTTTTGTGTGAAGTTTCGTGAGATCGCGAGTGAAAGTTCATCGTTTGTTGCAGGTAAGTAAAAATTGGACTTGGTGCACGAAATCCGTTCAGCTTTCCACGTTCAACAGTATTCCGCTTGTTACGATGGGTTTTCCATGGCAACCCGTCCGTGAATGAAATTTGTCTAGCCCAGACAGGATTCCGCTTGATCCAGGGTCCGGTAAACCTGTACTGTACTTATTTGTATCTACATTTTTAATTTTTTATTGACACCTTTAATATTATCCGAGTTACTATAATATTATGTTGGTATTATCCCTTATTGCATGTCACGTGAGGGTTGTCTATACTACAGCCAATCAGCATTCTCCATGAGCGTGCAGGTATTTTCGTGTATTGCCCGTTCAGGCGCGCAATAACTTTCTGTGTATTACCCACTGAATCCGATCACTCTGCGCATGCCCATTCGTCAGTTGAGTCCTTCGCTTCTCCGGAGCAGGTAGTCATTTTTGGGTGTGATCGACGGTAGTTGGACAAATTCGCCATCAGACATACCGATCACCAAAAGAAGCAACAGGCTCGAACAAATAGAGGACTCTACTGGCGACGAGCATGTACAGAATAATCTGATTCAACGATCAATACACAAAAAAAGCTACTGCCTGCACGGACTTGTCTCTTCTCTCCGAAGTTCGGACCGGCATTGATGATGTGAGTCCGCCTTCGTCAACAAACTGTTCGAAGAGCTGGAGCATCACACACGCAGGCACCTTGAAAACAAACAGAAGGGAAAATACGAACTTAGAAGACCTCGTTGGAGCAACCAACTTCAGAAGGGAAAATGAAACCAAAATTGTTTCCAATCTTGGACGTATCCGGCATCGCACCACAAGAATCGTAATGATGAAGAATTCAAAAATAAGTTCTCAAAGCCTCTAACGATGTACATTTCTCAACAAACTCCAAATCCAGCAGGATCCAGGTCGAAGAGGTGCAAGAAAAGGACTTGTAATGCTGATCTGTACTCTAGCTATAGATCGAGGGTGTCAAGCATGCAATAAATGATTTACTGCACTTCGTATTCACTTGTACATGTATACGGGCAATACCGGTTGATACATGACCTCACGGCTGACGCCGTCCGGTCATGTATCAGCCGGTACTGCCCTTATACTCGCTTGTACTCAGGCAGTAAATCATGCTTGTCAAGTTATCATATTAATTTTATACACACAATCCACGGGAAAGCTTGGCCACTATCCGGATATGTTTTCAAATGTTCTGGATGGGCCCTAACTGTGTTGTTTCGAAAGGGGAGAGTAAGAATGTGCCGGTACATGTACAGTCGAATGTCACTTATCCGGTCGCCAGTTATCTGGTTATCCGAGCACGTTGGTTATCCGACAAGCCCGGGAGTGGTATTTTTATGACTCTCAACAGTAAAATTCTAAAAAAAATGTGTGTATATTATACGGTGTAATATGCATTTACTTGAAGTAGATGTGGTCAAGTATGCTAACATGTATGTGTACATGGAGCAATTCATGAATATTCATGAATATGCATGAATATATTTGGGTATTGTGTACATAAATCAGTGAAATCCAGCCATATATGCACATAAAAAATGATATCAGTTATCCAACATATTCAGTTATCCAACATGCCTGATTCCCGAAGTGGTCGGATAAGTGACATTCGACTGTATGTCTAAACTACTATCATGTATTCTTTTGTGTTCTTCTTTGTTCTTTTTTGCAGGATTTCTTGTCTCCCGCGGCAGCCTGCGTGTCCATGGCTAGCGGTGTAAGGTGTTTGTAGTTGAGTAGACATGTAGCTCATGTCAAAGTGCAATTGTGGTAGACGTTAGCATGGCCCACTTAATTGTAAATTCTTGTACGCTTTCTATGCTTACCACGGTTAGGGAGGCCTTCAGGCAAATAGGTCACTTCGACACTTGCCAGATCACATGACCCCGAGGGGGGGGGGGGGGGGGGACATGAGCACTGACCCGGTCGGTGTGGTTAGCTGATTTATGTTCAATTATTATTTGTGTGCCCTTTTATCCCACTTTCTGACCGCATATTATCTTGTTACAGTCGTGTACAGTTGCTTCACAACTCATTCCCATATGTTCTCTTCTATTTTACATCTTGGATAATAACATTTCTTTTCTTTTCTCCACAGTTAACACCATGTACATCAGGAGTGAAAGTAGGGTCGACCTCTGCCAGCTCATTACCACCGCTGCCGGTAAGATACAAGTGCATACCGTATTTCCAAAGTTCAAGCCGCACTCAGTTTTTTTTGTCCCGAAATACAGACATTAGAGAGGTTCCGCACTACGTAAAGTTGAGCTACTTTACGTTAGTGGGCGGGAAAAACCCGTGAATTCGCGAGTTTGCACTCCACTTGCGGAAAGTTGTCTACGGAGAGTACGTAGATAGGGCTCTGATAACGTAGCTGGTCCGTAAGTGGATTGGGGTACAAATTTCTGACTCTCTCCCCAGGTCGATCTGGTCGTACACTGCCGCGTTCGGAGTTGCCAAGGGCAGCTACGTGATTTGAAAACTCCGTATGGCGGAACCCAGATGCGCATGCAGTTTATGTAAGCCTTTCCGTAGATCGACTACGTTTTTTACTAACGTAATTACGTTATGCGGAACCTCTCTATTGACCCCATTTATCACCGTTAATTTGACTATCGTAGTATAAGCCACATCGAATTTTATTGGGTGAATTACTGGTGTTTTAACCCTTTTAATATGTACAGAAAAATGTACGCAGACTGAATTTGATCTTGACTGACCTTATATTCCGTGATTCTTTGGGTCATAACTTTGGTCTCCTTTTGACATTTTTTTCAATCTTGGGCTTCCTGGAAAGCTCGTCGCAAGAGGAACACATTGAGCCCACACATCCCACCAAGAAGGTCAAAACACCAGCGCTACAGCCCAGCGTCTTCGTTGCAACGCCAATATTCCGACAGAAGTCGACTTGTATCAGCCATTTTGCTCTCCTTACTCGTAACAACTAACAACTTCCGAAAAATTCACAAACTGCCACGAGTCCGTTTGCCATTTTGAACCTTTTTCTACGTCACTGCATGCCTAGAATGATGGGGAAATCCCTCATTTGAATCTGCGCACGCGGCTATTGAGCGACTTTTGCCACGATTCGACTTTCGAGCTTCGTATCTCTGGAACCGCATATCGGAGTGCTTCAGCAATTGTTTCAATGGACAGCTTTAGCTGGGAGGTTTCTCTTCGACTTACATATTTTAGATTTTGGAAAATACCCAGAAATGACCGAGTTACGATCGATTGAAACCTGGGATCGAAAGTTGTGCAGTGCATACACAAAGAGTTAAGTGCGGCTTATACTCCGGAAAATACGGTACATGTAGTTCTACCGTAAAAGTCCGTAAATAAGTACCTGCCCTAAATACATACGATTCCCACATCAACAAATTCTGATAATTCGAACCTCGAACTGGACATGTCAGGGTAATTAGAAGTCCCACAGATTCCACTTACCGTATTATCTCCATTATAAGCCCAGCGCTTATATTTTTTCAACCAGTCTGGACCCTGGGCTTATATTAGAGACTGGGCTTCTACTAGAGACTGGGCTTATAATTTTCAACCACCTGGTACATGTACATTGCCTAGTATTTTCCATTATGTCAGTAGCAGAAAGTTTCCCAGCAGGTACCGGGACTGCAGTTTTGTGCTTCCTGTTACACTGAGTCTGTACTTTAGATCTCGGGTATCACAGACTTTTACCATAGCATGTGTTTATGTGATACTGTGTGACGTCAAACATGCATGAACATGATCCATACGGTTCTCCATTATAAGCCCTGCACTTATATTGGAGACTGCGCTTGTATATCTTCGAAGCCCTCTTGGAGTGCACTTATAATAGAGACTGGGCTTCTAGAAGAGACTGCGCTTGTAATAGAGATAATATGGTACATAGAAAATGTGTGGGATTTGTGCTGATAATTCGAAGTTAGCAAAGTCACAGTGTAATTTGAAGTTCACCACTGTACACTGTACTGGTCAGTTCAGTTTGCATGAGCAGGCTGTGCCGGTCAGTTCAGTATCCGTGAAATCTGTGTCTAAGGTCCATAGCGCAGCTCTGCGTGACCATGAGAGCATGTTGGCATACATATTGTGTTGTGGGTGCATGTTTGGATAATTAGAAGTTTTTCCTGGCATTTTGAGGTTCGAATTATCAGGATTCCACCTGTATTTCTTTTCTTTTGTCCACAGTTAATGCCATGCACATCAGGAGTGAAAGTAGGCTCGACCTCTGCCAGCTCATTACCACCGCTGCCGGTAAGATTTAATATTATTGGATGAATTACTGGTGTTTTAAGTGCGACTTACACTCCCGAAAATACGGTACATGTAGTTCTACCGTAAAAGTCCCTAAATAAGTACTTCGTACCTGCCCTAAATACATACCCCCCTCATCCTTTTGACTCTGTCTGTTGAAGTCAAGTTCAGCCACGATTCTCTTCCGTTTTCCGTCTTGGATAATAACATTTCTTTTCTTTTCTCCACAGTTAACACCATGTACATCAGGAGTGAAAGTAGGGTCGACCTCTGCCAGCTCATTACCACCGCTGCCGGTAAGAGACAAGTGCATACCGTGTTTCCAGAGTATAAGGTGCACTCAGTTTTTTTGTCCCGAAATACAGACATCGACCACATTTATTATTTATGTTGGGTCCGAAGAAGAGAGGTTTCTTACTCACTAACACAACTGACAACGGGACCAGGTAGGTTGATGGGAACGACATTTATTATAGACTTATTATTAAAAGCATGTCCGCGTAGGTGGCGGGGGTGCCACTTTCGCTTATGCCATTCAGAATTGATGTCTGAAGTGTAATACAATACAATGAAATGACAGAAATGACGTTGACAAAAGCCGTTAGCAACAATACCAATCGCCCTAATGGAAAACTTAATCGAAAGTATAAAATTGAATATACAAGCATACAACATGTCTGTTTTCTCTGGCAAAATCACGTGCATCATGAGAATCAGTTCTGTTAGGTGGGGCGGGCTCCACGCCATGCCTGTCGATCCGCGACCCCATTTAGCATCGTTAATTTGACTATCATAGTATAAGGCAAATCCCCTTTTTTTTGGGTGAATTACTGGTGTTTTAACTTTTAAGTGCGAATTATACTCTGGATAATACGGTACATGTAGTTCTGCCGTAAAAGTACGTAAATAAGTACCTGCCCTAAATAGTTAATACCCCCTTCATCCTTTTGACTCTGTCTGTTGAAGTCAAGTTCAGCCCCGATTCTCTGCTATTTCACATCTTGGATACTAGTATTTCTTTTCTTTTCTCCACAGTTAACACCATGTACATCAGGAGTGAAAGTGGGCTCGACCTCTGCCAGCTCATTACCACCGCTGCTGGTAAGATACTTAGTGCATACCGTATTTCCAAAGTTCAAGCCGCGCTGGAGTAAAAGCCGCACCCAGTTTTTTTGTCCCGAAATACAGACATCGACCCCATTTATCACTGTTAATTTACCTATCGTAGTTTAGAACGAGGTCTGTGTCGTTGTCCAGGAAACGACCAATCAGCGACATTCCCGCCAAGGGCCTTATCAGAGTTTAAAGCCCGCTCAATTGTAATTTTACTACTCTTGATGACGCGTCGAGGGCCTTGGATTAGTTTAAAGCCCGCTGAATATACTCTAAACTGGTGCATACAACTCCCTGTATGCATTATACTACGGTGCAGATAATGAACTCTGCACAAAATGTACGGTGTACTACTAAAAGCTACGCATTTGAGAAGTGTGTACGGTTTTTGCCTCCCGTATTCTTTCATCTATACGATTTTCCTTTGTCAACAGCTGGCGGAAACCTATAAAAACCGAAGATCAAAGTCATTAGAGGTATCGACAAGGGGCTCTCAAAGCCCCTAAATAGCTCCACAAGCTATGAATAAGAATGAAGCTCGCAATAAGAGCCCAGCATTTCATTTGCTTCCCTTCTACTTTTAGTAGTCCTCAGTGGTGCTGAGTTACCACAACTTACCAGAAGAAAATATTCTTTCATACCACACCAAGTCTCTCTGCACACAAACCACAAAACTACCCAATATAATGGTACAAAAGCATAATGGAAGTGAGATAATGCATGTAACCTCGTTCTAAAATAGTTAGTGCATGGCAGGGAGGGTCTTATGGCTTGTTTGTGCCCTTCAAGGTAGCCCTCGGGCCTACGGCCCTCAGGCTAACCTGTCGGGCACTAACAAGCCATAAGGCCCTCCCTGTCATGCACTAACCTATAAATAAGCCACATCGTATTATATTGGGTGAATTACTGGTGTTTTAAGTGCGGCTTGCACTCCGGAAAATACAGTACATGTACATAATTATAGTTCTACCGTAAAAGTCCATAAATAAGTACTTCGTACCTGCCCTAAATACATACCCCCTTCATTCTTTTGACTCTGTCTGTTGAAGTTAAGTTCAGCCCCGATTCTCTTCTATTTAAAGGGGAAGTTAAGGCTAAAATCAAAATTTCACCAGTTGTAATCTTCGGGGTGCTGAGTCGAATGGTCGTGGTCCGAGGAAGCTGAGACGCTCCCTTCCTACTTTAATCCCAATCGAACTCGCGCACTTCCACCGAAACTGGGTGACTGCGCCCTACTAGATGGGGATTTGTATGCAAAATGTCGCTAAAAGCGCCATTTCGTTCTTATAAAAGCATGGATGACCGCGATTGGCCCATATGTTGTAGTCTTTTGGACGCTGAGTCGACTGGTTTTGGTCCGAGAAAGCTGCGATGCAGCGTTCCTCCTTTATTCCCAATCGAACATGGTTGAAGAAGCGGTCACGTGCTCCTGCGTGCCCAAGTCACCTGGTCACAGCGCCAGCAGGCGACAACTTTCACACCAAGGTTCAACTCGAGTTCAACTCGAGTTCAACTCGAGTGGCAGGACTGCACCCAAAAAAGGTCAAACAGGCTAGTAAGTTGTACCCTGCAGGCACGGTGACCAGGTGACTGGTGTACGCAGGAGCACGTGACCGCTTGTTCAAGCATGTTCGATTGAGAATAAGGGCCGAACGCTGCATCGCAGCCTTTTCGGACCAAAACCAGTCGACTCAGCGTCCAAAAGACTACAACATATGGACCAAGCGCGGTCATCCGTGCTTTTCTAAGAACGAAATGGCGCTTTTAGTGACATTTTGCATACAAATCCCCATCTAGTAGGGCGCAGTCACCCAGTTTCGGTGGAAGTGCGCGAGTTCGATTGGGATTAAAGTAGGAAGGGAGCGTCTCAGCTTCCTCGGACCAAGACCATTCGACTCAGCACCCCGAAGACTACAACTGGTGTAATTTTGATTTTAGCCTTAACTTCCCCTTTAACATCTTGGATAATCCCCCACATTTCTTTTCTTTTCTCCACAGTTAACACCATGCGCATCACGAGTGGAAGTAGGGTCGACCTCTTCCAGCTCATTACCACCGCTGCCGGTAAGATACAAGTGCATACCGTGTTTCCAGAGTATAAGGTGCACTCAGTTTTTGTCCCGAAATACAGACATCGACCCCATTTATCACCGTTAGTTTGACTATCGTAGTAATATAGGACACATCGCCTTTTTTTTGGTGAATAACTTGTGTTTTAAGTGCGGCTTACACTCCCGAATATACGGTACATGTAGTTCTACCGTAAAAGTCCGTAAATAAGTACTTCGTACCCGCCCTAAATACATACCCCCTTCATCCTTTGGACTGTCTGTTGAAGTCAAGTTCAGCCCCGATTTTCTTCTATTTCATCTTGGATACTAGTATTTCTTTTCTTTTCTCCACAGTTAACACCATGTACATCAGGAGTGAAAGTAGGGTCGACCTCTGCCAGCTCATTACCACCGCTGCCGGTAAGAGACAAGTGCATACCGTGTTTCCAAAGTTCAAGCCGCACTGGAGTATAAGCCGCACCCAGTTTTTTTGTCCCGAAATACAGACATCGACCCCATTTATCACCGTTAATTTAACTATCGTAGTATAAGCCACATCGTGTTATATTGGGTGAATTACTGGTGTTTTCAGTGCGGCTTGCACTCTGGAAAATACAGTACATAATTATAGTTCTACCGTAAAAGTCCCTAAATAAGTACTTCGTACCTGCCCTAAATACATACCCCCTTCATCCTTTTGACTCTGTCTGTTGAAGTTGAGTTCAGCCCCGATTCTCTTCTATTTTACATCTTGGATAATAACATTTCTTTTCTTTTCTCCACAGTTAACACCATGTACATCAGGAGTGAAAGTAGGCTCGACCTCTGCCAGCTCATTACCACCGCTGCCGGTAAGATACAAGTGCATACCGTGTTTTCAGAGTAAAAGCCGCACTCAGCTTTTTTTGTCCCGAAATACAGACATCGACCCCATTTATCATCGTTAATTAATTTGACTATCATAGTATAAGCCACATCAAATTTTATTGGGTGAATTACTGGTGTTTTAAGTGCGGCTTACACCCCGGAAAATACAGTACAGGTAGACTCCCTCTATTTCGAATACGGTATAATTCGAACATTCCGTGTAATTCGAACTTTTTCGTCGGACCGATCTTCTGCAAGTCGCTTCAAGTCAAAATCGAATGCGTAATTCGAAGTACGAAAAGTGCACCGACTGGATAATTCGAACTCACTCTTCGTACAGAAGAGCAGTTTACAGTACAGTGACTAAGTCCTTCGAACGCGTATTTCGAAGTGAGATGGAGTTGCTATAATCGTAATTCGATGTTCATTCTTTTTTCCTTCTCTAGCCAAGAGTAGCTCAAAAATCGATCCCTGGTCCGCGCCAGGATCGACAATAGCGTTCAAGAAACCGCCCTCTCTCGAAATTTGATTCAAGCCCGTGCGAGGCAAAGTGCAAAGATTTGATTGAAGACGACTTCTTCCAGGTGGTTGACTCCTTTCGCGGATCTCAGTCTATGCACCTGCTCCACTTCCGTTCTTCAGAACGACATGCTGCTGTCCGACGGCCTTTCATGATGCGGATTAGGAAGCGCTGTTCCTTTTCCGTTGAAATTGGTTGAGAACAGCTGCAGTAACTAACAACTTCTAAAACTACAGTAGAAGATGAATTTCTGGCTTGGTCCATTGTACATGACCATCTACGTTTCGTTCATGCAAATATAATGTTCAATCAGCATGAGATTTCGAGCATTTTGACATACATATCAGTGTATGGGGCTGCATTTGGATAATTAGAAGTTCCGGATAATTAGAAGTTGGGGCCTGGCAATTTGAGTTTCGAATTAAAGGGAGTCTACCTCTACATAATTATAGTTCTACTGTAAAATAACCGACGAGGAGACAACAGTCGTAAAATAGCAATGAAAAATATCAATTGTGCACTCATAACCATGTATAAACAATTAAAATGAAACAATTCCAGAACGTTTTCGTGTGACTATCATCAGTGGAACATCGTCACATAGTAAGAATCACTAAAACAACCAGTTATATAGCACACTTTTTAAATAATACGCACTCACCAGATTTGTCCACACGCACTCACAGCTGCCACATTCATCTACTGCTACCATTCTCAGATACACTGCAAAGGTTCACACTACACGCGTTATGCATAACCGCTAGCTGTGCTGCATTCTCACGCTTCTTTTCATATTACTCTAGCTATATAACTGGTTGTTTTAGTGATTCTTACTATGTGACGATGTTCCACTGATGATAGTCACACGAAAACGTTCTGGAATTGTTTCATTTTAATTGTTTATACATGGTTATGAGTGCACAATTGATATTTTTCATTGCTATTCTACTGTCAGCAGAACTATTCAAATATGCGCCTGACAGCCTTTTCACATATCTTGCCGAACTGTACACCATGTGCGTTGAGACAGGACAACACCTGACACTTGGCAGTGGCGAGTTAATCCCGCTGCAGAAGCCAGGAAAACCAAGAGGCCCGGGAAGTAGTCTGAGACCCATTGTTCTGCTCAATGCCCTGCGCAAGGTACTTTCTTTAGTGGTTCTAGCACGAATAACCCCCTGAGTTCAAGCTTATGTATCGCAAATGCAGAGTGGGTTCAGACCGAATAGAAGCACTACAGATGTAGTATGGGCTCATCGATGGATCGCTGCACGCTGCCAGCACCTGCAGTCCAGTATAAGTATTCTGGGTATCGATATGTCTCGCGCCTTTGACACTATTAGTCGCCGGAAACTCGTCAATGTGTTGCGGTCATTCCTGGAGCCAGATGAGGTGCGCCTGGTCCAGCTCCTGGTTTCAGATACAACACTATCAGCACGCATCAAAAATACCCAAAGCCGACCATTTGCAACAACATCTGGCACCCCACAAGGTGACTCGCTGTCACCCGTGTTATTCATCATCTACCTCGAGACTGCACTGCGCCATGTTTTCTCCTGTATTCCACCTCGACCTAATCTAGACATCACCCTCAACCTGCCGCCGTCCCTAGGTTATGCCGATGATGTGGACTTCGTCAGCACCAGTTCTGAGTACCTGGACTCGATCCTTCCTATTGTTGGCGACTGCCTCGCGGACTGGGACCTGAAAGTTAACCAAGCCAAAACAGAACGCACTACTATCCAGAGGAAGAAGGACCGAGTGGAGGAAGAGTGGAGGCGCACACGCAAGCTTGGATCCCTTATTGGAGACAAAGAGGATGTCGCACGCCGAATCCAGATTGCTTCGGGCACATTCAACAAGATGTGGCCATTGTGGTCACGCGGACATCTGGTCTCCGAAAAGCTACGGGTGAGGCTCTACGAAGCCTTCATCAAGCCTCTGCTGATGTACAACGCAGGCACATGGGGCCTCTCAGACTCTCAGCTGTGTACTCTTGACTCGACATATCGGAGACACCTGAGAGTTGTTGTGGGTATCCGCTACCAACAGATAATCAGCAACGATGACCTCCACCGCAGAACAGAGACACAGCCCCTAACTGTCCTGGTTAAAGCTGCTCGGATGCGACTACTCGGTCACATCTGCAGACTGGACAAGGAGTCCCCAGCACAAATGGCTATGACATCATACTTCCGGCAAACAAAGGACGAGAAAAAATTCCGTGGCCGGCCGCCTTCCACACTCCCAACAATACTGAGAACAGACCTCGCAACAAAGGGAATGAAGCTGCAGACGGATAAAGATCTCTCATACATCAGGGACCTGGCAGAGGACAGAGCAGTATGGCGGCAGCTTTTCCGCACCTGAGCCTGCAGAGGAATGCCCGGATTTGCCCAAACGGAACATGACATGATGTATGGTGAATTCAATGGACAATCTGATATATTTCTTCAATATCCTTTGCCTCCTGTTTCTTTTTTCCTGCCTTCGACCCCGCTGCTCTGTGACCCTTCCCTCGCTTTCTCTTGTCCTTACTGTCTTTTGACTTGTTGAGCGGCCTGAGCGAATGCTAGGGGTGGATGTGTTATATATGTCGATTTGTTGATTTTTGTAGTAACACACCCTGATGCAAACGCGGAGAGGCAAATAATAATAATAATTCTACTGTAAAAGTCCGTAAATAAGTACTTCGTACCTGCCCTAAATACATACCCCCTTCATCCTTTTGACTCTGTCTGTTGAAGTCAAGCTCAGCCCCGATTCTCTTCTATTTTACATGTTGGATACTAGTATTTCTTTTCTTTTCTCCACAGTTAACACCATGTACATCAGGAGTGAAAGTAGGGTCGACCTCTGCCAGCTCATTACCACCGCTGCCGGTAAGATACAAGTGCATACCGTATTTCCAGAGTATAAAGCTGCACTCAGTTTTTTTGTCCCAAAATACAGACATCGACTCCATTTATCACCGTCAATTTGACTATCGTAGTACAGGGAATAATTTAACCGGTATCACATCGTAGTTTGCTATGCAATTCTTCTGAGGTGCGAAGCAACTTCAGAAATGTGTCGCAGAAAACTGCGATGCCATATGATGCACAGTGTGCATGCCAGGTGTGTCTCTTTAGTCTTAGGGATGAATTAGATGCACAAAGCTTCAAACGCGTTGCGCTATGCACCCTGGCACCAGGTTAGGTTTGCATCTAAGGTGTTACAGTGTACTTGTGGTCTGAGCTAGCACTCTGATCAACTCTGCAGAAGGACAATATTGTCAAGAAAGAAAATTGCTACGCAACATTTTCGAATTGCTATTCAAGTTTGATTCTGCGTAGCAAAATGCTATGCAAAAATCGAAGGTAAATTATTCCCTGTAGTATACTATCGTAGTATAAGTCACATCAGAGATATGTGTAAGGCACTGATCATTATTAAATGTGTTACACATTAGAGAAACGTGTAATGTGTGATCGACTTGATTCTATCTATCGAGAGACTATCGACTGGTTATCGACTGACATTGCCCTTACATATGAACACAAGGACAGCACACCAACGCATGCATGGTCACACCCATGCACCAGAAAACTGAAGCACAATATGCGCAAGTTGTAGGTTTCAACGTAAAAAAAACACCTGCATGCGGAATGTGTTTTTGTACCATTCTGGTACTCGGCTGTGTATTAAAGCGAAATGTATTCAGGTACCGAGCGTACTTCACAGCACATGCCCTGACCTCACAGGACAAGTGCATGAGCTACATGTGCATGTGTTTCTGGCCATTTTAGATGTATTTTTTATAGGGCTGAAACAATTATACCGAATACTCGAGTACTCGCTCGGTTTTTTCGAAAATAATCGTACTCGGAATAAATCAGAGTACTCGTTCATACATGGTACATGCATTTACCACAGAAATCTGCAGTTTCGGAGCAGCAGGCGGCAGATATTGATGTGCAGACTGCGTGGTGAACATTTGTTCACGAGTAGAGAGAGCCCAAATGACCCACCAACCAATATACCATAGAAAAATGACTGCCACTCGGTTCAATCAGGGTTGTATCATGTGATACTCGGTTCAATCAGGGTTGTATCATGTGATACTCGGTTCAATCAGGGTTGTATCATGTGATACTTGGTTCAATCAGGGTTGTATCATGTGATACTTGGTTCAATCAGGGTTGTATCATGTGATTTTAAGGCCCTTGGTGTGCAATTTATAGGAGATGAAGAATACTCGAATACTGAGAGAAAATCAGAGCACTCGAACTCGGTATCTCAGTGCCAACTTTCACCCCTAATTTTTGCATAGATGCGAGTTGATAAGGGTTTTCCTTCTATCCAATCAACCTTATCGACTAGCCAGACGACTTAGGGGCTGTCCGAGGTTACCAATAATATTTTCAAAACGAAATGTTTTCGTTTGTGGGTGGGTGGGTTTGATGGTGTTTCGTTTTGAAAATAATTATTGAATGCTGATTGAGAATGCCCAGTTACTTCTGGATGTCGAAAATTGACATCAATATTTTATTGGAATTCGTTTTACCTGCAGAAAAGGTGGGTGGGTGGGTGGGGGCTGAAAAATACTAAAACTTTTCGTTTTGTAAAAACAATCGGTAACCCCGGACGGCCCCTTATCAACTCAGTCGTTTCACTCCTAATATATTTAGTATTATTTGCAAAGTGAAATCACTTCACAGGAGGCATGACTATCACCACCAGGTTGGCAACGATGGCAGTGAGAATATTGTTCTGTTAGGTCTTACCCACTCTAATATGTAATGTGTAGTCCATGTTGATGAATGATACTCCTTTTTCGAGGATGTTATCCAGTTCACGTAGGAGAAGTGGAATGTTATGCTCAATAATCCACTGTGACCACCGAGACTTGAACCAGAGCTCTCATCCCCACAGGGGCCATTCAACATTTTCCTCAGACTTTGAAACTAACTCTTCCTGTGAAACTAATAATGGAGTCTGTGGGTTTTTTTCTACAGTGTCTGCCCAGTGTAAGGTCTACATCTACACAACAGCCAGCTAGAATAGAAACGTGTTCTGTTTCTTGCATTTCAGTAAGTGGCATTTATGTTCAAGCCCACGTCCACTGTTTCGAGTACGTTGCATGTGTGTGTTTCTTTTCTGTTGTCATCAACCTATTTGGCTGTGGATACTCACTCGCTTAGTGCGAGTGCAGCGAGGAAGTGGCAGATCATGTATAAGGGCACAGGCCCACTTGGCTGTTCTGAGCACGTTTACAGTTTATGCTCGATTGTTGTTTTCACCACTTTTTGATTTTGCACGCTTGGTGTACACTTCGAAGAGCTTCGAGTACTTCGAACTAGGACTGTGAGCCAATGTTATCATGGATATAAAAAGAAGGAGAAACTGCGGTCTGTTGCTTTGCAGCGTTGAGTTGTAGTAAGACCTGTGTGTCCAATTGTCTTACTAGTTTTATCATCATCCAGTAGCTTTCTGCATTCTTTGTTACCGTGGGACGTAGCTCGTGTGCGTCTTCTTTGCGCTTTCCTTCCCCTCATTGGACCTTTTCTAACCTGAGCCTTCCAAGTTGGGGAAGGTTGTTGGCTTGCGCCTCGTAGATGTGTTGGAGCTAGGTGCTAGGCCTTTGAATGTCTCAGTACTCCCTGTCAGTTTTGTGCTTACTGTCACACTTGGTGCCTGATCTGGTGGCTTTGGTGGGCAGTTAGGCTTAACTCGTAGCATTCTGCCCTTCTTATTTAGAATACGTTGTTCTTCTTTGTTTGTTACCCCTATGTTATGTAATCTAACTGTGGACCATCACAAGAAAAGCAACATTCATAAATCCCATGAACTTCTCTGATGATGATGATGATGTGTGTATTAGTGGTGTATTAGTGGTGTATTAGTGGTGTATTAGTGGTGTATTAGGTGTGCATTAGTGGTGTATTAGGTGTGTATTAGTGGTGTATTAGGTGTGTATTAGTGGTGTATTAGGTGTGTATTAGTGGTGTATTAGGTGTGTATTAGTGGTGTATTAGGTGTGTATTAGTGGTGTATTAGTGGTGTCATCGAGTAGTAGGGTAGCAGTTTGCTCCTGAGAACCCGATCGGGTAGTTGGAGTACGGTGTTTTCGCAACGGTGCATGTAACAAGCATGGCTACCTGCTTACTGTGCACTTTCTATGTAGCGCAAGTGCACGCTCACTGTACAAACTATGTCAAAAAATACCCGATAGCAAGAGTAGATAAACAAGAGTGTGCAACTCCGGATCTCTCCTGCATAATCTGCAGATACCCCCGCCCACGGCAATTTTTGTTGACGTCACCTTTTTTCAGAAGAACGCACATTTTGCCGCAGAGCAGTGTGAGCGCACGTGCTGGGCACCGACCTTGTAGTGTAAAGCCGGCCAAGAGCACGAGGGAAAACTTTCCGAAAGACTCGCAGCGCGTGCGTCGTCGAAAAGATTACATCAACAAAAAATTCCGCCGTGGGCCTACCCATCTGCGAGTTGCACACTCTTATTTATCTACTCTTGCCGATAGGGTACTCGTGTTACCCGGATAGAAATACCCGATCCCGTTACCCAGCCAAACCCCTACCCGTTGCAGTCCTAGACTGTGTATGTATAGAATGAACACCGATGCATTAGTGCTATAAAAAGCATCGTTTCCGCATCGACTATTGATGGAATCTTTTTAATTTTTTTTTTAATTTTTATCTCTAGAGTCCACCCGAGGTATGGTCCCCACCTTCAACTGAAATGGATACACGTTCCGCTTCTTCGGCAACTAGCATCTCAGCTATCTCAACTAGCTCAAGTACACTGCTACCAGTGAGTTCCATGTGTGTGTGTGTGTGTGTGTGTGTGTGTGTGTGTGTGTGTGTGTGTGTGTGTGTGTGTGCACGCGTGCGTGCGTGAGCATGAGCATGCATGCGTGTGTTTCTTTTCTGTTGTCATCAACCTATTTGGCTGTAGGCACTTTCTCACTCACTCACTTCTCACTTAGTGCGACTGCAGCAAGGAAGTTGCTCATTAAAGGAGGGCACAGCTCTGCTTTGCTGAGTCTTACTCACTTCTGCAACTGACTCGTGAGGTCTTCATTTAGATATTGGTTTCTGTAGACGAGGGCAAATTGGCGGAGAAAGGAGATCTTTACCTGCAGTGTTTGACAACAGTCTGCCATGTACGTGTACACAAATTGACTGGAGCATTTACATGATGCATTGTGCTTGACCCAGGTTGAAAGCAACAGCAGGTTGAAGGGGGACATGTGCTCCGCATGGACGTCAATACACTACTTTAGTTAGCAATGGCCAAGTGCATGTACTTTGACCGCCACAACAAAGCATCATGTGGACGCTCCGTAATAACGCTGGCCACGCAACTGAGCAGGATGGACATCAACCTCAATATCCTAGATAACCCACTTCAGTACTAATGTCTTCAAACAAAACCAACTAGAATATATTGAAGTGGATGAAAATTCAAGCACCAGCTCCTGCAAGGCAGAAACAGAACAAACTTTGTCTGAATTATTCACAAACAGTATTCCATTGTGCAAAATGTGCGATTATTTTTCCATGTATTATTACACTTAGGGTACATCTGATCAGAGTTTTAGAACTGTATTCATGGGTTGCTCTTCATGGCCGTCAATGGAAAAGTCTGGAATTGTATTCTTTTTCCAGGGTCTGCCTGAAGCGGAGTCAGCTGGCATTGGAGCACATTCTGCGTCCACCAGTACTGCATGTTCGGCTTCTGCTGGGTCGTTGCCACCGCTGCTACATGCAGTAAGTTTTTAATCAGACAAGAAGACCAGGGATGGATAATTAGATCCCAACTTGATTATTTGTGGGATGCATGTGGTGACACTGCGACTGCATTGCAGCAAGGAGCTGTGCAGCCAAAAAGCCAAGACCTTGAGCTGTTTCAACTGCATCATTATTATTATTATTATTATTATTATCAGCCTTTTCACATTGACATCGTCAAGCAAGCTTGGCTAGTGTTCGCTTAGGCCAAATGGAATGAAGAATGAGGAACGAGCGGGGTCAATGAGGTGCTAATACGCATGTAACAGCAGAATAGGCAACAAAGAAATTATTAATTATCAAAACAGTCCTAAAACACACGAACTGTCAACTATTTATTTCAACTGCAAGTCATTGTGAAATCGCTGAATCACTTGTGATGTGTGCGTTCAGACGTTCTCAAGCTTAGTGTAGCATATTATCTTAGTGACGGTGGTAGTGGCAAGGGTAATAATGTACAAGTGCTATAAAAAGCATCGTTTCCGCATTGACTATTGATGGAATCTTTTTAATTTTTAAATTTTTTTTAATCTCTTAGAGTCCACCGGAGGTATGGTCCCCACCTTCAACTGAAATGGATACGCGTTCCGCTTCTTCGGCAACTAGCATCTCAGCTATCTCAACTAGCTCAAGTACACTGCTACCAGTGAGTTCCATGTGTGTGTGTGTGTGTGTGTGTGTGTGTGTGTGTGTGTGTGTGTGCGTGCGTGCGTGCGTGCGTGCGTGTGTGCACGCGTGCGTGTGTGTGCACACGTGCGTGAGCGTGAGCGTGTGGGTTCGTTTCTGTTGTCATCAACCTATTTGGCTGTAGGCACTTTCTCACTCACTCACTTCTCACTTAGTGCGACTGCAGCAAGGAAGTTGCTCATTAAAGGAGGGCACAGCTCTGCTTTGCTGAATCTTATTCACTTCTGCAACTGACTCGTGAGGTCTTCATTTAGACATTGGTTTCTGTAGACGAGGGCAAATTGGCGGAGAAAGGAGATCTTTACCTGCAGTGTTTGACAACAGTCTGCCATGTACGTGTACACAAATTGACTGGAGCATTTACATGATGCATTGTGCTTGACCCAGGTTGAAAGCAACAGCAGGTTGAAGGGGGACATGTGCTCCGCATGGACGTCAATACACTACTTTAGTTAGCAATGGCCAAGTGCATGTACTTTGACCGCCACAACAAAGCATCATGTGGACGCTCCGTAATAATGCTGGCCACGCAACTGAGCAGGATGGACATCAACCTCAATATCCTAGATAACCCACTTCAGTACTAATGTCTTCAAACAAAACCAACTAGAATATATTGAAGTGGATGAAAATTCAAGCTCCAGCTCCTGCAAGGCAGAAACAGAACAAACTTTGTCTGAATTATTCACAAACAGTATTCCATTGTGCAAAATGTGCGATTATTTTTCCATGTATTATTACACTTAGGGTACATCTGATCAGAGTTTTAGAACTGTATTCATGGGTTGCTCTTCATGGCCGTCAATGGAAAAGTCTGGAATTGTATTCTTTTTCCAGGGTCTGCCTGAAGCGGAGTCAGCTGGCATTGGAGCACATTCTGCGTCCACCAGTACTGCATGTTCGGCTTCTGCTGGGTCGTTGCCACCGCTGCTACATGCAGTAAGTTTTTAATCAGACAAGAAGACCAGGGATGGATAATTAGATCCCAACTTGATCATTTGTGGGATGCCTGTGGTGACACTGCGACTGCATTGCAGCAAGGAGCTGTGCAGCCAAAAAGCCAAGACCTTGAGCTGTTTCAACTGCATCATTATTATTATTATTATCAGCCTTTTCGCATTGACATCGTCAAGCAAGCTTGGCTAGTGTTCGCTTAGGCCAAATGGAATGAAGAATGAGGAACGAGCGGGGTCAATGAGGTGTTAATACGCATGTAACAGCAGAATAGGCAACAAAGAAATTATTAATTATCAAAACAGTCCTAAAACACACGAACTGTCAACTATTTATTTCAACTGCATGTCATTGTGAAATCGCTGAATCACTTGTGATGTGTGCGTTCAGACGTTCTCAAGCTTAGTGTAGCATATTATCTTAGTGACGGTGGTAGTGGCAGTGGTAATAATGTACGAGTGGAGTAGGTCAGAAACAGCACAATGTGGTATGGTGTGGTTGAGTGGTAGTATGGTGTACACACCGGGTTAATGTATTTTAGCATTTTTTTAGGACAGCAGGAACCATCTCCTTTGTGTTTACTGTTATTGGATATGCTGTTATTGCATTATTTGTACAGATTGAGGCTCAAATTGAAGCTGACCGCAGGCTTGCGCTACGGCTTTCTACCCCTGTGAGTACAAGTAAATTCTTTTGCCCAATATTGATTGATTTTGTCAAGTGCCATAAGTCAAGCTTCCAAATAAGCTACACATGCAGTGTTTATGAATCTCGTACAAATCTAAGTCCAGCATGTCTGACTAAGACATGCATGTATTATGTAGTTTCATTTGTGTATGAAAGTGTAGTCATTGCTGGATAATCATGATCATCATAGCCGGACTGGGTGAGAGTTTGATAAGTGAAGTAGGATAGGATTGCCACAATAAGACAGGACATACATTTCCTTGTGTTCTGTCTGTGCTGCTATACACACTATGTTTAGATCCGTCCCAAGGTCCAGCAACCCAAGAAGAAACCTAATACTATCAAAAATTATTTCCACGCCAAATGAGTAGCATCGGTGTGGTTGTGTTGATGCTATGAATTACAGGTAGACTCTTTTTGATTTGAGCCTCGATCTTCTGGGCTCCAATTTCGAACTATGTGGAACTTGATACTTACTCCTTGCACCTTGAATGTGGCATGCACAGAAATGGTTGTCAGTCACCACCCGTGGCAGTGTATGTGGGAGCGGTACGAGTGTGGGAAATTAGTTTGATGCCTACGCATGCGCGCGTGTGTGTGTTTATGGAAATGATGGTGTGTGTATACGGTGTATCAGGGAGTCGTTAAATTTGACGACTCCCTGAAGTGTATCACTTGAAGAGTGGGAGTGATACAAATTTAAAATGTATCACTTCCTCTCTTCCGAATGACACTAAACCATTGAAGTGATTGTAAAGATAATATCCTCGTATGACTGTGAACTGTGTGAGGCCGTACTGTACGGCAGACGCGTCCTCAACCCGGTTGGAAATGTACGCAACAGTTCCCACCATGTACCAGGGATGGCACAAAACCTGGGTTTTGATGGGCCTGTACTACTCCCAGCTCTTGACTTTTGGTCGGTGTACGAGACGCACGCACAGTTTTCGTGAGGTGAGTACTTTTTCATGTAGTACTGAATACGGCAAGTAGGACTCGCCCATCCGCCCCTCCCCAAATGGATCTACTCGAATGGTCACGGAGGTAGGAGTGCTCTGGCGGGTTTTTACGGTATAGCCTAAAATCAATTTTTCACAAGTTGTAGTCTTCGGGGGTGCCGAGTGGAATGGTCTTGGTCCTAGGAATTGGAAGCGCGAACTTGAGGTCGCCTATTGGTCATGGCCTGGGCAACGATCACGTGTCCGATGTAAGGAACTAATATTGGCAAGACGGGTTTTGTACTCTTGATAGGCCAAGCCAAAGAAGATTCTTGATGATCGTTCCTCCCTGCCCCAAATTTGGGGGCCGCCCAGGATTTTATTATTATTTTCGGAGGTCCTGTCTGTACGTACAATGTACGTAACGGTGTTTATCACTCTCTTATTATTGACCCCCACAGAAACTTGTGATCTCTAAGCGGTCAAATATCAGCATATATTGACCGCTTATATTGACCACTTATTATTGACCACTTAGCCTGAGGACTTAGAACTTTTTCCTCAACTTAGAAAAAAATCAGAACTGAAAGAAGAAAAATCTGAAGCCAAATGCTGGGATTCGAACCCAAACTGTCAGATTCTCAGTCAAAGGACTTGGGGAACATACTACAAGAGACAACTGAAAACTTTGGTTTACACAGAAGTAATGTCCAATGTAAACGGCATATGTACATACTATTATACTATTACAATAGTATTCCTTTCTTCCTATAGCAAAGCAAAAACAGTTTTAGGTATGCTATGTCGTGATAAATCTATTATTGCCCTCATAATCGGTCAATATATGAAATATAGACCTCGTAAAAGACCTCGGGGGACCTCGGTCTTTTACTCGTTCTATATTTCATAATTATATTGACCTCTTTAATCGTGCAATAATAGATACATACATGTACATGATTGTATGCAGGGAGTAGTACAATACGGTATTGTACTACTCCCTGATTGTATGTATGGAGACCGAGCAGTTTCACTTTTCATAGGGAAACCTGGCAGGAACATCGATTTTGGTCCCGAACTCGTACACATTTTTTTGGAAGAATGCAAAGTTTGGCACACTTTTCGCAAAAATGTGCTCTGGCTCATGTACCGTTTGATTAGCATGAAGCTGCTCCATGTGCACCAGGCTGCCACCAGCTGTTCGATGCTGTTCTCGATCGTAGATCTACCAACCAAACACACTCGCGCCTCTGTGATCAAGCAATAATAATGCATGAAAAAAGGACGATCATCGGCTTGGTACTTTTGTGAAGTTTTTTCTACACCGTATACTGTGGGGCTTATCTCTCAACGGAAGTGTCCTTGCTGGTGTCTGTATGGTTCGGCTGAAGAGCGCGTGGTTGTGATGAGTTGGGAATGCAATGAATTGAAAATATCTCTGTCGCAATATTTAGTTCTGAAGTATACTATTACCAAGAGTAATGTACTCTTGCTATTACTATACTATAAATTATAATTATAGTGCAGTGTAGTACCAATAGTATAATAACCCCCCCCCCCCCCCCCCTGGGGCCGGGGGGTTATTATACTATTGGTAGTACAGTACTAGACTCTACCCTACAGCAGGCTACATACCGGATGACATTGTAGTCTACCCGGTGTAGAAAAACTTCAGGCCTGCAGCATCACAGATTCTTTGGAGTTGGACGAAATAACGACAACATGACTGTACTGTACTGTATCAAGAGTAGATCTCTACCGCTACTGTCTATTAAAGGGGAAGTGCATCGATTTTTCAAGTAGGGCTCAGATGAAAGACAATTGGATGTCGGTTCCGATGGTATTATCTCTCGCTTGCGTACGGCAAGGGAAACTTGCCATATCGCCGATTTCCTGATCCCGTTTCCATGGCGACTACAGGTGATGACGCACATTCTGCTTAGCTCCGTGAGAGAGAAGGTCGATCAGTGAAGAATGGGGTCATTTTCAGTTGTCTTGTTGTATTCACGAAGTGAAAGAAGTACTGTGTTCAAGGCTGTTAGTGCCGTGAACTGTTTATTAGTAGTCCTCTCCGTTGTGTACTGGGACGTGACACCGACAGAGGAAAGCTGGAGTGCGGAGACGTTAGCTGGCAAGCGAAAATCGTGACGAACCAAATGCTGAAATCTTGGTTGGGACAAATCAAACGTTCAGCATTTACCTCAACCAAGGACCATGCCGTTTGCTCTTTCCACTTCCTGAAGGTGGATGCGCTGCCTGCTGGAGACTCTCCTATCTCTCGTAACATCTTCTGAAGCCAGGTGAGACGACGAGTAGCGGAGATTAGCGAACGAAATAATGTCGTATGTTTTGAAATTTTTGCTGAACATTTCTCAGGAGAGATGGCGAATACCAAGCATCTTCTCCAAGTCTAGAGAAACCATTTCGTAGGCTACATTCCGCCTAGGGAAATGCAGGAGATGGCCTGGCTGGGGAGGACACACTTGGAGGAGAACGAAGTAAGTGATCTTGTTTGTTGTTCTTTGGTATTGCAATCTTATGTTTGACGAACATACGGCATGGTGCATAGTTGGTCGTTGAGTGCCTGCATGTGCATGTATAAGTGTGTGCTGATAAACACTTCCTATGCAAGAATCTGACACTCATGCTCTCTTTATTTCTTGCAGTATGTGCGCACGTGTGTGTGTGTGTGTGTGTGTGTGTGTGTGTGTGTGTGTGTGTGTGTGTGTGTGTGTGTGTGTGTGAGAGAGAGAGAGAGAGAGAGAGAGAGAGAGAGAGAGAGAGAGAGAGAGAGAGTGTGTGCAGGAGCAGCGTGGAGCATGCCAGTGTGATCGCTGTGGCCGTTGCTTTCTTAGCTGTGGCGTTCTTGCTCGTCACAAGTGTGTGGCTCAGCCCCCAACGACAGTGGAGCCGTGTTGTGGTGAATACTGTGTGTCCTGCGACCGCTGCTTCCGTTCGGTCCAGGGCAGGAATAGACACCGCTGCTGAAGCTCTCCCCGGCCGTACGTCAGTCTCGTGGCAGATGACCCGAACTCTCATTTTGTGTGTGTGTGTGTGTGTGTGGTGTATGTTTATGTATGTGTGTTGCTCCCTACGTAGACAAACTCTTGTTTTTGTGTCCCGGGCGCCATGGGGCGGCGTTCTCCCATTCTCTCTCCACTGCCCCTCCGGGCCCACGTGGCAGTGACTCGACAGGGCAAGTGTGTGTATGGTGCATTTTGTGTGCTGGCATGTCTGTATAAATATGTTGGACAGAATTTGTTCACCCACAACGTTCACGGAAAACCATGCTAGGTGTTGCTGGAACGTATGGGGTCTGCGAGCACTTACAATAACTTACGTCATGTCACAACAAAGAACGGTGCAGTGTTTGACCCTCATGTAAACATGATGGTGATGGTACCTCATGTAAGCTACCCATGAAGCTAGAAAGAACATCAGGTCAACAGAATTGTACCAGAGGAAAGCATCTATTGCCCGAACTTCTTCATTTGAAATGAACAATACCCTTCCCCATAGAGACAACATGCAGATGATGTGTATGGACAAATAATATATAAATAGGCCATTCACCGAGGGCATGGAATGATCTCTACGTGTAGATTGGATAGACACATGCACGTCTGCAAGGAAAGCATTTGTTCATGGGCTGATTGAGTTCACATGGACTAAGTTCATACATGCCATCTCTCCTGAGATATGTTCAGCAAAAATTTCAAAACATACGACATTATTTCGTTCGCTAATCTCCGCTACTCGTCGTCTCACCTGGCTTCAGAAGATGTTACGAGAGATAGGAGAGTCTCCAGCAGGCAGCGCATCCACCTTCAGGAAGTGGAAAGAGCAAACGGCATGGTCCTTGGTTGAGGTAAATGCTGAACGTTTGATTTGTCCCAACCAAGATTTCAGCACTTGGTTTGTCACGATTTTCGCTTGCCAGCTAACGTCTCCGCACTCCAGCTTTCCTCTGTCGGTGTCACGTCCCAGTACACAACGGAGAGGACTACTGATAAACAGTTCACGGCACTAACAGCCTTGAACACAGTACTTCTTCCACTTCGTGAATACAACGGAAGACAACTGAAAATGACACAATTCTTCACTGATCGACCTTCTCTCTCACGGAGCTAAGCAGAATGTGCGTCATCACCTGTAGTCGCCATGGAAACGGGATCAGGAAATCGCAAGTTTCCCTTGCCGTACGCAAGACGAAGGTAGGTGAAAGAGAAGACCCCTCGAACAAGAACGAGTCTCCAGAAGCGATCGAGTCGAGCAGGAAGACGACTTTTTGAATTTCGCCGAGCGAGCGCTGATGACGTAATGAGGGATTAGCTTGCCAGTGGAAATGCATCTGCGCACATACATTTCACATACTTTTTGGCCAATTTTCAATCGAAGAGGAGGTTGTTTTCTATGTTCTCTCAACGTCGTGAGCGATCCCGTCTTCTATACCCTTCCAGGTACCCTGAAGGTCCTCCAGAGGAGAATTTATCTCCAGCGAAGCGTTGTTGATCCGCTAAATCCGTCTCGAGACATATTCACCCAGTGCAGTGCTGATAAATGTAGAATGTTGAATCTGTGATAATTGTTGACGATGGAGAGAGAGGCTGATAGCCGCTGTCGCAGGGAGAGTGAAGCTGCTGGAAGTAACAACGGGGAGCCCGTTTGTATCACCTGAACAACCGTCAAGCTGCTTTGAAGTCTGGTTGTTCAGGTGATACAAACGGGCTCCCCGTTGTTACTTCCAGCAGCTTCACTCTCCCTGCGACAGCGGCTATCAGCCTCTCTCTCCATCGTCAACAATTATCACAGATTCAACATTCTACATTTATCAGCACTGCACTGGGTGAATATGTCTCGAGACGGATTTAGCGGATCAACAACGCTTCGCTGGAGATAAATTCTCCTCTGGAGGACCTTCAGGGTACCTGGAAGGGTATAGAAGACGGGATCGCTCACGACGTTGAGAGAACATAGAAAACAACCTCCTCTTCGATTGAAAATTGGCCAAAAAGTATGTGAAATGTATGTGCGCAGATGCATTTCCACTGGCAAGCTAATCCCTCATTACGTCATCAGCGCTCGCTCGGCGAAATTCAAAAAGTCGTCTTCCTGCTCGACTCGATCGCTTCTGGAGACTCGTTCTTGTTCGAGGGGTCTTCTCTTTCACCTACCTTCGTCTTGGCATCGAAAACTCGGCGTCGAAAATGAAGCCGGAGTGCCCCTTTAATATAGTCTATAGACTACGGTCTACGGTTATGACCATGATGACTGTATGGGGGGCTAGCTATAGTTTTGTAGGCTGTTCGTAGATCTACAACGGCTTTGGAAAATCGTAGATCTACAGCTTTTACAGTTTTATGTGTACAGCTAGCCGGCCTAGCCTGGCAACGCGACTGTCACATGACAGTACAGTGAGTGTCTGAGTGATACACCAAGCTACAGCCTTACAGGTCAGGCCCTCGGAAGTCAACTTTGTTTTGACCTGGTGTCTTTGACTGTTTGTGTGCGTTGAATGCGTCCGTGTTCTCTGTTTTCGAGAGAGACGTCGATCTTTCCCATCCTTGTTGTTTTGATGGTCGTAGGGAAGAGTTTCTGTGAGTGCGTCAACTCATCCAGATTAGGAAAAACTTACAGCTATCTCACCTAGCTACCTGCAGCTGGTAAATCGTGGAGTGCTGACGCTCTGAAGTGACAATGAGTAAATTCAAGTCTTCCAAATTCCGCAACACATTGGCTAAAGCTGCTAAAAAGGAGGTAACTAGATCCATACGATTTGTTTATGGAACGTAGAGAATTTGATTGTGCATGTACATGAACCGGTACATGTATTATCAAGAGTATGTACTCTTGGTATTTATTATGACTCTATTCCGGAGCCCTTGTAGAGTACCAGAGTAGTACCGGTACATGTAGTTTGTATTGTTGTTGAAGATGTGTTGGAAGTTGGAACTGTGGAGAGCACATAATTAGGTCATCATGAATCATGGGATATCTCATCATCATACCGTAGGTTCAGAACTTCAGGCCCAATCACTTTACTTCAGTAGTACAGTACATTTATCACTAGTACTATCAAGAGTACAACCCATACTGTAACCCCCAAGAGTGTGCAACTCCACTACAATAAGATCGGGCGCCAAAGAACGCAGGGGCTCGAGCGCAGCCTAGGAAAGTTCTTAAATTTTTGATTCTAGCCAGACCGTTCCTTATTCACACGCGCGCGGCGAGTCGAGTGACGTCATGACGTTTGTCATGTACATGTACATGTACATGTAGGGCAATGTAGTACTTCTAAACTAGTGGGTGTCGTAAATGGGAATGACTGTACATGTAGCAGTTACTGTTTACACGTGTACATGACATGTACTCACCTCCCATACATGTACAATGTAGATCTACGTGTAAATTCGCAACTTCGTGTAAGCACATGTGCTATTACTATTATTATTATTATTATTATTATTATTATTATTTGGAAAGGATTGGGAGAACTTCAAATTCAAAGGATCAGTCGGGGAAGTGAACTGCCTGAAAAGCCTGGTGGGTCTGGCGTTTTTTCTCTTTTCAGGCAGTTCACTTCCCCGACTGATCCTTTGAATTATTATTATTATTATTATTATTATTCGAGTCCTGGTGGTGACAGTCAATTTTTTCTTCAGACTCTTCCCGTTTGTCTCTTTCCCTCAAACCAGTTAATATTATTATTATTATTATTATTTTTTTATAAGTGCAAGCCTCTTTTACGGGCAAAAATTAACACAATGTATTAAAATGCAATACAACATACACTGGAGAAGAAATCAGGAAAATAAAATATGAGCTCAAAAATGGAACGAAAAATAGCAAATAGAATCAAAACTCACGATGGAATCAAACTCATGATGGAAACTACAACCCAATGAGTTGGAAAACCAACCACAGAATTAGATATTGATTATTATTATTATTATTATTATTATTATTATGTACAGGTGTTGTGGCGAGCTCAAAGCCGATCAGTTAAATACTGCACTCATGTGGAAATTCCAAATTTTAAAAGTGTTCTTAAATCTGATAATTCTAGCCTGGACTGTTCTTAAATTTTGCCGGTTTTCCAGCCTGGGTGTTCTTCGGCGAGGTGTTCTTCGGCGCCCGATCTTACTGTATGCCTATGGCTATGGGTTCTGTCGCGACAGGATCAAGTTAACGTCATTTTTATTATGCAATGCGCATTGTACGTGTACCCTAAAGTACCGCGAGAGCGACCCACCATCTCGTCCTTTCGTGATTGTATTGTGGATGCGGTGTCCTGTCTGTAGGTCATACGACACGAACCTTGTACACACATTGCACATTGTGCAGTCAATCCGTACTCAATTTACCTTTGAGCGGACACGAGCTCCACACAAAAACCTGCTAAGTGTGACCTTAGTACACTAAGGTTCTCACACCGTACAAACTTCTTTGCACTCTTCCATACAATTTTCCTTTCCCTGGCTGTAAAATCAAGTTGGGGCGCTCTCGCCAGACGGGGCGCTCTCGCGGTACTTTACGGTATAATTAGACGTATCCAGAGCTTATGGTTGACAAATCCCCCATTTTAATTAACCTGTACAAATTAACGAACTTAGAAGTTGCGACTTCGGCGGTAATAGTCATGAAGTTGATTGTTCCAACTAGGAACCCCCGTACGTATTGTTGTCCCTCACGCGGACGTGCGACTAGTTGTTGGAGGTGACAGCGTTGCGAATAGCTATACTGGCTCTCAACGTCTGTTTAGCACAACTCCATGAGCGACTCTGACTCACGCTGCTACCTGGAGCTTCACGAGGTGTTTGTCGCGCTGGAAACTAAGGGTCTGTAAGTTTGTATCCCTGGTGATGGTTTGGCCTGGAGAGCAGTATATAAGTGGTGCTTTTCAGGCACAATCTTCCTCAGCCTACTCAAGCTCAACTGATGAGGGTGAATTCCCCGAAACACTGTGTATTGAGCAGGGAGTGGTGCTTTCTTGCAGGTTTGCCGAGTGGAAGGTGCGACGTGCTCCTCGTGTGCGGATGGCAGTCGTGAGTCAGTCAAGTGTCAAGTTCGGCAAGAAGCGTGTGTTCCTAGTTGGAACAATCAACTTCTGTACAAATTAGTTCAAAGAAGCACGTGCGATGCGTTGTTAGTACTTGTTACCCTGTACAAACATCGTAAATCACTCATGCGAGGAGCATTGCATCATAAGAATGAGGTCCACTTGAAATCCTGCCAGAACAGCAGGATATGTGTGAGTTGCACACTCTTGCCAGTCTTGGGGGTTGTTTACTCTTGCTACTGTATATACAAATTTTCATTTACGAAATCTTTCGTTAGATCACTCCACCAGCAGGTTCGTTACGTACTAAATTTCGTTTTTGGTCGAGGTCTGTCACCCCGAACGTTCAGAAAAAACTTTAGTTATTTCGTGCCCCCTAATGAATATAGCGAAAGTTAATTCCAAACGAAACTTTGTACTTTTAAATACTTATACAGTAGTGTGTTACCAAGCGTCCGTAACCAAGAGTATGCAACTGTGATTATGGGTCAATGTGTGGCACCTTGCCTTCATTTATGTAGCTTGCCTGCTTCGCACCCTGTATTCATGCACTCAAACCCATAATCTCTCGTACCAGCATGCCCGTTTTGCTTGATCCGTTCAAGTACCAAAGCGATCTCTAAATGTTGGGTTCATGAATTTCAGTTTGGTGCAGAAGTTGGATTCAAACCTCAGGGAAAGTATGGTGTTTTGATTTTCTGCAATGCGCAGCTGTAGCCGGAAGATGTATTGAAAGCTGTGTGCTGCACAGCTGGCCCATAGAAAAAAAATCACAGTTGCATACGAGAGGTGATACTTGTACAGTGCGTATCGGTTATAGTGTGGTTGTGTAAAAAAATATACTGCCTACAAGAATGAACTCCCATTTTTTCATAATCATAACATGGGTTTCACGTGCACATTTATTCTTACAAGCAATTATATCATACAGTAGAATATATCGGTCCTAAGAATGGGCGTTGTGTAGCGAAACATGCCAGATTAGTACAAAGTGTATCGCCTGTAGTAATAACATCTGTCCAGTTCTGATCTGACTCGCGTTGCATCGTAGTGCTGCAGGTTCAACTGTTGTGGTCATGTAACTCGTGTTGCATGGCCAAAAGTAAGCCTATGGGACTTTACCTATAACCAGGCGCATGCACAGTAGCACTACCTTGCATGTACGATGAGCTACCTGCCTCTGCGCACATGCATATGATATGCCACACTTGATTTATCGTGTGTAAGAAATATCGGAAATAAGAATAGAAAGTCGTTTTTCAAACACCCACTCTATAACCGATACCTACTGTAACTGGGAATTTGCATGCCTCTTTCACCTTTTGCACGACAAGCCACAGTGCGAAATAGAAATTTCCTTGGTGATGCTGTGAAATGCCTTGTAGATGGTGTGAGATGCAGCATTGGTGAGTCACTATGACCTAAACAAGAAACTTAAACGTGGGCTTGTTCAGGAGTTGTACAGTCTGTTCATGTACTCTTGCTGGAATGCATATTTATCTTCATGAGGGGCTTTCTGTAAAATTTGGAAAAAATCCAGATAGTGGCTAAGCAAAAAGTAAAAAGGCGAGGGGGCCCGGGGGGGGGGGGGATGGTAGAAATGTCTGGCGGATTTATTTTTTATTTTTTTGAAGAACAACAGATTGCGTGGGGCCGACGCCATGCGGTGATTGGATTGCTTCATGGTTGTTCTATCTAACACTCATAAAACCTCATCAAGACCCCAGTAATGACTTGTTGGTACCTGACATATAGGGAGCTGTAATTGGTTTTCTTCTACGTTCGTTTTTGAGTCGACCCAATTTGCGTAAAACCCGCAAAATCCATGAGAATGTAGAAGAAACAGTACATGTCAGGAAAATGCATGAGACAGAAATGTTGTGCATTTCCATAAAGTATGTAGAACAAAGATGTGTTTGTCTATGAGGATGTACAGTAAAACCTGGTGTAAGCGACCTATGGTTTTAGCGACCACGTGCTTTTAACGACCGTTTTTCCAGGCATGGACAGTTCTACATAGAAACTGCACCGGATACAGCGACCACACCACCTGCCTTGCGCGATCAGCGACCCACTTTTAGTGTACCAAGTGCCATATTGGACCTGCACACAATGACCAAAACTAACCAGAAGTGCCATCTTGGCTGACAGGGTTGACTGCACCACGGTTGAAGTGCACTCTGAAGCAAGTGCATGTAGTCAACAGAAGTGACAATGCAGGATGCGCTGCATGCACTCCAGTGAGGTGTGCTTTACCTGCACGAAAGTATTCTATGCTCCCCACCTGTCAATACAAGTACTAGTACATGGAAGTACAATCATGCACATGTATGTACGCAATCCGATATGCCACAAATGTATGGGACCTGGTTCCAAAGATTACCTGGCTTTAACGACCGCTTTTGCTTGCACCGCGGGATGGTCGCTTAAACCAGGTTTTACTGTACACTTAAAAGTGGTATTAGACAGACACCCCTTGCCTTATGCCCGCGTTATTATCGCATAGCCGTTGCATAATTTGAGTAAATTGTCAGCGTTATTCTGTGGGAATAGCTTAGGGTATACTAGTGATGTGCAAGCAACCGTTAAACGTCGCATCATGGTATCTAGTGAGTACTCTTTCAAGCAGCTACAACTTGCTTTAATTGGTGAAGTTCCTGTAAGGCCGAAAAATTACCTTGTTTCGGGTTGGCCGACGGGGTCATTTACCCCAAATTCTGAGATTTTTTTATGTCCGCGTATGTGTACAATAGGTGCATGCATGCACTTGTAAGCCTACTGGTGTATGTAGCTAGCGAAACCATTCACTCGCGTATGTACTGCTAACCCGAAACAAGCAATCTTTTTGGTTTTGCCTATTAATTTTGGTGAGCTCCCCTGTGGTCTATTTTCATGGTTTCTGTATGGTGGTGCTGATTATTCAATTGCCCGCGTGCGCGGGTGTGTGTGCGCGCGCGTGTGTGTGTGTGTGTGTGTGCGCGCGTGTGTATGCACGCTCTATCTTGTGTATTCAGCACAGCTACACTGGCCTGTCTATTCCTAATCTCAACTCCACAGCAGACCATGTTGCCGCCAGTGCCAACTTCCTGGCATGCAATGCTAACACTGGATGTAAGATGGTCACTTGTACCTTTTCCGGAAACAAAACTTCGAGACTTCTTTATTCACATTCCAAGGAGTACACTACAAAGGAATTCTTGCAAAGTTATTAGCGCAAATTGCATTGTTTATTGAGTATGTACAGTCAGACCTCGCATAACCGCACACATCCGTTTTCCACAAAAATATCCGGATAGGCGAGGGAACTGGATAATCGAACACACATACTGTATGTAAGCATGGCATATGCTGTTCATTTGTAACCAACTATTTTCTTCCGGATGGCGAGGGATCCGGATAAACGAGGACCGGATAAGCGAGGTCTGACTGTATACCGTATTTGCTGGAGTATAGTGCTTTAGATGCACTACTTCAGGCCCTAAGTCGCATGTGGGCAATATGCTCCGAATATGAGAATGCATGCACATCGAAAAGTCGTGCAATGCATCAAACTGTAGCAAAGTGTGCTATCTCTGACCAGGTACAAGCCATGGGCATGCATTTGTAGTGTCTACTGCCAGCTACACAGAAAATGCATGATGGTTATGAATCCCAATGTGTATTTCGAAGTACATAATGTCATTAGTAATTTTGTGATTATTTTTGTCAATGGTTGTGCTATATTAAATACTCTCTTTATAGTCAATAATTTTTTCAAATCAAGGCTGCGCATTATACTCCAGATATATCTTGAATTGCCGAAACAGGGGTTGCGCATTAGGACCTGGTCAGACTGCGGCAACAACGAAATAATCCTGTGATTATAATCCGAATATCCATAGAAACTTGACGCCAGAGCGGCGAAATCAAGGGTTGACGCTCCAAAAAATGCAAGAACGGACCACGCTTTTCCGCTCCAAGCAGGAGTTTGACGATGATACGCCATTGACGCTGATATTCACTGATTTTTTCGTCTCGGTATCGAGGAGCTAATTGGCCACGGACAACAACACTAGTTACAAAACTCGTAAGGATCGTTGCAAGGAAAGCACTGAAGGTGTTGGCGATTACCGAGGTGAAGGAATTTGACGTTGTTCGTGGAGATTTCCACTTGACGCTCGAAATAAATTTTGAATTTTCATTTTCCCCACGTGTGTAGTGTGATCGCGATTCTAATCCTGAACGATTTTCTTTTTTGTCATGCACCGAAAATTGGCCGCAGTCTGACTAGGCCTTAACACTCTGGTACACGTTACAATTATCTCCATGGAAATGTTTTAACCCTTTATGAACCAGCACAGAATGAAGCAGAATTTGAATTTTCAGCACAATTTTCACCTTCAACAGGCTATAACTTTGGCCTCCTTCACTCCATTTCCACAATCTTTGGTTCTTTGGAAAGCTCCTGGCGAGAGCAACGCCAGGATACAAGGCTCTATCAACTAGCTGCCACAAATCAAGCGCAGGAACACAGCAAAGTCGTCTTCAATCCCGATATGCGAGCAAATTCCCCCATCAACGCCATTCCACTCTCCTATATTGCAGAACGCTCAAATCTTTTCGAGGCGATTCAAACTTCAGTAACTGCGTCATTATTATGTGCTCAAACTGTCAAAGAGAAAAGGGATTTCCCCCTAAAATGGCGAAGGGATGGATCAAAAATCTGAATTTGCCGAGATAAGAATACGACGCGCGATATCTCTGGATTCAGACATCGTAGCTCTTCGGCAATTGTTGCATTGGAAAGCTTGGAGTTTTCGCTACCACATAGACCCTTTGATTGTTGAATTTGACCAAGAAATGATGGAGTTACGAATGTTTTATGGATCGGTCATGAACCGATCATATGTGATCGATTCACGTACACACCCATGACCGTACATAAAGGGTTGAAATTAATTGTACTTCAAAAGTAGTCGCTCTCTTTATAATACATCGATCATATTAAATGCGTTGCTGCTCTGGTATTTCTCATTTCTGTTGGTGTTCAGCCGGTGGTAGTTTGGCTGTGATTCGTCTCGACGATTATGCCAAGAAGGATGCTTCTATGCCTCTCCTTAACGCTCACAGTGGTAAGATTGTATGCCACTTATATGCGTGTTTTGTGTGTGTGTGTGTGGGGGGGGGGGGGGGGGGGAGGTATAGGATCAAGTGCTGCTTGGAACTGTGAAGGTTTTTGCACTGCACTCTGACCCACAGTTAATGTGTTAATATGGGTGCAGCTACTTGGATATTAGTTCAAATTTGACTACTTGGTAGTTCCTATGAAGTCCGTTGGACCATGAGAGAAAGGGGGGGGGGGGGGGGGGGGCAGTAGCAGTCTAGCAGTCCAAACAATCTGCAAATCCTCAACAAATGCTGAATATTCACCAGCCTTGCACCACGCGAACCCCCGTACAAGTGTCAGTCTGGGTACGATTAAGGGGTTGAACTATTATAAGCATTGTCTCCAACATAAGCCCGGTCGTCATTTTAAGTTCGGGTAAAGGTCCATAACCAGAAGTATGCAACTGTGCTCTCTTTTCTATCGGCCAGTTTGGCATCGCGCTGCCTTCATTGCATCATGCAGCTACGTCCATGCACTACAGAAAATCAAGACACCACACTGTTCCTGTGGTTTGAAATCAACTATTGTATGGATCTGAAATTCATACACCCAAAATCATGCTGGTATGAGAGATTGTGGGTTTGACTTCATGAGTACAGGGTGTGATGCAGGCAGTTTTTTTGTGATAAAGGCAGTGTGCCACACATCAACCCGTAATCCTAGTTGAATACTCTTGGTTATGAACTCCTGGCGTGGGAGACAGACATGAAACACAATGCACTGTGCTTAGACAGTACGCAGTTGAGAATTTTCGATGAAGAGAGGTTCCTTCCCCAAGTGGGTCTAATCCGCATGGCTCTCACTGCTTTAGAAGCTGCTCCGATGCGATCAATGTGAATTTTTTTTCACTTATTACTGATGAAGGGAACGAAAATGTTCGGTTACAAAATTGGCTTTACTTGACTGTGTGGATTGCGTTGGTGCTGAAACTTCTTTCGTAATTGGATTCGCCTCCAATTTTTTCCTTAATTTATTGCTGATGTCCTTTACCTTTATATCCGTTTACAGGCTTTGTATCTGATTTTCAGTTCTCGCCATTTGATGATTGTTTGATGGCGACTGGTTCTGACGACTGTACGGTAGGTACCCCACTTTGCAAACTCGCTCTTTCTCCTACCCCACTACCCCACTGCCCCCTGACAGTGTGATATGTGCATCTATGTTCAAGTATCTACATATTTTCAAATCCACGCAAGTTCACAATGACGGAACACTTTGAACATTGTGAACTTGTGTCGCAGGCTCCGCTTCGTGGCTTGAGCACTTTTGCAAAGTCAACGGCACCTCTGCTTGGTATTTTTCAAATCCTGTTGTCTAGGTCAAGTTTTGGCGAATTCCAGAGGAGGGCTTGATGGAGAGTTTGTCAACGCCACTGGTGTCCGTTGCACTTGAAGTAAGTGGACTAATCAGTGCTCTGAACTACTGTAAAGGCCATTATTCTAACGAGGCGCATATATAACGATTTCCCAAAATTGACTAGTTTACGTGTACGAAAGGTAACGATTTTCACTCATTCTCAAAGCTCAATAGGACAGTATATGTATCGATTTCTGTATAACGATTTCTATTTTAACGACAGATTTCTCCTCGTTAACTCGTTAGAGTTAGCACTTCGTTATATATATGGCTTTTACAGTAGCTGCATATGAACCATTGTCAAGTTAGTCAAAGTACAATGTTTTTTTCTGTTGAATTAGAATTATTTTGACTAGTGTTGCCGACATCATATATTGATCACAGCATTTACTGATGTTTGTACTACAGGAAACGAAACTTTTTTTGCTTCATTTTCATCAGTAAATGGCTAAATGCCCTGTGAGATGAAATGGTGATGAAATGGTGAGAGGTTGATGGTTGTACTGGTCACAGTCATGTGACAAGGTCAGGCAAATGGAAACTAGACAACGCAGTCCACCTTTTGTATGTATCTGTGGCGACTAGTGCATTCGCCCCTCTTTAATCCAGCACGTCATAAACCAGCACCTTCTATAAACTGGCATAATTTCCAGTGACCAAAATGTCCTTTTCATGCACATTGCAGCAGTAAATAGATTTGTTATTCCAGCACCCACTCTAATCCAGCAGAATTTCCGTAGCACAAATGATACCGGACTATAGGGACAACTGCAGTACCTCACACTGTCTGTTAATTGCACCAATTCTAGTGCTGCTTGTCATGTCCCAGCAAAGTATGCTTACATTGCCAACGACACCTTGGTTTCCTAGGGCATGCCACACTTCTACATATATGTGTCAATTGCGCCAGTTACCCTATGTAACATCATTCATTCACACGAATCATCCATTATCTACTGCCTCGTCTGATGAGCTCTGTTGGAGCGAGACAGCTGTCTGGAGGATCTGCAATATCCATTACTAGTACATGTATCTCAATGGTATTACCCTTGCTGTGGAATGGTGGTGATGTGCAGGAATGGGTCGGGCAAGAACGCATTGTGGAATGATCGTGTGACTGATAATTGCGTAATTGCTGAGTTTGTCGCTAATTTCTCTTCAGTACATGTATAATGGTACATTGCTGTGGAACGGCTGTATGGTACATTGCTGTGGAACGGCTGATGCATGCTGGTCATAAGTTGCTTGTAAGATGGGTGTGTATGTGTATGAGCTATTAAGTATGAATTTGTGTGGATCTTGAGTTGTTGTTTTCTCCATTAACCTGTGGTGTGTACACAGCGCAAAGTGGAATCATTACGCTGGCACCCAGCAGCACATAATGTAAGTGTACTGTTAACCATTTGATATCACTGGATTCACAAAAAGGCTGCCAGATATGAGTGATGACTTTGCTACATCTTGTCATGCTTCTTTCTCACGTCCACTTATTTATACACTTGCGAACATTTGATGGTGTTTTTCAATGGCATAGAACATGATATGCGCATAGTCTCCCATAAAGGAAATCTGCATGATGAAAGAATTGAATAGCAGGCTAAATTGTGGATCGAGCATGGCTTTTGTTCTGCGAATTGATAGTTGATGAATGCATTTGGGTGGAGGGCAGTGTTAGCTACGATAAACCAGTGTATACCTAGGTTTGTATTTTTGACCGTCTGGTGACCTGGCTGGTTAGGAGCCTCTGCGCATTGACTCACTTGACAAAGTCAACAAATCCATCAGAAAACTCCTGATCTGAGCATCTGAACAGCTAACAGCAGCCCACTGTCCTTCGTTTGACTTTATCAACCTTGTTTTGCCAAATGTCTGTTCCGATGATCTACTTTGTCTGCACACTTCAGGTCCTTGCCACTTCCTCCAGCAATGTCGTGAAGATTTGGGATGTGGAGAATGGAGCAGATAAATATGGTAAGACACTTATGAAGAGTACAATACTGCATGCACCTACAGCGGTAGCAAGTCAAATCCGACTCCAAGAGTGTTGCACTCGCACTACACCAACACAGCATGCAACAAAACCAACGCCGGAGCATGGACAGTGCATGCATACATATCAGGGAGTCGTAGCGTCCAAGGAGACGGCACGTGATCACAGTACTAGTACCCAAAACAATATGCATTTCGACCCCGGATTTGGAAGTTGTAGGGGATGCACGTACATGTAAGTAAATGCCTTGGTACTCTTCAGTGAAGCCTATTGTGTTTAACTGTTTATACCTTCAATACAATACCGTGCCCTTATAATCATGCAACTGTACCCTCCTGTGCGAGTATAAGGGTGTGCACTTCTATGCACCTGAATGCAAAGGATGTACTGTTTGTGGGTCTCCAGCTCTGGGCAGTCATGGTGACTCAGTCACCAGCATCTCATGGAGAGAGAATGGGCAAGTGCTGGCTTCTGCATGCAAGGACAAGAAGCTGCGCATTTTGGATCCACGCACGTCCACTGTTGCTGCTGTAAGTCTCTGCAATGGCCCGCTATGTAACACGAGCTACAGTTCATGATCTATTCAGAGTACGTAGACTAGAAACCAAGTACATGTATGTGTGTTGTTGTACTTGAACTAATGAAGTATGGTTGAAGGTTTTCAAAATTCCTGTGGATATTTATATACAGTGAAACCTGTCTAAGATGACCGCTCAGGGGACCTTCAAAACGTGGTCTCTGTTACCAGGTGGTCTCCTTATCCAGGGTCAATTGACTGGAAATAGCATCCCTTGGTCCTGGTTCCAGTGGTCTTCTGTAGCAGGTGGTCGCCTTATTCGAGTGGTCGCCTTGACAGGTTTTACTGTAATAATATTGGACATGTGCAATGGTGTTAGTTTTTGAATATCTACGAACGGTTTGTGCTGAACCTTTTTTCTGGTGTTGTTTTCCTTGTTTTGTGGCAGGAATGTAGTGGTCATTCTGGTGTGAAAGAACCCCGTGTGCTATGGCTAGGCGATGGAGAACACATTGTCAGCACTGGCTTCACTGCTGTGAGTGGGAAATCACCGTGTTTGTATAATTATTATAATTTAACTCACACCAGCTGCTTTGGAAGCTGTATCTGCAGTATTCTGCACCTTGATCTTTGAAGATGGTGATGACAGTTCAGCGGCCAGTTTGGCATATCGCAGCATGGCAGAGCATGCTCTCGGGTCCTTCAACAGGCAAACCTGGCTAGAGCCAGAGCATGTAAACAAAACTTGTCAAGATGGGCATCAAGTCCACGTCAGCTCCAATTTCATCAGTTCTTGTGACTATAAGTGGCTGTCATCCATTTGTATACAGTATCCACAGTGAAGACGGCATCAGGTCTGTGTATATTATCCACAGTGAAGACCATCACTGGCATCAGATCTGTGTATATTATCCACAGTGAAGACAGACTATCACTGGCATCAGGTCTGTGGTCGAAATATTTTTTTACCTAAGCAAAAGTAAAGAGAAAGGACCAATAAGTTACTAGCTATGACTAACAGTCCACCACGGTAACAAGATCCTATACAGTCAGATAGTGCGACAACAAGGCACAAAACTGACAAGGATATTGAGACATTCGACGACCTGACACCTAGCTCCAACACATCTTTTTTTTGCGCTTGGTAGATGTGTTGGAGCTAGGTGTCAGGTCGTCGAATGTCTCAAGATCCTTGTCAGTTTTGTGCCTTGTTGTCGCACTATCTGACTGTATAGGATCTTGTTACCGTGGTGGACTGTTAGTCATAACTAGTAACTTCTTGGTCCGTTCTCTTTACTTATAGTATTGGCTCATCATCAGAGTTAAGCCAAGCAAAAAACCTTTTCCTACGCTTCATTGAGATCAATTTCCAGATCCTAGCCGCTAGCCAGGGATCCTCCTACAGGACTGTATGATTCCCTACATTTCCTCGGTGCTAGTATTTGGCGCATCAGTATAAACTTTGCATTGTTTTAATTTGGGATTCATTGTCTGTGAAGTAGGAAAAACAAAGCTCGAGTTGAAATCCTGAATTCGAATGCTGCAATTTGATATGCATTATATTACCAGTATAATGTTTTTTTCCGAATTTGGTCACTACGTGCCTGTACATTTAAATGGCACCGCACAAATACTGACGACTCGCGATTAACAACATGGTTCTTGTGGCTAGCTGTCGTTATTTGCGATTTTGACAAGTTGCCACTTCATGCTACAGTACCATAGTTATATGAAAGCATGATTTTGAATATAGTACGAACATTTGAAAGAGTATGTGCGTGATGCAGAAGCATGCCTTTGTGCATCAATTGTGCATGAAATGGTGGCTCGAATGGCGGCTTCACTAAAAGCATGGTCTGTCAATAGCCTAAAGGGTCACAAGCACTGATTTCATACACAACTTTATCGGGTGTTGTGTGACATTCACCTGACATGGCCAATGCCACCGTAGTTCTCTATCCTATAATTCTACTTTTTACCAGTAGGCGCAATGCAATGTGGGATAAGTAACTACATGTAGTCTCAGCAGTGAGTGATGTGTTCTGCTGCTTTTCTCTCTTTTCTGTTGCAGAGTCGTGAACGAGAACTCTGCTTGAGAGACATCAGGAACTTTGACAAGGTTGTTCAGCGCTGTCCTCTTGGTTCTTCAACTGGGTGAGCTGCGAATTCTGTGTGTTTGTGATTTCCAGCCTTTTGGTAATTGGTACAATGTAGCAAGTCAAAGAAGGTTGGATAGTTGTGAATGTGCAACCTTCTACCTTTCACTCTGCTTGCTTTTGCGCACCTCACTTGTAAAAACCATGTTGGCTTTGGTGAATGTCGTCTTAAATGCAATGAGTTTGCTTCTTGTTGTTTTCTTGCTGTGCAGTATCGTGCTTCCCTTTTATGATGCTGACACTGGAATTCTCCTTCTTCTCGGAAAGGTTAGATATGAGTTATCATACCGGTTAGCTGTGTGGTTACCCATGTAGTATGAGCTATGTGTCGTGCTTTCCTTACTCAGCTTCTCACTTTAATATTCACCATTTTATTTTAGCAACCTTCTCTAATTTGCGTCTAAGCGTGTGTTCCTCGTTGGAACAACCAGCTTCATGACTAATACCGCCGAAGTCACAACTTCTAAGTTCATCTTGTCTAATTTGTCTTGTTTTTCAGGGAGATTGCACGATCAACTTTTTGGAGTTTGACAGCAAGAATGCAAAGCTCACGGAAGGTAGGAGAGTCTGCAGCCACTCGTTTTACCGATACCCTTCCTGTTACATGTAGTCCCTTTTATCCCCCATCTCCTCAAGATTCTGCTTGCTTCACTGTATGTTCACAGCTGCTTCTGATGGTGTTGCTGTGATCTGTTATTTGCTACTTCATTTTCTCCCTCAGGTCAAGGCTATTCCTCTGCTCTGCCACAAAAGGGCGGTTGTCTGGTGCCCAAGCGTGCCCTCAATGTTATGTCGTGTGAAGTGGCGCGATTGCTGCAGTTGCAGCAGAATGCCGTACAGCCAGTCGGATACTTTGTTCCTCGCAAGGTAGACAAAGACATGTCTATGGCTTGACTTGCTTTCTGTGTGTGTATCAGTGTACTGTAAAAGCAGAAATTTTCGGTGGTGTTTCATTTTTGGTAACTTCGGTGCCGACAATTTTTACCGCAAATAAAACGCACCGAAATTTTCGGTACAACCGATACTGTATACATGTCGTACTACTACTAGTACACTTACCTGGAAAACGGGTTTGACCGAAAATTTCCGTCCACCGAACCACCGATTTTGGAGAATACCGAAAATATTATATTACACCACCAAAAAATTTACAGTATGTGCCTCATCAGTTGATGTCCACCCAATGGTGTGTCTCTTTTCGGTGTACGGGTACACACACAGTACTCTGAGAGCTTAGGCTAGAGACTATGGCATGTGTTGCTTGATGTCTGCTGATATTTTAACATAATGTGTGTAGTGAGACTTTGAGTGTGGGCCTTACATTGCACTTTGTTGCATTGTCACTTGTACAGAGCTATCTGGACTTCACTCCACTTTGTTGCATTGTCTCTCTTGTACAGAGTTATCTGGACTTTGCTGATGACCTATACCCTGACACTCTGGCTTCCAGCGCTGCCATGACAGCAGATGAGTGGTTTGACGGAGCCAATGAGAAGGTAAGTATAGGATTGCCCTGGTCCTGGTGGTAGTGGTGGTGGTAGTGGTGGTAGTGGTGGTGGTAGTGGTAGTGGTGGTAGTGGTGGTAGTGGTGGTAGTGGTGGTAGTGGTGGTGGTGGTGGTGGTAGTGGTGGTGGTAGTGGTGGTGGTGGTGGTGGTGTGTGTGTGGGGGGGGGGGGGGGGGAGGGAGAGAGAGATTGTCGCTAACAGAACAGCCACTTCAACCAGCGGTTTGTGCAAGTGCGAGCTAAAAATGGCAACAGGCCAATAGGCAATGTCTGCGTCAGTCAGACTCTGACTCCTATCGGTTTCTTCTACTGTAAACACAGAAGCCTTTGCCATCCTGAAATGTGAAATGTTCACGATTTTCACGATGGGTGTGAAATCGCGAAAGTAAGTGGGTGCGAAACGTGAAACTATAGACTTGAGTCAATCATCAAATTGACTCCAACCACAAAATGGTCTGTCATCGCAATTCACCAGCTAAAACGGGCGCAAACAATTCCGGATTTACAGTATATGACAAGCACGGAAAGGAATACGCACTTGACCATACTTCTGCCAAGAATATTGCAATATATAATTCAACCATGGCCATCACAACTAAAGATAGGAGTTGCACACTCTTGGTTATATATTCTGAGTTGAAAAGGGAACAATATCGACAGGAAAATTGACTTTCCCAGCCAGGACTTGAACCAGGGAACTTGGCTCTAGGCCCGGCTCAAACCCCGAAATCATGCGCATCGCACATCGCACGCTTGACGGTACCTGTTTTTCATCGCTGACCGTTCTACAGTCAGATCAGTGCATGCAATATGCAACATCCTATTTGCTCAGTCCGCATTACCACAAAGGCAAACACGGTGCTGATTAGGAACAGAACAGGCCATTTATAGGGCCCATTTGGTTGGTACGATCTAGAACAGAATCGAACAGCTGGTGCACATGGAGCAGCCTCATGCCAGCCAAATGAAACTCTAGAAACAGAGTACATTTTGACGAAAAGTGGGCCAAACTTGGTTCCTTCCATCAAAATGTGTGCGAGTTACTTCGTACGGTATAACAAGTGCATGCCGAAATTGTAACCCAAAGCGTATGCACATGATCGTTTTGTACGAAATTAATATTCCCGTCATATTTCAATGTGAGAAAATGAAACTGCGCTGGCTGCTCTGGCCTTGAGGCCGGAGCAAGCAGAACATGTTCTGGTCGATCCAGAACCAAACAACCAAACGCGCTGTTCTGGTTGATCCTGTTCTAGGTTGCACCAACCAAGCGCGCCCTTATTGATATTTGATCATGTGACAATCATGTGTTTAGGTTGAACGTGTTTCCTTGAAACCGGAGTCATCCAGGGCAGCATCTTCATCCACATCAGCTGGAGCATCCACATCAGCTGGAGCATCTGCAAGTGCTGGTGCACACTCTCCTTCAAACGAGGTTGGTAATGTTACTGCCACTTTAGCTCTCGCGGAATTGGTCTGCCGATTATGTGTGTACATGTGTGTGTGTGTGTGTGTGTGTGTGTGTGTGTGTGTGTATGTGCATGTGGGTGTGTGTGTGTGTGTGTGTGTGTGTGCGCGCGCGCGCTCACGTGCATGTGTGTGTATGTATGTGCAAGCCATGCGATAAGAAATCATGGTCGTTCTGATATATTGTCTTGACACTCCTTGAATTGGTCGGATATGCCCGGACATACCATCTTGCCACATAGCGTGTCTTGGAAAGCCGACGTTTTCAAATTTCTCGACCCAACAATGAAGGACTCCGAAAAATGTTGCTGATGAAATCTGTCTATTCCATGATGTGATTGCCTCGCTTGTCCTGTGCACAGGACGAGCTGGAGATTATACAGTTGAAACCTTTCGCTGGCGTCAGGTCATCCAAGGTTCGTCATTGGATGGGCACAACATTGCCGAAGAGCACATGGATCGATGGCCTGAAGCCAGTCTGTACCAGCATTCCTGGTGACTCCGATGGAATATCGGTATGTGCAATGTGCTAGATTGCATTACTAGGGTAGTGTTTTTAAAGTACGGATTGGATTGTGTTAGCCATTTGGCACATGAGGAAGGCTGAAGTGAGTGAGTACAGAAAGTAGGTAATAATTGTATTCACAAGTTGTTGTCAAGCAGGAAGAACAACTTCTAAATTATAATTACTACTTATCGGTATGTACATTGTACGTACACTGCTGTGGCAACAGTGTGACAGCATCACACAGAGTCTGAATCCCGAACTTGAGCCGTATTCTCGAGTCTGCACGTCATTGGAACCCCGGATATAAATTGGAGTGGATATTGCAGGATAATGTTAATCTACTGCTTGCCATGTGTATTCGCTTTTTTCAGTCTTGTCAATGACTGTGTTGCCACACCTGCCGACATGTCAGTAGCCTGCCGATTTTTGAGGCATGTCACGACCTGCCGACAATTGACCTTCTCCTGCCGACAACAGCCATGAAAGTGTTCAAGTTTGACCTTATGCATGGTTTAGGAGCCATGGTCCAGATTTTTGACTTCTATTGCGCATCACGAGTACATCCATAGCTCTCTCCTGAGGCGCTAAGCGAAATCATCCGTCTCGGGGAAAAATCGGCAAACTCAGCCTGAGTGTCACGCAAACCCGTGAAATGTTTTTTTTCTTATCAGTGCCGCATGTGGTCGCTATATAGGGGGGGGGTCTGGGGGCTAAAGCCCCCGGATGATGCATTTTATTTTTTCATGCTACTGATATTTGGCTAGAATGATGTGGCAACACTGCAATGAGCACTCGGTTTGCTTTTTGCATGGGTGTAGCCTGACTGAAAATATCACAATTTACCAACAGGCATGACTAAATATCCGATGGCCTCCTTACCTCTTCTTGATGACTCAGGTGTGATTGTAATGTTTTCTATGATCTGTTACTTTGGACAATAGGTTAGTCACAACCGTGCTCTCGTACCGTTGGCTGGAGTTGGTGGGCATTTAGTGGTCGTACAGGTGAGTGCTGCTGCTGCTGTTGATGAGAATATTGATCATCAATACACAATCACCAGCATGCTGACACTAATGCTGCGGTTGGTATTGTATCTGTTTGTGATGATAATCTGACCTTTCCCTTTTCTGGAGCGAAACGTTCTGGGGCACAACTTTGGTTTCCATGTCCTTGACATGCGTACGCGTATAAAAAAAATCACGGTTCGCGTGGGACTCGGCTGGAGGCCGAGTTTTCCGCATCCGCAGGAACGCCACCACCCTCTATGGATCAAGGCAGGAACGCCACCACCCTCTAGGATCAAGGCAGGAACGCCACCACCCTCTAGGATCAAGGCAGGAACGCCACCACCCTCTAGGATCAAGGCAGGAACGCCACCACCCTCTAGGATCAAGGCGCAGATTCAGCTCCTCAGGCGGTGGGAGTTGAGTAGATCAGACCCACCACAAAGTAGTCAAAGACCGAAAATCCCATTCGCTGCACCCATACGCATATAACTAGTACTTTATTCACTGCTATTGTACAACTATTCAGCATGGTCTCCATACCACCTGTTCAAATAGTTATCGTTCAGTTGTTTTAACTGTTCTGACTGTGGATCTGGTTGGGTGAGTGGTGATCGTTGAGGTTGCAGTTACAGAGCATGATTGATAATTATGGATAGATCCTGATTTGAGTAGCCACTGAAAGGAGTTAAGCTTCTGGGTCAGCAGGATAGGAGCCAAGTAACATACGCTACTTAGAAATGTATTGACGTGAAATTATGTCTTGTAATATCTACCTCCAGGTTCTGTTATTGTAACAGAGCATTTACTAGTGCATCTAATAAGAATACATAAAGCTATGACAGACTCGCCTATGGGCTATGGCGAATTTTTTATTGTGTCATCTTCATACCTGTCACGTGCCTGTTGTCAGGTCGTTGCTAGCATTTGGCCAATCAGAGCAGCACCGTACCAGGGCATTATCAGTCGATAATGCCCGGGTACAGTGTACCCATGCCCATTAGGATTGACCCTAGGCGTACTACGGACACTGGTGCACTGACAATTATATACCAGGCCATGCCTTTAGGGCAATGCCCTGGTCCGTAGTTGGCAGTACCCCAGCGCACATAGAACACATGGGACCATTCCTAAAGACACCACATGCACTCGCACACACCACACAGAACGAAACTACTTGCACCGTCCAAACCAATTATATTTTACTAGCAATGTCGATATAGGAGAAGTCATTTATAACAACGTGACAAGAGAATGACACACAACATGTCTATTACAATGCATTACTAAATTGAGACGAACAAGTCGATTGGTGAACATGCATTACAAAGTTACCTATCTGGAATAGATCAGATTGTATCTCGAACTCCGACGAAATATACAATTACATGTACCTCAAATGTACCTAGCTACATGTACACTGTACATGGACCTCAAGTACACTGACAGCGATGGGAACAAAATCTCAGCTGTGTGTGAAAAAGAATCATTATTCCGGATAAGAACACTTACAATGTACTCCCAAAACTAGTCTAATTACTAGTACCACTTCGTCACGGCTGTTTTTGTTCAACGGCAACTCCAAAGCCACAGCAAATCAGCTAACTTCCGTACCGCCCAATAGGCAACACTATCACAACAATTCAAAGGTATATTACTGGAACTGCAAGTAAATCTGACACAAAACACTATTATTCCACGGAGAAAGCTCCTTCCGATCTTGCTCGACCCTTCATTCATGTGACAGCTGACACCTTCCTCCTCCCTTGACCATGTTTGCCTTATTCGTCTACAACTAGGCACGTGGCATGGATGAACTATTAAACACATGGTGCGCCGTCAAGAGTACATAAACCAGAGTGTGCAGCTGTGCACATCAGATCTGAAACAGCGCAGCTCGTGCACTACGTCACCCTGATGAGGTCAGCCAAGCGTCACATGAATGAAGGGCCGAGCAAGATCGGAAGGAGCTTTCTCCGCGGAATAATAGTGTTTTGTGTCAGATTTACTTGCAGTTCCAGTAATATGCCTTTGCATTGTTGTGATAGTGTTGCGTACAGCTCAAATTTTTGTTTTTCACAGCTCGAAAATCAGCCAAGTTTGCATGATTTTCGACGTCCTGTTGTAGGATTTCGGTGTTTTTATGTGACTGTGTATGCTCCGTACATCCGCTGACAAGTAAATTCACCAGGCTGTCCATATCAAAAAACCGAAATCAGCACAAACTCGGTGACCTGCACACCGCGACTGGTTACGCAACTTTTCATCGTACATTAGACTTATCATACCGTCAGAAATGACGTACTGCACGGATTACGCTCCCACTGGAACCATCCTGAGTTGCACACTCTGGTTTATGTACTCTTGGCGTCATGCGTTATGGCCGTACATCCGCTGACAAGTAAATTCACCAGGCTGTCCATATCAAAAAACCGAAATCAGCACAAACTCGGTGACCTGCACACCGCGACTGGTTACGCAACTTTTCATCGTACATTAGACTTATCATACCGTCAGAAATGACGTACTGCACGGATTACGCTCCCACTGGAACCATCCTGAGTTGCACACTCTGGTTTATGTACTCTTGGCGTCATGCGTTATGGCTGATTGTATGCCCTAGTGCGTAGCCCTCGGTCGTGCACGTCCTGTTGTAGGATTTCGGTGTTTTTATGTGACTGTGTATGCTCCGTACATCCGCTGACAAGTAAATTCACCAGGCTGTCCATATCAAAAAACCGAAATCAGCACAAACTCGGTGACCTGCACACCGCGACTGGTTACGCAACTTTTCATCGTACATTAGACTTATACCGTCAGAAATGACGTACTGCACGGATTACGCTCCCACTGGAACCATCCTGAGTTGCACACTCTGGTTTATGTACTCTTGGCGTCATGCGTTATGGCTGATTGTATGCCCTAGTGCGTAGCCCTCGGTGCACGACCTCGGGCTATGCACTAGGGCGTAGATCAGCCATAATGCCCTCCGTACCATGTGTTATTATAATACATTATGATCACGTATGCCTTTCTGGGCTTGTCATAAATATAGATACGGTGTTGGTTCATCAGCTTCATAGATCTACCATCTGTTGTTTGTTGTACTTTGACTACCATAGCCAGTCTTGTCCTTTTGTGATGTGCAAGCAAGAGTACATAACCCCCAAGAGTGTGCAACTCCAGCTATGGGGCCTGCGACGGCAGAGCTTCACATCACATGCCAAACACGTACAGGGTTGTACGCAACCCTGCTTTGGGTTCAACTCTTTTGTGGTCACTTTGCACCAGGGAGTCGTAAAGTACCCGGTGTATTTTACGACTCTCTGCTTTGCACTGTTTGCCAGCGTAACCTGTTGAACCAGGTCACGTAATGTCTAGTTCTGCCGTCGCAGCACTGTATACAGGTTCAGTTGCACACTCTTTGGGGTTATGTACTCTGGGTACAAGTAATATTTCTTTTGCATTTTTGATGTCTGGCTATGCATGATGGCATTGGTAGCCAAACGGCCTCGAAAGACTGTCACATAAAAAAAATGCGCTGTGGGCTGACCCTGTGATATGCGGTCGAGTTGCGCACAATTAGTTTCTTTCTCCAGCTCTACTGGCTATTTTAATATCTCATTCCGTGTACAAGTTCCGGCTACATGAATGCCGGCAGTTTACACCCATACTTTTTTTTGTGATCTATAGTGAACACCTAAAGGGCCTAGGGGTTGACTGTACTCTTGCTTTTCCTATAGAAAAGAGAGATTTTTGCTGCATGGTTTGGTCTGGAATTCAAGCCATTGGACATTATTCTAACCCTGCATGTGTGATGTAGGTTGACAAGCCTGGCCGTCGCAAGACAACAGAGACATCAAGCATTCCATACTTGGAGAACGGGTGTGCCATTCAGGACTTCTGTTTTGACCCGTTTGATGACAGCCGTGTGTTCATTGGTTAGTGCTGTTTAGCAGATTGTTGCTTTTCAGACTTTTCCATTTCCAATCCCTCAAGCTTGGAAATATCACATCTAATTGGTGACCTATTGAAGGAAATTTGGACAGTTACTTGGATGAGCTATGTAGTGAAGGAAGGACCGTGCAAACTTTCATCTTGAAGGTGTTTCTAAAAATAGATTCTCCTGCACATGGCTGTACTGGGTGCGGCACTTGGAAGTATGGTTGGCAATACACTACATACAGGGCTAAAAGATGACAATTTGGCAGTGAGAGAGTGGCAGGTTTGGTGAGGTGATCAGTTTAGTTTTTGGTTGTCAGAGAGAGCGAGGTTTCACTCTGTAATACTTGGGTTATCAATTTATCACGTCTAATCACGGTCATACCTTGCTACTGTTGCTACTGTTGTTCCTGTGTGTCTACTATCATTGCCTACAGCTGGTGAAGATGGAAAAGTCAACATTTTCAAAGTGCCAGCTGGTGGTTTGACCAGCACTATCACACAGACTGAAGGAAGTTTGAGAGGTCAGTTTCAGCTGTCCTTCTCATGTCCTTCTCATTATATGTATCAGTGTAGGCTCTATCCCATGTGCACCTTCTCTTTCACCGCTGACGGTGTGCTTGATCCTTGTGAGTGAGTTCATTATCCTGAACTGTATTTGATTCGTGTTGGATCAAATGCTGGCATGGGCCATTTCTTCTCCGTATGTTGGTCTCAGGATGCCTGTTTCTTCATGCTCTCTCGCAGGCGCGCGTGTGTCTGTGTGCGTGTGCATGCGCGTTCGCGTGTGTGTGCACCCACCTGCACGTCCGTCCGTGCAAGCGTGCATGTGCTTGCGAGCGTGCATGTGCTTCTGTGTGTGATAACTAAAATGTTGTGTGTGTACCTGCCATTTTTGTCTTTGTCAGGTCACTATGAGAAGGTGAACATTCTGCTTCCGCATCCAACTGCTGCTGGAGTTCTCACCACAGCATCATTTGACCTGGCTGTCAAAGTCTGGGATGTTGGCAGTGAATCGGAAAAGATTGTTCTCGAAGGCCATACTGAACAGGTGTTTGGCATGGCGTGGAACACTGATGGCAAACTGCTGGCCACACTCTGCAAGGATCGCAAAATTCGCATCTATGAACCCCGCTCGTCGACCAGTCCAATTGAGGTATGGCTGACTACAGGTCCACACAGTACTACTGTGCGTATGAATATGCTGTTATTGTTACCAAGAGTACATAATCCCCAAGACTGCAAGAGTGTACAACTCAAGCATGCCTTGCAGTCCCGACAGTAGCTGCTAGGTTAGCTTGCCTGTCCATCATAAAATTTGTACTTCCAAGCTGACGACCCCGCCCGGCGGAACTAATTTGCCTTTCTGGCATTGGCTAGTGCATTGACAGTGATGAACTTGGGAAACCTTTCAAGGTCGTTGTCCCCCCCCCCCCCCCCCCCCCGGAAAATCACGCAAGAAACTCTCAATATTATCTTCCTCTTCACAACCGCCGTGCCATGGAATCACACTGACTGCTAACAGCACTGTCTGAGAAATCGCAACAAGAAGTACATTTAGAACAGCATGAAATACAGTGCTGAGGTTTTGGCAGTGGATGCATCGGTCACATGTTAGTGAGATTGTGAAACTCACATCTGTTCGACGCGACTGCTAGTGTGAACATGGCTGTAACTGTTGTTGGCTTCTATTGCTTTTAGGTTGGCAATGGGCCCAATGGCAGTCGTGGTGGGCGGATAGTGTGGGTGGGCGACACACACCTGATTGTGTCTGGCTTTGACAAGTAAGTTGTTTTCATCATGTCATGATCATTATTGTTATTCTTGCGGATCTTGTTTTCAACCATCGCTGCTTAAAAGGGAAACAACAGGTGCACGACCAGTGTGCTTCTCCTGTAGCAGACCTGCATGGTATTGGTATTGTGCATGCGGTTGTGTGTGTGTGTGTGTGTGTGTGTGTGTGTGTGTTCGTGCGTGTGTGCGTGTGTGTGTGTGTGTGTGTATGTCTGTGTGTGTGTGTGTGTGTGTATGTCTGTGTGTGTGTATGTCCGTGTGTGTGTGTGTGTATGTGTGGTGCGCGGACCATGGCTGTCTGGTTCCATCCCAGGACTAGCCAACGCTCTATCTCTCTGTATGCACGCAAAGACCTCAGCAAACCAATCAACACTATCATGCTCGATGTGTCTCCTTCCATCCTTTTCATCCACTACGACTCTGATAGACAGTTGCTCTTCTACTATGGAAAGGTATGTGTGTGCCCGCACAGGTGTGTGTGTGTGTGTGTGTGTGTGTGTGTGTGTGTGTGTGTGTGTGTGTTCTCATTCTCCTAGCTCTTCTTTCATTCTCCTGGGTGGTTACCAACAGCCAGTGTATGGGTGGTTACCAACAGCCAGTGTATGCCGGAGTATGTGGTGTGGTGTGCGTGTCTAAAAAAGAAGAAGAAGAAAAACAGGGATTCACTGGCCAGAAAAAGCCACTTCAATCAGCTGTGTGGTGGATACCAGGCTAGAAAATAGTGGCGGTCAATTCATCAGCCTTGCAAGCTGTTGAATGGTGTAATCCCAGCACAAGTTGCTATGTCTAGCATAGCTGTTCGCTATCATCGCTTTCGCGATGGGCATGTCTAAGGTCTGAGGTGTGTGTGTGTGTGTGTGTGTGTGTGTGTGTGTGTGTGTGTGTGTGTGTGTGTGTGTGTGTGTGTGTGTGTGTGTGTGTGTCCCATATGGTGCAGTGGTATGTGCAGCGATTTCCAATCGATAGGTTGTGGGTTCGATTCCCACACGTCTTTCTTCTCTTTCTCAGACTCCTCCTGACTTTTCTTTCATTCTCCTGGGTGGTTACCAACAGCCAGTGCATGCCGGAGTATGTGGTGTGATGTGTGTGCAGGAAAAACAATGAAAAATGACCAAAAAGTAGGGATTCACTGGCCAGAAAAAGCCCCTTCATAGCTGTGTGGTGTAGACCAGGCTGAATAGTTGCGGTCAATTCTTCAGCCTTGCAAGGTGTTGAATGGTGCAATCCCAGCACAAGCTGCTATCGCTCCTGCTGTAGCATCGCTATCATCACCTCCGGCGATGGGCGTCAAATGGTCCAAATGGTGTGTGTGTGTGTGTGTGAGAGAGAGAGAGAGAGAGAGAGAGAGAGAGAGCTCTGTGTAGAGTGTGAGCGGCCAGTAGGGGTGAAACGATTAGTTCGAATATTCGAGTATTCGTTCGAAAATTTCAAACGAGCGAGTATTCGAAATTTTGCACTCGATCGGGTTTTTTTTGTTTTTTTTTTAGTATTGGCATTGTATTTTTCAAAAACTTTTGTTGTACGGCTGGTCCACTGGTATGCATGCGTTATGCAAGGCTTTGAGTCAGTATTTTAAGACTTGGACAATGCGATCACCACGGCAAGTAACGTTCTGAGATATGAAAGTACTGATGAAAATCGTTACTTTACACTCTGTACAAGACGTTGGCGACTTTTGTTCTATGTTCACAGATAATTTCTTCCGAATTGGTCGAGAACTCGCAAATCTAGTGCTTTTGAATTTTGATAAAATACTCGAAATAATCGGATACTCGATCGAATATTATGAACGAGTGATCGGTTGGTCAAAATAGATACTCGTTTCACCCCTAGCGGCCAGTTATAAAAAGTAACCCCAGATGAGTTGGCTTGGGACAATATGAAAAGTATTTACTAGTGATGTAACGAATAATCAATTATTCGAATTTTCTCGATCTCTTGGACCTCAACGAATAATAGATGAAATCTAGGTCGACGATTCGAAAATTCGAATATTCGCGGGTGGGCGAAGTCCGTGCGCTGCATGCGCGCGACTCTAGATCTCTCGACTTGAATGCATAAACTTTGTACTGTGTTGCAGACAACGACTAGACTACACGCGGTAGACCATGGTAGACTCGACTCTGACTCGAGTCTGAACGCTTGTGTTGTGTGTTTGCTACATTGTACACTTTTTGTGGAATAGAAGAATAGTCGTTGGTTCGCTTGAGTGGTATACGCTAGATTATTCGTTCGTAAAATTCATGGTTCGTTACATCACTAGTATTTACCTTTCCAAGGTGGTAGGATAAATGGGTAGGCACATGGGTGAGCACGTAGATTTTTGTAGTAGAGGGTGGCAGGGTGGTAGGATCACTTCCATTATCTGCTTGTTGATTTACAGAATTGCGTTTGCTGTCATCTAAGGCTGTCATATCATCTCTCTAGCAGATGCTGCTTCTGCCTGCGGCCGTGTATGACTTGTGGTAGTTATTATTATATTACTGTATCTCTGTCCATGCTTGTTATGTTCATTGCATTTACTCTCTTATATAAAGGGTGATAGCTCAGTCAGTGCTCTGGAAGTCAGTCTCACTGAATCGCCGTTCTTGTTTGCCACCACTTTATTCAAAGGCAATGGCTTGCAGCAGGTGAGTGACGGCAGCAGCAACATTGCATCAATGTGGCACTTAGGAGTGCAGTTTTCTGGTGTTTTGTATGATGGACACAAAAGCTCTCCCTGAGGTGCTCTCACATAAGTTACTCGCGCAAGGTGCTCACATATCGTTGAGTATGCTGCACACACTTCAATAAGGGAGCAGTAGTTCGGGATCATATTCTTCTTTCCTTCCCTGCTACTGATAACCTGATGACGTCACAAGAAAGACCTCGGAATGGAGATCTCCACATGCACAACAAAACAGCTTCAAGCTGAATATGGGAGTAAAGACTACTAGTAGTTCACTTGAATCCCCTGCGGGCAACTCGCCTGCACTCCAGTATGCATGAATCCCCTGCGGGCAACTCGCCTGCACTCCAGTATGCAGTGCCTAGTTCACACAAAAAATCCAGCATCCAGTGAACGTTTCGGTCTTCTTGACCATCTTCAGGCATCAGGTGGTTGTGGAAAGATTAAAAAAAACAAAAAACAGCGGTATACTAAGCCAACAACAAACGAGACTGGGTTATAATTGTGTAGACTATTTGATTTGTAGACTACTTGCCCCCACATGTGAAAAGAATTGAAATAAAAGTAGTGTCTACATTGTACCTCTGCAGACATGCATGTAACCTGCATGTGATGTACACAAATTGTTGCTGTTTCACCATGTACGGCTACATTGTACGTGTGCACGGAACTGAACCATTCGGAATGGTTTCCTAACCACTTTCTTTCTAGCTCTACTGTAAAACCAGAAAATTTCGGCGGTGTATTACTTTCGCGATATTCCAAAATTCCAAAATTGGCATTTTGGTAGCAGTATTGGTCAGTAGTTGTGGTCAGTAGTTGTGGTCAGTAGTTGTGGTCAGTAGTTGTGTGTGTGGTCTCCTACAAGTACTATAGTACATGTACAGTAGTACTGGTAGCATGACCTTGCGTTTATTTTAGGTATCTGGCTCGGACTGAAGTTACTTTTAAGAAAAATTCTGGTTTCGCACTTGAAATGACCCAATCATCCTTTTTACTGGACGTGTGTTAGAGCTAGGTCTCAGGTCGTTGAATGTGTCTGTAACATGTCAGTTTTGTGCCCTGTTATCGCACTTTCTGACTGCTTATATCTTGTTACAGTCGTGGATAGTTGCTTCATAGCTCCTTTCCATGTGATTTCTTCTATTTTAATTTCATCCTTTTTGTATGCTTTCTTTTGCACCAGGCTATTGGCTTCCAGCCAGCAAACATGTGTGATGTAAAGAATGTTGAAATTGCCACGGTCTTGCGTCTATCCAACACTGGATCACTGGAACCAGTCAAGTTCAAGATTCCACGTACAAGGGTAAGTGTTTTTTAAAAAGACTAAAACTTTTAATTAATTTGCTCTTGGTGTCATGTCATGCTGAAGTAAAACACGTCTCACTTTGTCTGCAGGGCTCTGGACCTGGTGAGCTGCTAGCAGCAGGATTTCAGATATCAAATCTCTTCTTCTCTCTTGTTTTGCTTTTTGCTGTGGTCAGGTGGAGTACTTCCAAGATGACATTTTCCCACCATGCCGAGTAACTTGGGAGTCTAGTTTGTCTGCTTCAGAGTGGTTCTCTGGCAAGAATGTCTCTGCCAAAACAATCAATCTCCAACCAGCTGGAATGAAGCCATGTAAGTACTTTGTACACTGCTACCCAGTGAAATCTGCTCCCTGGCTTCCTGCTAATGAATATGTACAATATGCGTAAACATGATATAGCTACATACGCCCCTACCTACGTGCGTATGCATCTTTCCACCTCCACTGTCGTAGTGATGGCAATGTGGCTTGGAAGTGCTTCGTCACGGTCATAGTTATGTTGGTTTGGAACCCACTTGATTCTAGTTTTGTATGGAACCATGCAGGTTTCAAGCTGGGTTGAGTACTTCTGCAGCGGAATTTCATTCCATATGCTACTATTATACAGGCCTTGATTTCAGTGATCAGTGATGCACAGTAACACAGCACCCCAGGTCTGGCCAGTGATCACCCAATGTACATTTGTAATCTAGATCTACAGCTACCGTCATCAAATCAGTGACGTGATGTTAAATTTGCACAGTTCACGTTGGCCACTTGTTCTTGTAGACTACTGTCCTGCGGGTTTATGACTGCCAGCGATTGCACTAAACATCTGCGGGTGGTATGTATGCCATGCATTTATTCATTCATTCATCCATGTTTGAATTCAACGTGAACAGTTGTGTAGCTACAGCACTGCTTGTGTTGTTGTTGCAGTGAGTGAAGCACCGGTTATTGTGGTGACAAAGAAGAAGTATGAAAGCTTCAATCCCCGAGAGAAGACGGATGACGAGAAGAAGGAAGAGGTATGGTTAGCCATGGCTGATTTGGTCCCATTTCGTTCTACTGTATATAGATGATGGTGTTAAGACTAAGAGTATGCATTGCTTTTCTACTGTGTTTGCGTGCGTGTCAATCAAATGTCATGGGTTATCCAATGTGTTCCTATACAGCTTCTCACAGCCATGGTATCGAAGATGGCCGAACCCGATGAGCCACTTCCGCAGGATGAAATGGAAGGTGTTGATGATGATGAATGGGTAAGCGAACTGGTCCCAGCGACCAGCCTAAGCAACACACACACATACTCAATTATTTACGCAAAGTTGAACTCAGAGGGTGAGCCAATTTAATTATGGAAAAAGCGCCGGGGAAGTGTTGGAGCTAGGTGTCAGATCGTTGAATGTCTCAGTACTCCTTGTCAGTTTTGTGCCATTTTGTCGCACTTGCTGACTGTATATGATCTGGTTACGTTGGTGGACAGTTAAGCTGTGTTCACAACTGGCGCGTGTACGCGTGAAACCACGCGTTTGTGCGTATTTTTGCTGGCTTTTGGGGCGCCATGCGTACGGAAACGCGCCGAAATGGAACTTCCAACATGTTGGAATTTTCAGCACGTATCAGGCGCGTATCAGCGTACATGCCAGTCACTTTGACTGGCGGGGTCAAAAAATTAGTACTTGAAGGTGTCGCACGCGCTAAATACGGCTCGGATTGCTGTTTTTTGTGAAAGGCTGAGCGCGCGTTTGGGGGCGCATGAACCGCAAGCGTACCGCGTCCACGCGCCAGTTGTGAACACAGCTTAAGTCATAACTCGTAACATCTTTATTTACGCAAAATAACAATAATACCAGTATAAATGCTGCAGTCATCACCACACGTTGCCAAGGCTTTCCAGAATCGATTTTCTTGTCAGGAATACTCTTTCTATTGATATCCAATGATATACACTGCCTTTGTGCACTCGTTTCCGGATACACGTCTTTGGTGATGACTGCAGTCATTAGTCACTTATTGTGGTCCTCAAGTTAATGTCGGTGTTGTAAAAACACTAAAACACAGACCAACATCAAAATTAATAGTACATACGCCAGGCATGGTGCATTTGTGCTGCATAGAAGTTGGCTCATGGAGAAGTCGTGTTGTTGTTTCAAGGGTTATGCGTCTGCCGTAGCTACGTAGGTACACTGACCAATCAACATATCACTTTTAAATCACGCGTACATGTACGTAATCATAGAGTGCAGCTCTCGTAGCAAGAGCTCACTCTTCTGAAGTCGTTTGTTTAGCTCATACTGTACAGCTGCACCGTGTGTAACTACTACACTAGGCGCTACCAATAATACAGCTCTCACACTGGTCTGCCTCATCATTTCACTGTATCACCAAGGTATTTCATTTCTTTTGCACATTGCTGCTTGCCATACAAAAATTGAAAGATACATGCGAGAATTCAGTTATGACCTTCGTGATACAGTGATTTGACCCTGACCCTACGCCTACGGTACGACGATGTATCCAGCATAGCTAGTAGCTACAGAGTTGCACTTCCTTGATAATAATAGACAAGGTTAGCATTTTACCGTTCACGCTAACTTCAACCGTACCGGTTTTTTTTTAATGACGTCTTACTGTTTCGTTCTCCCATCGTCGAAAGATACCAACCAACGGTATTTCGGGTGTTGGGTACGAGCACCCCTTTGGATTTAGCGTGAACGGTAAAATGCTAACCATGTTTAGATCTGTATCTTTATACCGGTATGATAAGCAGCAACTGCGCTAGGGGAAATTTTCATTTCTGATATTGCTAGGCAAGCAACAGTAATTTCTGATCCACACTAGGCCGATTGTTCGGCTAGCGTGGAGTTGTACGACAATAGTCGAGATTGGCGCGAAAAATCGTCTGGTATAGGAGGTGTTGTCGTACACGTTTCCGACAAATCTGCGACGAGTTTCTTTTCGTTCGAGTTTTCGGCCAAGTATCGACTGATCGGTATTTGGCCGAAAAGTTGGCCGATTTTTAGTGTTTGCACGTGGTGGAGCGGGCCTCCAACCAATCACTGATGGCCCTCTTGCTTGTGTAAAAGCTATCGCATCTCCACTGTCTGGCGTCTACTAGTGTCTAGCACGGCTGTGTACCACGTGTACGTGTTTAAACAGACGGGCCTACTTCAACCAGTACAAGCAAAATAGGCTAGCACACTGTTGCGTGTGAACAGCTAGTCCAACGCCTCCGACACAGTCGGCTGATTTCATGTCAGAGCATCAGCCGTAAAATCGGCCTAGTGTGTAAGGTGCAAGTATGAAGAAACCCAAGCGTGCAGATAGTATAAGAGGCAGTTTTAACACAGTAAAATAGACACACAATGGACATAATTTACGAGTTGTTGATGACCTACCTAACAAGTGACAGTACTAGTAATAATATTATTAGTGTACTAAAGAAATATGCATAATTATTATTACCGCCGGTACTAGTATACAAAGTAGGTTACGTCCTCTCTCAATGCTACATATATCCTCAAATAAGGGAAGCAGAAGTTAGAGGTGGGGTTATCCTTGAAGTAACAGAACGCAAGGTGTAAGAAAGGAGTAGATAATTTGCTGGTTGTGTGCTTTTCTGCCTATGAACAGGACTAGACAGGACTAAACAGGACTATACCTACCCTAGGTATGTATGAAGATGAACGTGGCTCAAAGAGATACAGCATTGCGGGCACGAGTGGTTTCGACGTTTAGGTTGTATTTATTCAATTTTTTCTTATTACATTATTTCCCCTTGTAAACAGACTTTTTTTTAATTCCTGTTTAGCCCATTCCTTCAATGCGGTCGCTGTGGCTTATATCCATAGCATCATTACACAAGAGCAGTATTTGCAGTTTATCATATTACAGTCGAATACTCACTGGTGTGTGCAACGCTATTTTCTCAGCTTTCCTTCATACTCTTCTTCTCATGTGTTGCCACTGCCTGAAGTTGAAAAGTGAATGTTGTGTTGTGCAACAGAACTAAATTGAGCATCGGAAATGCTCCATGTACATGTATACAGTAGTTGAGTGCTAGCAAGCAGGGTTCACCTAGAGGGCATGTGTCTTGAAGACGGTGACCTTGCCCAGTTTCTTATTGCGTACTGAATATGTCAGGTTGAACGAGTGGCTAGCGGCACCTACACCGACACGACACCACACAGAGAAGAAAAAAGAAGAAAAACCCTCACATCAGTTGGTGCCAATATTTCCAGAGGTTGGATGGCAAAGTCACGCAGCACGGTACTTCACTTAGAATGATTATTTCGTAGCCGCGCTACCGTGAGACGAGGAATTCTGGCGGTACTTTATACAGGTCAGACCTCGCTATAACGTAATCTCTGGGGTATGGGAGAAATTATGTTATAGCGAGGTTTATGTTATAGTGAGTTGGGCACACCAATATGCAATAAGTATGTCAAAATGACGCTCTTCACTTACTGATTACAACTGTACTGTTTTACATACAAGTATGATGATGACTAGCAAAGATGTGCACATGTGTACAGGCTTGTCAGCAAAGGGGTACCGGGTGACAAGAGCCATGTAGCGCGTGTACTCGTACATGTGAGTCGTGATGTGACGATTAGAGCCTATAAAAAGTAATGGGAGTAGTAAAATACCGGTATTTTACTACTCCCTGCTTCCGAGGTGGACGGCTCGAATTCGTCGCGAGAAGGCATGCATGCCGTGTACATAGTCATTTTTATACGTGTTTTTACGTTATGCTGAGGTCTCCGCGCGCCCGGGACCCAGCAAACAGTGCGTAATAGCGAACATTACGCTATAGCGGATTATGTTATAGCGAGGAAATTTTGTACAGAAGTGATGCGGTTTCGGCAGGGACATTCACATTTGTACGTTATAGTGAGGTTTATGTTATAGCGGGGGTCGTTATAGCGAGGTCTGACCTGTACACTACTCTTGGAATCAGACGATTTCAATATCACAGCCATGGCACCCTATTGAAACAAATACTAGTAATGGGGTATTCACACGACAGGCAAATCCACGTGCACCGGAAAGTTGCTATGGTATTTTACCTGTGAACGAGAAAAGTGCCTGAAAGTGGCTGAAAAGTGAAAGCGAGCTGGGGGCCCACTTTCACGATAATCGTGGCGTGCACGAGTACATTTACACCAAACGAGCTGGGGGCCCACTTTCACGATAATCGTGGCGTGCACGAGTACATTTACACCAAAAAGCGTGAAACAAGACTTGATTTTTTACGCGGCTCTTTAGAGCATGATAATTATCGTATGTGTGTTTTGAAAATTCGAAATACCCATGGCTACTGGTCGGTGAAGCATTCAAAAATGCAAAACGTGCCTGTCGTCAAGTGCAGCTGTTGAATCCACAGAGTCACTTTTCTTGTATGTCACTCCCTGTAAAACGTGCAAGTGCCTGTCGTGTGAATACCCCATTAGGCAGGTTCTTTTGCATCTTACCGTATTCTCCTTCTCGATTGACCGCAACAATTCCACCGGCAAAAGTGGGATATTTGCGCATAATTCTTCTAATGGCATCCTCGGCAGCTGCCTGCGGTGTCATGCCATGGCGCATGTTTTCCACAGTTTGATACCTTGTTGCACATCCGCACACATAGTTACAACAAGTAAGAGGGAGAGAAAAAGAATAGACTGCGCACTAGAATTACTGGAAGGAACAGTTAGGGTGCTTACTAATTTCTTAGGAATTGGCAGGCACAAGCCCATGCAGGTGAATTCCACATTGTAAGTGCATGAAACTGGCTGTTCAGACCGGGTCAGAACATGCTGGACTACGCGTGGCTCCAGGAGTACATAAACCAAACTCTGCACACGAGTTCAGAATTCACCAAGGACTCGGTATCTACCTGTACACTACAGCTACAGTCCAGCTAGGAAAACAACATTAAATTTTATTCCCGTAGCTATGCAGAAGACGATACTTCAGTAACGTCTGGCGCTAGCCAGGGTCCACACAGCTTTAATTTGGTGTTTGTTTGTGTGTTTGTGTCACGCCTGGCGCTATCCCGTATCTGTCCCGTACCGTACCATCAAACACAGCTGGCCACATACAGCTGGCCGCACTATTCAAATAGGGCTTTCAAACGCAAGATCATAACGTGAAGCAACTTGGAAGAATCAGTATGAATGCGAAGTGTATGGGGGAATGCATGTAGGGCGATAGTGCGGGTTCGAATCCCAGGTAATGCCTGAAAAAATAAGAAAATTTGAAAAATTTATAACATCCCTATTCTTTTTTTGCCGTCGTCAAGGCGGTAGATGGTGTCGTATTACCCTCGACCGTACCTGTCCCGTACCGTACAATCAAAGACGGCTGGCCACAATGCATATTCAAATAGGGCTTTCAAATACAAGATCATAACGTGAAGCAACTTGGAAGAATTAGTATGTATGCGAAGTGTATCGGGGGTCCGGGGATGCATGCAGGGCCATAGTGCGGGTTCGAATCCCAGGTTATGTCTAAAAACAAAAAAAGTAGAAATTTATAAGAATTTATAACATCCCTATGCTTTTTTTGTCTAGGTCATCAAGGCAAAAAAGCATAGCGTAGGGCCCTGAGCTTCCAAGCTCTCTCGTTTATTCATTTTATTCCAAGCAATACATGGTTATTGGCGAGTAAAATGTGAAAGGGTGTGCGTTTAGCTGCGGCGAAACTACCTGTTCTAGTTACTCTTGGCACAGGCTAGTCTAGGCACTCTGTGTGCTAGCACTTGTCTGTCTGGCTTGCGTTGGGGGTCGGCAAGGCTAGTCTAGGCACTCTGTGTGCTATCACTGGTCTGTCTGGCTTGTGTTGGGGGTCGGCAGGTTGTAACCCGAGTCGCGGTAGCATTTTGCACGGACCGTGGATTCAGTCTGGGATAGAGGCAGACATTGCTTTGGGTACTATCAAGCGTACATAACGAAGAGTGTGCAACTCTCATCTTGAGCTGTTATGGGTTCACCCACGGCAGATTGTTTTTATTGCGTCATTCTTTGTCAGCAGTATGATGAAGAGTGTATGCTTTCCCCGCGCTTGATTTGTAGATACGGTGAGAGTTCATCAGATTCAGGACACATTGATCTATCGTCCGTTGTTCTGCTTTGACTACCGTAACTGTGACGTACACATTATTAATATTTGTACTTTGATCTCTGGCTACGCATGATGGCATCCGTGAGCCAAACAGCCGCCAAAGACTGATGTCATAAAAAATTTCCGCCATGGGCAGGGGGATTGTCGAGTTGCACACTCTTGGTTATGTACTCTTGGTACTATTGACTCATCTTGTCTCCCTGGAGGCTACGACTTCCTGGTACTTCGAAGTATTTGCAAATACCTGAGCACTTAGCATGCACCCACGCCCCCCCCCCCCACACACACACAAGCATGTTCGTGCACACACGCACGTACACATACACCCACGAACACCCCACACATACTCTTACGTCGGTGAGAATCTCATCATGACATCACCATCACCAGTCTGTGCTGCACCACCCACTTCACTGTCACAATACGAACCAGAGCCAGTGATCGGGGAATCTCCCACACGCCTATATACCAACAGAAGAAGACATCAATGATGGCCAGGGAATGAGAGCCGTTTACGTCGGCCACAAAAAAACCAACACTCAAACCTACACGACACAGTGAAAGAAAGGGCACTCTGGCTTCATTTATATTTTACAATAAGGTCGGTATTATCGTCTTGGAGACCACCAATCAGCGGTGTTCCCGCCAAGGGCTTTGCTGCACAAAAGCATGATCATCTTCCAACACACTCTTTTTAAAAGGGACTTCAGCTCCACTCGTACGTTTGTCGTCAAAAGCAAAGTGAAGCCCGTGCTGGTCGATAGCTTTAGATTTTCCGATGTACAGATGGAGCTAAAGTCGTGCATGACGTCACCTTACTTAGGGACAATTAGGGCACATTCAATTCAAGTCTTCCAATCATCGTAGAAGAAAATGTATTTCCCATCGTGATCAAGAGCCAAAAAGATTACACAATATTAAACTTAAAAGGCAAAGAATTGTATCGTGACAGTTCCCCTTCAAGTTTTTGATGCTTCTATTCACACGAGTATTAAAATCCATTACCTTACGGCACTTACACCTATAGTACATGCACATGACTGGGCATAAGGTGATATGAAGATAAACCATGACAACGAACTTTGTTAGGCCAGTCAGATGCTACGTGTATGATGCATGCTTATCACCACATGAAATACATGTACATTGTAGCAAGAGTACATAAACCAGAGTGTGCAACTCGGGATGCCGTTCCTGCGGGAGCGTAATTCGTGCAGTACGTCATTTCTGACGGCATGGTAAGCCACAGGTACGGTGAAAAGTTGCGTAACCAGTCACGGTGGTGCAGGTCACTGAGTTTGTCCTGATTTCGGTTTTTGGTACGGATAGCCTGGTGAATTTATTTGTCGGTGGATGTACACAGTCCCATAAAAACACCAATATCCTGAAACATGACGTCTAAAATCAAGCAAACTTGGCTGATTTCCGGGCTATGAAACACGAAAATTTGAGCTGTACGCAAGTCGCGGCTTGGCTGACCTCATCAGGGTGACGTAGTGCACGAACTGCGCTGTTTCAGATCTGATATGCACAGTTGCACACTCTGGTTTATGTACTCTTGATTGTGCAGGTAGCAGAAGACAGCACCGTATGTTCAGCAGCTTACCCCGCAATCTTGTGATTTGCACCATTGGTTGTCGTACCACACATAACATGATTGCTGGCATTGACAACCACCATACCTGAAGCAGCAGCAGCAGCAGCAGCAGCATGCACCAGTAGAGTATAACAGAGAGTCGACACAGGTCCAGAGTGTTGAACAACAACGGCAATGACAATGACATCATACGGCCACCACGGCGATGTCACTATTATGACACCACCATGATGAGAACCACCATTAAGGAGCCCCAGGGCCAGGTAGGCAGTACATACTAGTACTGTCGTATAAAGTACAACGTGTGCACACTATGCAAGTCAGTCTAGAATTTAAACATGACGCAAGTGTTTCCATAGCCCATTTCGAAGGAGACACTGCATATATATAGTCCATGTGTATCTGCTGGGTGTTTCCCAGAAGCTGGGAAACACTCTTACCAATCGTGTCATGGTGATGAATATCAACATTAGGATTGCTGTCATCCAGTTGATTACTGGCAACATATCTGCACAAGAATTAAACACATACATCAAGAGTACACGGAGAACCCAGAATGACAGTCATGAATAGCCCGCAAGAACTGTTTTACATTTACAGGGAAAGAGACTACAAGAGTGCATTGTTATTTCAGATGGTTCTGTGATAAATTCTCTTCAAAGATGAAGAAAAATACGGTACCAATTAATGGACGTACGTTGATGACATCCGTAGTGAAATGCGCCAAAAGGGCCATGATCTTGAGGGACATGAGTACTTGTACATTTGTAGCCACCGGACTCACTGAGTATTACGTCATTCTACATACGCATGCGCAGGAAATAAAATCATTGTCTTTGGTCTCAACTTCTTTGTTGTCCGGTTGGCCAAAGTAGCCGTCGTCTAGGGCCCACTCGTCACTGGATCCGCCTCGGAGCTGCTGTGGCCCCTGTCACCCTCCCGGCCCACCTGGATACCCCGCTATCCTGCCACGGCACATCGTCCAGTCGTCTTCGTCGTTTGTCTTCGTCCTGGCCTCAAGCTGGAAATTTGCCACCTCCACCATCCGTATCAGCTCACCTGTGCACGCACGCAGGCACACGCCCGGCACCGGACCCCGCCCCATGGAGCTGCGCTCGCCTCCATCCGTCCCCGCCTCACTCGGCACGCCTCGCCCCAGTGCAGCGCTCCTGCTGGTACCCCGCCAAGCCTGCAACATGCAGCCGCCTCTGACACGATAATACTCCTCTGTCATGCGTACGTGTCCTCTTTTCTTTCTTTCTGCCTCTGACATGCTCTCCACCTCGTCACGTTAACACACCTCTGTCACGTTAACACACCTCTGTCACGTTAACACACCTCTGACACATTAACCCGCCTCTGTCATGCATCTCTCCCTTTCCGCTTTCTGCTCTTTGACTTTTGTTTCGGCCTTTGTTGCCACGTTCTCAACAAATTTCATGCACGCAGCGCTCTCGCTTGTACATATTGTATATTTTCTCTTTCCGCCTTGTACATGCCGCGCTTCCTTTCTCTTCTCTCTCCTTTTTTTTCTTGTTTATCGTGCTTCGCTCCTCCCGACCTCACCAATGGCGGGGGAGTATTGTAGCGACCTAACTCACTGAGTATTACGTCATTCTACATACGCATGCGCAGGAAATAAAATCATTCTTCTTTGTTGTCCGGTTGGCCAAAGTAGCCGTCGTCTAGGGTCCGACGTAAAATCCTATACATTCATTGTACATGGGCGTTTTAGGCCGCATATGGATACACATGTACCTTGTGATTGTCCGGAAGCTATTAATACAGTGCGTATCGGTTATAGCGTGGTCGTGTAAAAGAATATACTGCTTACAAGAATGACCTCTAATATTTTCATAATCATAACATGGGTTTCAAGAGAACATGTATTCCCGTAGCTATGCAGAAGACGTTACTTCAGTAACGTCTGGCGCTAGCCAGGGTCCACACAGCTTTAATTTGGTATTTGTGTGTTTGTTTGTTTGTGTCACGCCTGGTGCTATCCCGTATCTGTCCCGTACCGTACCGTACCATCAAACACAGCTGGCCACATACAGCTGGCCGCAATATTCAAATAGGGCTTTCAAACGCAAGATCATAACGTGAAGCAACTTGGAAGAATGGGTATGAATGCGAAGTGTATGGGGGAATGCATGTAGGGCGATAGTGCGGGTTCAAATCCCAGGATATGCCTGAAAAAATAGGAGAATTGAAAAAATTATAACATCCCTATGCTTTTTTTGCCGTCATCAAGGCGGTAGACGGTGTCGTATTACCCTCGATCGTACCTGTCCCGTACCTATCCCGTACCGTACCGTACCATCAAAGACGGCTGGCCACAATGCATACTCAAATAGGGCTTTCAAATGCAAGATCTTAACGTGAAGCAACTTGGAAGAATTAGTATGTATGCGAAGTGTATCGGGGGGTGCATGCAGGGCGCGCGATAGTGCAGGTTCGAATCCCAGGTTATGTTTTTAAAACAAGGAATTTTTTAAAGAAATTATAACATCCCTATGCTTTTTTTGTCTAGGTCATCAAGGCAAAAAAGCATAGCGTAGGGCCCTGAGCTTCCAAGCTCTCTCGTTCTTACAAGCAATGTTATCGCATAGTAGAATGCATCAGTCCTAAGAATGGATTTTGTGTAGCAAAACAAACCAGATCAGTACAAAGTGTATCTATCGCCTGTAGTAATAACATCTGTCCAATGCAGTTCTGATCCGACTCGCATTGCATTGTAGTGCTGCAGGTTCAACTGTTGCTGTCATGTGTCTCATGCTGCATCGTTCGTCCCGACTGTTTTTACAACCACTGGTGGAATGGGTCGTCACTGCGCAGCTCTATACAAGAGGATAGCTTCCCCGTTGTCAGAAAAGACCCAGGCGCCGTACAGCGTTGTAATGGCCTGGGTTCGCTACCGCCTTAGCTTCGCTCTGCTTAGATCAAGTGTAATGTGTCTTCGCGGTTCGCGGTCCCTCAGAGTGTCTCACGATGTTTCCTCACCGACGTCACTGGTTGCCGTGTAGGCTGCACTTGAACGCTAGCTAGCCATGCACCATGCGTTTAGCTGTTGAGGTTACGCTTGTGTTCATTTCACTCCATTTTTAGCTCATTTCCTCATCATGCATGTTGAGGTTGCGCTTGTGTGTATTTTGCCCGTACCAGAGGCTTGGAATTGGGTACACTGTAACAAAAATAATAATAAAAATGCTGCATAGCCACATGGCAAGTGTATGGGACTATGAACACCCGCATGCATAGCAAGGACATGTTGTATGTATGCTGGCCATCCTGTCTCTGCGCACATGCATCTGATATGTCACACTTGATTTATCGTGTGTAAGAAATATCGGAAATAAGAATAGATAGTCCTTTTTCAAACACCCACGCCATAACCGATACCTACTGTACATCCAAAGTTCTAGAATTTTGATCACATAATGAGAACGCTTCCTTAAAGGGGAAGTGCATCGATTTTTCAAGTAGGGTCCAGAAGAAAGACAATTTGATATCGGTTCGAATGGCATATCTCTCGCTTCCATACGATCAGCCAAACTTGCCAAATCGCCAGTTGTATACTCACGTTGCCATAGTGACCAGCACAGTGATGACGTACGAAAGGCTTAGCTCCACCACAGAGATGGTCGATCACTGCAGAAATTGGTCATTTTCAATTGTCTTATTGTATTCACGATGTGAAAGAAGCGCTGTGTTCAATGCTGTTAGTGCCGTGAACTGTTTATCGGCCTTCTCCTACATTTCCCTAGGCTGATTGTGCCTGGGAAATGGTCCCTCTAGGAGAAGATGCTTGGTATTCGCCATCTCTCCTGAGACATTTTCAGCAAACTTTCAAACCTACGACATTATTTCAATCGTCAATCTCCACCACCCCTCGTCTCACCTGGCTTCAGAAGATGCTACGAGAGATAGGAGAGTGGCCAGGAAGCATCACATCCATCTTCAGGAAGTGGAAAGAGCAGACGGCATGGTCCTTGATTGGGGGAAATGCTGAACGTCTGATTTGTCCCAACCAAGATTTCAGCATTTTGTTCGTCACTATTTTCGCTTGTCTGCTGATGTTTTCGCACTCCAGCTTTCTCCTGTCGGTGTCACGTCCCAGTACACAGCCGAGAGGACTACTACCGTAAAGTACCGTTGATCCGCCCCCTCTCTAATTCCCGCCCCCTGTCGATTTTCTCCTTGTGAAGCGACTTCGGCGTATACAACGAAATACGATGTTGAACCGACGCATGCACTGCTGTACACAATACTTGCCAATCCAGGATCAAAATGTGCACAATCCAGCACATTGAGTCTGATCCTCTACGTTGTTGTACATCGTACTGCACTTGACAGCCTTGATCTAATTCCCGCCCCCTGCCGAAAACCCAGCTGGGAAGCGACATGGCGTGGGGGCGGATCAACGGTACTTTACGGTAATCAACAGTTCACTGCACTAACAGCATTGAACACAGCTCTCCCTTCACTTCGTGAATACAATAAACCAATTGAAAATGACCAATTTCTGCAGTGAATCGACCTTCGCTGTGGTGGAGCTAAGCCTTTCGTACGTCATCACTGCGCTGGTCGCTATGGCAACGTGAGTATACAATGCGAAGGACTAAAGGGACCGTCACTTAATTTTTGCCGACTACCCGCCAAAAAAATCTTTTCATTTCACGTGTCAGACACGTCCGCGTGCGCGTACGATCACAACTATCGATATCGACTAGTCGACTCGCTACCTTTCACGTCAAGCAATCTGTTCACGCCACATGGCTTGATAGCGCGTACAAGCAAACAATACATGATTGAAGACTTGAAAAATTAATTTTTACAAAGGTTTTCATCATAACACGATTTATTGCGTTCTAAAACGAAAAGAACCAATTGCAAAATCAAAATTGTGAAATTTGCAGATCTATCTCGATCTTTGAAGTCCTTTGAGCGAATCCCCTCAAATCTTCAGGAGTCGTGCTTCAGCACAAGAGCTATCGTTTGAGATAGTTTTCGATGCTTTCTGAGAGATTTTCATTTTTAAGACGTAACTCACCCACCTGCTCCAGCAGGTGTTCTTTCCGAGTAGCTGCAGCATCATTGCTTGCCTCCAGCTCATGCCTGGAAACACTAAGTTGTTGTTGAAGTTCAAACACTTGTGATTTCAGTGCTCTCATCTCAGATATGCCATCATTCATCGCATTGGACAGGCATGTGTTCTCTTCGGCAGCAGTAGCTAAACTCTCCTCGCTCAGTTGTAGCTGCTGTTGAAGTGAAGATGATGTTCCACATTCTGTGTCAAGTAAGTGCTGCGCTTTCTGCTCTTTTTCCTTGGCTTCCGTTAACTGTCGCTCAAGACCACTCTTCTCCTGTGCCATTTCCAACAATTGGCGTTTGTGCTCAACGTACAGGCCCTAAAGCCCAAGAAAACAAAAAATATAGCAAAGGACAAGCTAACATGTTGGCCTGAAAGGCATATACAAATGCATACACACACACACACACACACACACACACACACACACACACACACACACACACACACACACACACACACACACACACACACACACACACACACACACACACACTTGAAAATAACCCCGTCGTATGCTTAAAAAATGCAATTGTTCGTAGGAAGAAGGAAGAAAGAAATACTTTTTTAAAGTTTCAACCCCGCTAACTTTTGTTGTATCTCGCACTGGTTGACAGGGTCATTTTCCGTTTCACCAAGGTAATTTCTGTTGTACAGTGCTGCTCATCGCACAAATGGCACCAACACCAGCATCACCCCTTGTCCTAGGGATATCAGCGAACGCACTGCGCAGCCCATCTACTTTGTACAGCTTGTGTCACATGTGTTACAATACCAGTTGTAACTGCCACTGTGGAACTGCAGGCAGCTGTGTTGTATTGTCCTCTTTCTGATTAGCGAATTATGCGGAGCGCTAACGACATCGTATTTTGCTTTGATGCTTGCAGAGCCATGAAGCGTTTAGAGTCAGCCAATGATGTGAAGAACCATGCTGAACATCTTCAAGAGCAACTCACCATTGCTAGAGCTGATGTCATCTCCTTGGAGACAAAGGTACGGTATTGCTGATAGCCATTCCTTTGTTGGGGGGGTGTTGGCGTATTGAAGCTGTCTTTGAGAGTATCTTTAGCATTCACGTTGGACAACATCCTATACTTGGCAGGAATTGTTGTCAAGTCTTCGTACATTGTTCATCATCAGCATCTCTAGGCCACCGCAGACTTACTAGTTGCGAGATTGTATGTACCGTCTTTCCACTGTTGTCCTGTTGTCAGATGGCACAGTCTGATGATGTGGCTGGTCGTGTTGAGTTCTACAAAGCGCAGCTTCACAGCTCAGAGCTGCGCTGTAGCTCTGAACATGCTCATGTAGAGCAGCTGCAGTCTGAGGTGGAAAAACTGTCCACGCGCTACGGTGAATCTACTGCCAGTGTTGCCACGGTCACAGCTGAAATGACCAGACTTCAGGGACAAGTGGAAGTGTTGCAAGAGAACTAGACAAAAATACAGGTATGGTGCTTTGTAGTAGTGACCTTATTATGATCATGGCGATCTATTTTGGCAGTACATGTACTCATAGTGTGGAAGAGAAACGTCAAGTAGAGCTCCATGGCACAATGCATTGCTTAGTCAATTGGTAGTTCTACTCTGGACAATCACTTACACGTATTTCTTGGTGTTGTGCGAACAAATGCTATCTTTCTACCGTCCCAGTGCTGGTTCTATGGTTTATCCTTTTGGGGTTGACTGGCCTGAGTAAAGCTTCTCAAGATGTGTGGTAACTTATAGTGTAGGCTAACTACTGGTCAACTCCTCAGCATTTGAAAGCTGTTGAATGGTGCAATCCCAGCACTATAATTATGTAGTTGCTACAGCTTCTACTATAGCCCAACTATCATTGCCTTGGGGATCGGCATCTATGAGGCCTAATGTGTGTGCTGTGTGTGTGTGTGTGTGTGTGTGTGTGTGTGTGTGTGTGTGTGCGCGTGCGTGTGTCTGTGTGTGTGTGTGTGTGTGTAGGTGCCAATGCTAGTGCGGAGAGTTGTGACCAGCTGACATTGGCTGATCAGGCCGAGATCTCACGGCTGCAGAGAGAAAATGAAGACCTTCGTGCGATGTTGCCAAGCCGGGAAGAAATGCGACTGATGCGTTCTCAAGTGGAGGACGCAACAGCTATGAAGAAAAGCTTTGAGGTGAGTGGACAAGTAGGGATGTCAGCGAACGCACTGCGCAGGCCTCTGCGCATGCATTGCGTCATCGATTTTTTGAACGTGATCGCGGCCGACAGAGAAAACATGGCCGCGGTCTGTTTGCACCGCTGGGAGTCGTAAAATTACTGTTCTTCTGGCCCCGCGACCATTCAAATCATACGCGATACGGAGGACCCACGTACTCACCACGTTCTCCCCGGTCGATTTCTCCGAAAGTTTGCACATCGTGAAACACCAGTATGAGAGGTGTTCAGGCCAATTTTCAAGGGATTTCCCTGGTTGGATCGTTCAAAAATCGGACTTGCATTTCTCGCTCGCGGCCATTTCTTGCGCGATGGAAGCGCCCTGCCCTGTTGAGTCACCGGCGTCGCGCTTGGTAGAGAGTTGCTGCAATCAGCTCCCTGATGTCTTCGCTGCCATTGTCAGAAGCGATGGACCATGAATTTGTTTGAGAGTCTCTGGATGCTACTATTCCTCAGCCTAGTTTTTAGCCATTCCGTGCATCTTCTTCGCACGATTTATTTTGCAAAAAAATGAAAGTGTTCATGAGTTTTCTTGTCTGCCGCGCGTAGATGGGCCAGGCTGACCTGCGCAGATGGGCTGCGCAGTGCGTTCGCTGATATCCCTAGGACAAGGGGTGATGCTGGTGTTGGTGCCATTTGTGCGATGAGCAGCACTGTACAACAGAAATTACCTTGGTGAAACGGAAAATGACCCTGTGAACCAGTACGAGATACAACAAAAGTTAGCGGGGTTGAAACTTTAAAAAAGTATTTCTTTCTTCCTTCTTCCTACGAACAATTGCATTTTTTAAGCATACGACGGGGTTATTTTCAAGTGTGTGTGTGCGTGTGTGTGTGTGTGTGTGTGTGTGTGTGTGTGTGTGTGTATGTGTGTGTGTGTGTGTATGCATTTGTATATGCCTTTCAGGCCAACATGTTAGCTTGTCCTTTGCTATATTTTTTGTTTTCTTGGGCTTTAGGGCCTGTACGTTGAGCACAAACGCCAATTGTTGGAAATGGCACAGGAGAAGAGTGGTCTTGAGCGACAGTTAACGGAAGCCAAGGAAAAAGAGCAGAAAACGCAGCACTTACTTGACACAGAATGTGGAACATCATCTTCACTTCAACAGCAGCTACAACTGAGCGAGGAGAGTTTAGCTACTGCTGCCAAAGAGAACACATGCCTGTCCAATGCGATGAATGATGGCATATCTGAGATGAGAGCACTGAAATCACAAGTGTTTGAACTTCAACAACAACTTAGTGTTTCCAGGCATGAGCTGGAGGCAAGCAATGATGCTGCAGCTACTCAGAAAGAACACCTGCTGGAGCAGGTGGGTGAGTTACGTCTTAAAAATGAAAATCTCTCAGAAAGCATCGAAAACTATCTCAAACGATAGCTCTTGTGCTGAAGCACGACTCCTGAAGATTTGAGGGGATTCGCTCAAAGGACTTCAAAGATCGAGATAGATCTGCAAATTTCACAATTTTGATTTTGCAATTGGTTCTTTTCGTTTTAGAACGCAATCAATCGTGTTATGATGAAAACCTTTGTAAAAATTAATTTTGCAAGTCTTCAATCATGTATTGTTTGCTTGTACGCGCTATCCAGCCATGTGGCGTGAACAGATTGCTTGACGTGAAAGGTAGCGAGTCGACTAGTCGATATCGATAGTCGTGATCGTACGCGCACGCGGACGTGTCTGACACGTGAAACGAAAAGATTTTTTTGGCGGGTAGTCGGCAAAAATTAAGTGACGGTCCCTTTAGTCCTTCGCGTATACAATTGGCGATTTGGCAAGTTTGGCATATCGTATGGAAGCGAGCGATATGCCATTCGAACCGATATCAAATTGTCTTTCTTCTGGACCCTCCTCGAAAAATCGATGCACTTCACCTTTAACCTTTTGCAGATTCTTGAACTTTCCAAGACGATTCGAGAGCACACCCATAGATTGAACAAGCGGGGTCAAGCAGAAAAAAAACTGTAGTCGACTTTGCTGAATGGGGTAACTGTGGTGCCAATGGCAACAAGAGCAAAGGTGGACTTCATCTCAAACACTGTATCCACAACGAGAGGCTGCACTGACTTATCATAAACACTGTACTGTAGTCACAAGAAGATCAATAAATTCACATCCCTGCACAGTGAGCTGCAGCTAAGCTCTGCATGTAGCACAACACACTTACTCATTATCTTGCTGAGGCGGCACACGCTTGTATGGACCACACTGCTTAGTTGGATCAGGCATAACGGCACCTTCCTGGTGTACAGCAACAAAGTACACAAAATGTAGATAACAGACCGTTTGTGAGAAGCGCCACCAGGTCATAGCATCATCTTTTCGGACATTTTGCGGAAAAGCAGTGAGCAATGTCATGTGAATGCAGCTATGAAACACATATGCATGGCCAAGGACAAGTCCAATGCTTGGGAGTGCACGGGACAAACTTGCCTCAACGCATCACCCGCCTCTCCATAACACCATTCTGCTAGGGGTGAAATGGTTACCATTTAGGGTTACAAACGGGTACGTGGCTTAACGGGCGGGTTATCGGGTACCCTTTAGCAGCCAATCGTAACAGCTACTATACAATAGCCTTCCACATGACATTGTCGTGCGAGTACATACAAAGTCATGCAATTCACAGCAAATACACTACATCGCGACAAGCGCAGCATGCGCACCTACCGCGCTACAGGCAAAACACTCAAAATTGTCATATGTAGCAGGATGGAACAACCACCAACAAATTCAAACTGTACATTGAACTGTGAGGCTGTACAAGCCAGCTAATAATCCTGTGCTGTACCGTCGTACACGACTAACGGGTACTCGTTTGCTAACGGGTCAGCAGCTAAACAAACGGGTACCCGGACCACCCCTTTCACCCCTACCATTCTCCCTCGAGCAGTGCAGTTGCGAGTGTCTAAATGCAAAGGGTGTATCTCTCATTGGATAAAGACAAAGTCTATACAACACTTGTCCAGTCTTTCATCGATAACAGCCAAGGCACACACAGGAAAATCAACACAGCACAAAGCACACTTTCTTATCCGCCAATTTACATATCAAAAAACTTTCGAACATTCATGCTCTTTCGCTGCCATCAACCTCAATTTGGAGAGAGTTCCGCAGGAAATGTTTAGGGCAAATCAATGGCATCATGGTCACCGCCTGCCCGGATAACCGAAATACAGTCAAAAACTACCCTTAGGCCACACCAAGTTATTTCTATGTTTCGCATCACCCGCGCACGTACCTTTTCGAATCCTTGACAAGAAAAGAAAAAAAAACCTAGACGAGCCAATCGATGGCTGTTCTGGCAAACATTCTCTAGTCAGTAGGTTATCAGCTTCTCGATAATCTTGCATTCCAGGCGACGGTACGTAGAAGGTGCGAGAGATGAAAATTTCTGTTTTTCCAAGCCGTCCGGTAGGCCTACATGTAAGGCCTGCTCACCAAGCGAACAGAGATTCCAGGTGTCAAGGACTTCGAGATTTTCCACCATTGTGATGGAGCGGGATCCCACTCGACTCCTGTCAAAGTGCAGAAGGAGCTATCCATGAAATCTCTTATTGTATCGCTCCAGCCCAGTCTGCCAGCTGTCCTGTGAGTGTGATGACTTGTTGTCGTTTTGGATAGAAGTGACAGTTTAGTAGTGGTATTCTGTGTGCGACATGGCTCAGTACACATAGAATGGAGTTTTGTTTTTTCTTCTGTTTTTGTTGTTTTTTTCGCCCGCCCGCGTGCCTTTTCCAGAAAATATCCGACAAACATAGAATTAACTTGGTGTGGCCTTATAACGATAACCCCTATAACGATATGTAATACCCTTATAATGATATTTTTCTGCCAAACCAAATCACTCCATTGACTTGTGTATACAACGCCTTACCCTTATAACAATATTGCTATAACGATATTACCCCTATAAGGATATAGAATGGGCTGACCACTCAGAATTGTTTTCATTTTATAACAATATCTAGCAGGGAATATGTAGAGGCCACTATCCAGGTAGGGCAAGCTTCGATAAGTCGCTGGGACATGACGAAATGCAATGGGGGGGGGGGGGGGGGGGCATCAGTAATGCCTGGTTTTGTACACAATGTGCATAGAACATACATGTACTTGTACCTTAGTTTTGATGCTATGAACGTACATGTATGAAATGAACGAGTACCCTCATAACAATATTACCCGTATAACGATATTTCTTGGTCTGACGCAAATATCGTTATAAGGGTAGGTCGACTGTACGAGTGTAGCAGGAGATGGCTTGGCATAGCAGCTGCTAGGCTTCAACTTACCACCCAATAATTAGGAGAGCAGTTGTTTTTCTTCCACTCTGCAAATATCGCACTGACAGCACACAGTGAACAATGAAAACAAGGCAGGTTACAAGGAGCACGTGAGCAGAAGATGAGTGAGTGAGTGAGTGAGTGTGGAGATATCTGGCCTTACTCTGTATTCCGAAACTCAGAAATTGGCGAGTGAACTTTCAGCGGCTTTCGTGAGAGTCATTCAGACACTCAGATTGACTTTCCGCATCCGTAGGAACATTGCAACCCTCAAGGATCAAGGTACAAGTGCTACTCCTAAAGTGAAGCCAGGTGTGAGGCGAGTAATCTCATTCACTGCATCATCCATGTTTAAAATAGTCACCCTCACCGTGGTCTCGTGGGGGGGGGGGGGGGGGCAGGCAGGCAGGCACAGTGGGATGGTCTAAGACCATGATTGAGAAACAGAGGGTCCCGGGTTGAAGTCCTGCTTGGAAGTGGAAGGATTTTCCAGCTGTGCTGCGACCCACAGTTAATTGGGAACTCGTGGCCTGGCATTAGGGACACATGGATGCAGCGAATTGGGATTTTTTTGCTGGTGGGCCGATCTGCTCACCTCCCAGCGCTTTAGGGGTCGTCCATAAATATCGAACTTTCTATTTTCGTTATGGGGTGGGAGGGGGTTGACCAATTTCGTTTTGGAAAACATTGATACATATACATGACCGTAGGAGCAGTGACACACTTGTGACTTTCGTTGCGTATGCATGTACATGTATATGTCAACATTTCTTTACGTTCTGAGGGGGAGGGAGGGAGGGATTGGAGGGATTCCATTGGTGAAAAAAGTTCGATATTTACGGACGGCCCCTTAGGAGCTGCATCTGCACCTTGGATCTTTGCAGGGTGGCGGCGTCGCTACGGATGCTGAAAGCTTAGTCTGAGAAGTTTTAAAAGTACAGACAGCAGCTGACTCACCGGGAATGCTCAGTTTCCAGTGGCTGTTCCTGAAAGCCCATTTCGACAGCAAAGTTAGTAGCTGAACAAGGAGAACAGCAGAGATGCAGGCTACATTCTACATGTACAATGCACAAAGTGTTTTGTGCAAACACCTTAGCAGCCGTGTTGTAGAACACAACAAGATTACTTTTCGCTTTCTTTGCACCTTTGTATGCCTGCTAATGCATTTTCGAAACCCTTTGTGCATCATATGTGTAATTCTCGGTAGATGCATTTTCGACACCCCTTTGTTCTTATTTGCACTCCACTACTCTGCACACTTCCTGTTCTGGCATTCGCTATCACTTGCCAATACATTTCTTCCCTTTATGAAATCTTCCGTTTTGAGACATTCATCATGTTTCTCTGTGAAATACTCGCCCGATGAACATCACTTCTGGTTGCTCTTTCTGCAGTGTGCAAGTAACAATCAAGAGAACCATCATGCAAAGTTCCTTCCTGATGACAGTTGGTACCAACTTTGCTGCTCGGCTTTGCCATGACCACGAGATCGTCCCGACTTGTCTTTCTCTCTCCTCACCGCGATCTCGTCACCTTGCCATGGCACAAGTCCAGAAGTTGTATTGCGGACATCCCGGTCTGCTAAGGCGAGACCAAAAAAATAGAGATTCCCGGGCCTTCCCGCACCAAAATCGAGCCAAAGCCATTTTTTTTAGCAGTTCATACATGTACAGTACTGATCATATGAGTAGATCTGTGATGTGGAGTCACACAAACCCGGGCTTGTACGACTCCCCGATGTACAGATCAGGGCAATTGTTGGCCGAAATACAGAAAAATAATCGAATGGGTAAACCGCGTACAGTCGACCTACCCTTATAACGATAACCTCTATAACGATATTACCCTTATAACGATATTTTTCTGCCAAACCAAATCACTCCATTGGCTTGCGTATACAACGCCTTACCTCTATAACAATATTGCTATAACGATATTACCCCTATAACGATATAAAATGGGCTGACCAATCGATATTTTCCATTATATAACAATATCTAGCAGGGAATATGTAGAGCCCACTATCCAGGAAGGGCAAGCTTCACTTCATAAGTCGCTGGGACATGATGAAATGCAATTGGAGCACCAGTGGGCACCTTGCTGTGTACATAATGTACATGTACATCAGTGGTTTATGCTACGAAGAGTGTAAAAAATTAAAAAATCCATGCATTATGACGTCTGTGTATGAAATGAACCAGTTACCCCTATAACAATATTACCCTTATAACAATATTTCTTGGTCTGACGCAAATATCGTTATAAGGGTAGGTCGACTGTACCTGTTTTCTGGAAAAAAAATAGAATAAAAATTACCGGAAAATACTGTAAAAAAAAAGTTCCGCATGGCATGCATACATACATTGGAAAAAAATAAATAAATAAAAATTCGCCCGCCCGCACCAATTTCACATGGGTCCTGCCCGGGAATCTCGATTTTATTTTGGTCTCGCCTAATAGAGCATCTTCTCAGGTGAAAACTCGTTCGAACTGTTCAACTGCCACTCAGTCCCACAGCATTACTAGACAATAAATACTCGTACACCACATATACTAGTATAGTACCACATTCTCCACTGTCACACTGTCACACTGTCACACTGTCACACTGTCCACCCATACCAACGATACACAACAGCAAGAAGACAAAAGCTAGATGATAGACCTGCACAAAAACGTGTAACAACACTTACCAGCAGTTCCAACGAGCAGTGTTTCTCTGGTGGCTTCCATCACAACACGTGCCACAGAAATTGCTGACCGGATGTTACGCAGACAGCCAACAGATCCTACATCCATTGATGTACTGCAGAATCAAAGACGAAAAACCTGTCCCATAACCATACCATAGAGAGTAGTTGGGTGGACACACCCATTCCCACAGCACTGCAAACCGAACCGATTCCTTTTATGTACAACGTTTCGGCAAAATTGCCATCGTCAGGTACGAAATGAAACAATGATGCCATGTAGGCCAAAAAGAAGCAGCTTTATGCCAAAGTCTTACCGCCAAAACAGCATAATCCCACGCAATAAGAATAGTAGAATCAGTGGCAGAGGTGTAAGTGAGACATTTAACGCCAGCACCAAAACATATCGCTTAAGAATAACAGATACAGTGAGTTGAGCAGCAAAGGTGTAGGTGAGATATTCACCACCAGAACCAAAGCATATTGTCACATTCAGTAAATGTCACCTTCCTAACACCTGTGTTTCACACCTATGTCTTACACCTCGTGTGCCTGCATACTGCAAGAGGCATGCCAGTGAGGGAAGCTTCCCAAGTGTAAGTGATTCGTATTCAGTGATGACGGCTCTGTGGCTATTCCATTATAAGAATACGGATAGCAAGCTATTGGAATCTATTCTTCCCAAATGCACCAAGTTTCCTGAGTGGTATGGGTTGCCCGAGGACCACAAGCAGAATCTACCATTACGGCCTGTCGTATCGGCATGTGACAGCCCTGTCACCGGCGTTTCCATCGTATTGAAATGCATTCTCCAGCAGCTAATTCAGTTTGTCCCTGCGCACCTGGCCAACACGGCTGAAGCCATCGGCCATATCTGCCAACTATGCCCTGGCAGGAGCGCCCCAGAGGGCGCTATAATAGTAACGATGGATGTCGCGGGACTCTACCCCAGTATTCCTTTCGCGAGGGTGTTGAGGCAGTGGGAGACATGCTGCAACAACATTCTTCGCAAATCAACATGTTTGGCCTGTCGGTGAGTGAGGTGCGAAATCTGCTGTTGTTCGTACTAAGCCACAACTATTTTCGGTTTGGAAACCAAGTTTATCACCAAGTTGACGGCGTAGCTATGGGCAACAACTTGGCACCGCCATTTGCTATCCTGTTCAAGCACACGTTGGAGGCCCGGCTTCTGCAGATATCGCCGCTCGCGCCGCTCATGTACAAGCGCTACATTGACGATGTGCTGGTCATATGGACCCACGGCAAGGAAGAACTTGTTCGATTCATCCAACTCTTCAACTCTGCACATCCGAAAATCAAATTCACCTTTGAGACAAGCGAGGTGAGTGGTTTGATCAACTACATGTACATGGATGTGACAATATCGATCAATGAATCTGGTCTTATCGAACACAAGCTGTACCAGAAGCTGTGCAGTAGCAGGTCACTATAGATAACGCATCGGCTGTTCCCTTTCACATGAAGTTGGCCGTCGCATCTTCCTAATTCCTCCGGGCGCAGAGACTTTCATCAAGTCCCCGCATGCATGCAGAAAGAGAAATTTATGAACAACTTCGACTACTGTAAAGCGTGAAATTTTCGCGGCGTTTTTAGTTCGCGTTTTCAGAATCCGGACAGGTTTGCGAGGTTTTAATTTTGCGATTGCAGAATGGCATTTTTGCTAAACCTGTGGCATTCTTGCTAAACCTTTCATGGATCTCCTTTTCGCGCTGTCTAAATTTCGCGATTTCCACGCGGTCGCGAATTTCGCAGAAATTAGACCATCGCAATAATTTCACGGTTTACAGTAAATAATTACCCATGTAGAATGATAGACGAAGCACGCACAGTATCCAGCAAGCCAAAGCGCCGTCGAAGAGCAAATCCATGCTGTGTGTTCCTGAAACTGCCCTACAAGTCCGATCACGTACATCATGCTGTTCATAAAGCCATTCGAAAATACAACATCCCTGTGAGACTTGCGTATGAGCATACCGGTAGCTTGAAGCGTACACAGTGTCGTTCTGCCTTGACTCGACCGATGTGCATCAAAGCCAGGAACCCACTACAGCCAAGGGAAAGTGGTCGACCAAAGGGTCCGTGCTTGTCCTGCATGTCAGGTGGAGAGAATGTCTGTATGCAGAAGAATGTAGTGTATGAGATTAAGTGCAAGGAATGTCCTAAACAGTATGTCGGCGAGACCGGTCGCTTCCTTGAGAAACGGCTCAAGGAACATAATGGTGAGGCGAGAAGGCAGACAAGAGACAAGCCATGGGGAGACCATTTCCATACGACCCACCCAGATTGCAATTTGGTATGGGGTCAGAGTGCGTTCTCTGCAGTTGCCGTTGTCGCCAGGGAGCCAGATAGAGCCCGCCGCAAACTATGTGAAGCCATCGAGATCCGCAACACTAGGCCCCATGTTAACACCAGCACCAGATGGGAACTATTGTAGGAAAAAAACAAATAATTATGTGGATGATATCAACTGTTTCTTTTGATAAGGGGTCGTCCGTAATTTTCGAAAAATTAAAAAATCCGTCCTCGTGCAAAATTGTCTCTGACCCACCCACCCACCCCCCATGTTTTCCATTAATTTTTTGATTTTTACCGATGCCGGCATGCCCAGCTCGAAAAATAAGAACTCCTGACCCCATGTTTTCTGACTGCACCTGTGTCAAGTACTAGTACTAGTAGCTAAGTACAGTGAGTATTAGGTCTACCGACGTCCCGGCCATGCACCGTCCTACAACTACATGTACATGAAAAGTCATGTATATCATAGTAGATACTGGTGTTAGCGACAATCGATCCTACACTACGTCTACAGTACAGTACACAGTCAGCTATAATCAGTGCAACAAGTGTATGAAAGTCACTGGAGCAAAAAAAAAAAAAGTACGAAAAATCAAAAAATGAAATTCCGCCAGCACTCTTGACCACCCACACCCTTTTGCCTGAGGACGGATTTTTTAATTTTTCGAAAAATACGGACGTCCCCTTATACAGTGAAACCTGTCTAAGGCGACCCCTCAAGGGACGAGAAAAAGTGGTCGCCGTGGCCAGGTGGTCTTCTTATCCAGGTTCAATGGGTCATGTGACCATATCCACGTGTGGTATATAATTTTGATCAGTGTATCACAGTGCACACACCTATGCTACTCTAGCACGACTCATGTGCCTGGGGTCCTCAGACCTGTCAAGTGTCGTGCATGCACCACGTACATCTACACTTCCTGCACTGATGTGTAGATCTACCATGCACGGTGCACCATGCAATGCGTACATTTACATGTACAGTGAAACCTGTCTAAGGCGACAGCTCAAGGGACCTTCAAAATGTGGTCGCTATAAAGGTGGTCTCCTTATCCAGGGTAATTTGACTGAAATTGACCACCCTTGGTCCTGGTGGTAGTGGTCCCCTTGAACAGTTGGTCGCCTTAACAGGCTTTACTGTACTAGCACTGTGGAACGCGGTCGCAGGTGGGTGGTCGTCGGTCGCGTTGAGCGAGTGGTCGCTTTATCCGAGCTGTTTTGAATGTGAATGCGTCCGTGACAAGGAAAAGTGGTCGCCATATCCGAGTGACCGCCATTACAGGTTTTACTGTAACTGAATTGGACAATCATTATAATGGAATACTAGTAGCCACAGAGCCGTCATCACTGAATACGAATCACTTACACTTGGGAAGCTTCCCTCACTGACATGCCTCTTGCAGTATGCATGGAATACTAGTAGCCACAGAGCCGTCATCACTGAATACGAATCACTTACACTTGGGAAGCTTCCCTCACTGGCATGCCTCTTGCAGTATGCATGGAATACTAGTAGCCACAGAGCCGTCATCACTGAATACGAATCACTTACACTTGGGAAGCTTCCCTCACTGACATGCCTCTTGCAGTATGCATGGAATACTAGTAGCCACAGAGCCGTCATCACTGAATACGAATCACTTACACTTGGGAAGCTTCCCTCACTGGCATGCCTCTTGCAGTATGCATGCACGAGGTGTAAGACATAGGTGTGAAATACAGGTGTTAGGAAGGTGACAATGACTGAATGTGACAATATGCTTTGGTTCTGGTGGTGAATATCTCACCTGCACCTTTGCCGCTCAACTCGCTGTATCTGCTATTCTTATGGCGCCAGATCATGCTGTGTTTGGCGGTAGGATTTGTTCTCACGATATGTTTTGGTGCTGGCGTTAAATGTCTCACTTGTACCTCTGCCACTGATTCTTGCGCGAGATTATGCTGTTTGGCGGTAAGACTTTGGCATAAAACTGCTTCTTTTTCGCCTGCATGGCATCATTGTTTCATTTCGTACCTGACGATGGCAATTTTGCCGAAACGTTGTACATAAAAGGAATCGGTTCGGTTTGCAGTGCTGTGGGAATGGGTGTGTCCACCCAACTACTCTCTACGGATGAAGCTGCAAGATGCCTCGAAATTACTTATAACCATACCAATTTGCAAAAAAAAACAAGAATGCTCTACATCATAACAGCGTGACATGAGTAAGTCAGAATTGCCACATACATACCAGCTTTAGCTTTGGCAGACACGCCCACTATACATCAGAAGAAAGGGTTCACTATGAACTAGTTGCTGTAGCAATAATAGGTTCAGCGGAACCCAGGCAAAGGCTGACCAAGAATTGACCTACCCATCCATGATCATTGCATCCAATGTAGTCTCGCCGGTTGAGTCCGGGCTACACGGGAATAAAATAAAATACACGCACACACACGCATGCATACACACACACACACACACACACACACACACACACACACACACACACACACACACACACACACACACACACACACACACACACACACACACACACACACACATACACACACATGCATACACACATGCACACACATGCATGTGTACGCACGGAAGCATACACACACACTTACTTGTACTTGCCTTCTGCCATGACTGGTCACGCGAGTCTCCCCGAAGAGGGGAGAGAGATTCAAAAGGAATCTTGGGAAGATGACTCAATTGGCTATTGAACCGCCCAATGGCCGACACCCCTGAAATCCCCAAACTCTGGGTGGACTTGGAAATGATACCACTTATGGGCTCACCACACCACACACGCACCCACACCCACACCCACACCCACCCACCCACACACACACACACACACGGACGCACCCACAAACAAACAAACACACAAACAAACACACACACACACGTGTCACACTATTATTCGAACAAAAAGCTAAATGTGTTTGAGACTTGAGCACAGACCAATGGCCTACAGCAGATTCGGGCATGAACCAGTAGTAGCTTGACTCCGGCAGAACTCCACAGGTGGCAATAAACTAATACACATCAGGAGAGGTTAACCTTGGTACAACACTCACTCAAGGCACAGACCTACTGCATGACCAGGTTTTTACCTGTAGGTAAAGATAAACGGCCTTCAACAACAGACAAATTAATGCTGAAAGGCTTTTACATGCACTTGCATGTGAAACATGTACTTTGTTCAAACAAGGTAATGCAATGCTGCATATTAAAGATGGCAGAGATGGAATTTGTTTTCACACAATGTGCAAGTCACTTTCACCCACCTTCCGCCATAGCCAACAGTACCATCACACTGTTCTACTTCACACACTGTGCAGCCCTTTTCCACAGCATCCAGGGCACTCCCACCAGAACTGATAGTATCCCAAGCTAAAACAATAATAGCAAAAATTCAAAACACATGTGGAACACACATTTCACCATCCCTTTGCCACAAAGGACCTGATCTGACTGGCGAAACGGTGGACATATCTCAGTACCCAGACCAAACTTTAGCGTCATATGTGAATCGCCTATGAACCCGGGCTTGCGCCAATTCACAACTGGGGTTTTCCTTCTTCCTTTTTTTGTCTGACTCACCAGTATCCTGCTTATAATTGTTAGTGTTGGACACAACAGATAACTTGTAAACCTACGGTCCTTTCTTTTTTAAGCAAAGAAGGGGGTGTGACTTACAATCCAGGGTGACATCTTACTGATGGGACTATATTGAAACAATAAGGCTCAAACATGACAATTGGGGTGCGACGTATAATCGAGTGTGATTTATAATCGGAAAAATACGATATATAATTTATGTCAACTACAATGTGTGCAATACTATGCCATCACGACATGCATTATGTACGTTAGGACGCTATCTCAGCTTCAAACTCGGTTGAGATTTCAGCCGGAGTCAAGGGCATGGGATATGTAAATTAGGGGTGAAACGACTGACCCGAATTCCTAATCGACTACATTCAAGCATATCGACTGACTATCGACTGGTTATCGACTGACTATCGACTGGTTATCGACTGACATTACCCTCACACATGAACACAAGCACAGCATATAATTATACGCATACATACATGCACATGCATGGTCACCCATCCACGCACAAGCAAACAGAAGCACAATACTGTACAGGCAGAAAATGTCGTCGGTCAATAATTTCGTCCAACTCCAAGGAAAGGGAGTTCATCTGGTTGTAAATTTCGTCCATGGATCATAAGAGGGTATTAAAAAGCTGGACAAATCGACATTAGTCCGGCATTTAATTCCCGTAGCTATGCAGATGGCGTTACTTCAGTAACGTCTGGCGCTAGCCAGGGTCCACACAGCTTTAATTTGGTATTTATTTATTTGTTTGTTTGTGTCACGCTGGCGCTATATTGTATCTGTCCCGTACCGTACCATCAAAGACAGCTGGCCACAAACAGCTGGCCACAATATTCAAATAGGGCTTTCAAATGCAAGATCATAACGTGAAGCAACTTGGAAAAATGAGTATGAATGCGAAGTGTATTGGGGAATGCATGTAGGGCGATAGCGCGGGTTCGAATCCCAGGTTATGCCTAAAAAATAGGAGAATTGAAAAATTATAACATCCCTATGCTTTTTTGCCTAGGCCATCAAGGTGGTAGACGGTGTCGTATTACCCTCGACCGTACCTGTCCCGTACCGTACCATCAAAGACGGCTGGCCACAAACATCTGGCCACGATATTCAAATAGGGCTTTCAAATGCAAGATCATAACGTGAAGCAACTTGGAAGAATTAGTATGTATGCGAAGTGTATCGGGGGATGCATGCCTGATGCAGGGCGATAGTGCGGGTTCAAATCCCAGGTTATGTCTTGAAAAAAAAACATTCCTATGCTTTTTTTTGCCTAGGTCATCAAGGCAAAAAAGCATAGCGTAGGGCCCTGAGCTTCCAAGCTCTCTCGCTTAGTCCAAAAGCTCCTTGGACGAAAAAGACGAAATTAAATTCCAGACGAATATTTCTGCTTATACAGTATGAGCACATTGTAGGTTTCAACGTTCAAACGGACCCATGCGGAATGTTTTTCGCACCTTTCTTGTATTCGACAGTGTGTTAAAGCGAATGTATTCAGGCAGGGAGTAGTGGTATTGTACTACTCCCTGGATTCAGGTGCCAAGTGTACTTCATAGTAAGTACTAGTACATTATCGTGTCCGTTCCCGAAGGGAACTCACGACGGCCATTAACACCCGGTAAACCCTAGCGGCAGTTGCAGCGCCTAACAGTGGGGGGGGGGGGGGGGGGGGGGGAGTAGATAAGTCTCACAACCACTGACACTGGCACAAGTGCCGAGCAAGACCCCATTAGCTGCATCCATGTACATGGCCTGAACTCACAGGACAAATGGATGACTATAATATGTACTTCTGGGCATTTATACATGTAATTTTTAAACAGAATGCGGGTTGATAAGGGTTTTCCTTCTATCGACTCAACCTTATCGACTGGCCAGTCGACTTATCGACTCAGTTGTTTCACCCCTAATGTAAATGTTCCAGTCAAACTGTGTCTATGGTGGGTTGAAAACTCTTAGACACGAATTTAAAACTGCTGCTTACTACGACGTAGTACATAGTAACATACAGTTTCAGTTGGTGAGCCAAGGATATAATAATTTGAAAACGTGGATAACAGTGGGGCACAAGTGCGTTAGAGTCCACCAACGAAACCAGATCTTGAACAGTCAGACGTACACAAGTTTAGCACAAAACTAACAAGGAGTACTGAGACATTCCATGCCGTCAAGAGTACATAAACCAGAGTGTGCAACTGTGCATATCAGATCTGAAACAGCGCAGTTCGTGTACTATGTCACCCTGATGAGGTCAGCCAAGCCGCGACTTGCGTACAGCTCAAATTTTCGTGTTTCACAACCTGGAAATCAGCCAATTTTGCATGATTTTAGACGTCCTGTTTTAGGAATTATTTGGTGCTTTTGTGTGACTGTGTGCGCTGCGGACATCCGCTGGCAAGTAAATTCACCAGGCTATCCGGATCAAAAAACCGAAATTTAAATAGGACAACACTTAGTGACCTGCACCACCGTGACTAGTCGACTGGTTACGCAACTTTTCACCGTATCCGTGCCTTACCATGCCATCAGAAATGATGTACTGCACGGATTACGCTCCTACAGGAACCATCCGGAGTTGCACACCTTGGTTTATGTACCCTTGATGCCGTGGAATGTCTCCATGCATGGAAATGTCTCAGTGCTCCTTGTCACTTTTGTGCTAAACTTGTGCACATCCATAAACTGTTCAAGATCTAGCCAACGCATAACTTGTGCCCCACTATTTCCCACGCTTTTAATTAATATACAGTTTCAATATTCGGAGGCACCACTGGAGGCAATTATCATCTTTTAAAAATTACCACCACCGCCACCACGGTCTTACACTGCAGTTTCATTTGAATTTAATTTTCGTCCTAATGGATTCTTTAGGTAGTACCAAGAGTACTCTTGCTAGTACTGGTACGAGTGTACATCTCTTTTCTTTTTGAAATTTCTATGAAGGATACTGCATGTCGAACTGTTAGTTACACTGCACTGTATACATGTACTAACCTTTAGCAGTGGCATCGGTAAACGGCCATGTGTTAATAACAACAGGAAGCACGTCATTATTAACGCCATATACAAAACCATTCGGTAATACTATTACCATGCAGAGAATCAAGCACCAGGTCGACATGGTGGGTGCCATCTGCAATTACTGTACAGTGAAGATCTACTTGGTTTCCACCTTCTTGATGTTTTGTTTTTTGAAAAACTACAAAAAGGCACTTTTCCATTTCGACGGCATGTTTATCGCGAGGAAGTACATAATAATGTACAGTCATGTAGATCAGGGAGTCGTATTTTACGACTCCCTGATGTAGATCTACAGCTCGTATACGCGTACAGCTGTAGCTGTACTCGTAGACTACATAATAAATTATCAGCAAGAGTACGATCGAGTACATGAAAACCGGTTTTCATGTACTCTTGTTATCATATCTGACATATAAAAAGTATTTTACGACTCCCTGATAATTACTAGTACGCGTATGGCCCATGGGGAAAACTTTTTTTCCCGATTTATTATTTTTTTTATTGACATCATATCATACAAATCCGAGAAGAAAGAAAAAGGCCCAAAATTGGTAACCCTGCAGCTAGTTATTTGGACTTAAAGGGGCCGTCCGTAAATATCGATGTTTTTTTAGAGACGATATTGGTCAGGGAGTCGTAAAATACGAGGTATTTTACGACTCCCTGAATATTGGTGCTTCTCTCCCTTGACCCCCCCCCCCCCCCGGCCCCCCCCCCCCCCCAGAAGACGCGCGCACATATACATGTACATCTACTCGGAATCAATATTTTTTGGATGCTCATTTTTTTTCCTTTTTTTGTCAATAATATGAACCCAACATGGCAAGTTTGGCAAATTCCTGCCGTAGTCCATCGGCCAAGTCTCAAAATCGTAAGTGGTGATGCACTGAGCTTCCAACTAAACGCGACCATACCCAGCACGTAGAGAATATCAGAGAACACTATTCCGTTTGTTGGACGTGTCGAATTCAGTCCAGGGCGTCGGTACGAAGCGTTCTTCGTCGCCGAGTTTTTTACTGTGTGCTCCATTTGAGAGTGCGCAGAGTTCTGATCGAGAGTTTTTTGAGCAGATTTTCAAATTTTTGAGGCTGTCAGCTGACAGCTGTCAACCCTAAATGGCACTTAGTATGTGACAGGCAATAGGTTTTGGTGCCTCCGTATGCCTTCTAATAAGTAAGTTCTATCTTCCTTCGTTTCACTTCGCTGCTTCGCCCACCACCTCAGGAGATGACAGCGTACCTGCACTAGTCAGCTCTCGCTAACCCTGTCTCTCTTTCTCCGTCTTAGCGCTCGTCATTCGTGTCCTTCTGCTGGGGCGAGCTTGATACTGTTGTGTCGTAGTTTTTAGGCAATAGTGGCTGTTGTTCGCGTGACGATCAGGATTTATGGAGAAAGACGACGACTCGCCAAGTTCCCATGCAGCCACAGACGGCGTAGCAATTCTTACCGCCAACCCTTCGAGCAACGGAACCGGCCTGAGTTGGAAATCGTGTCTGTGTAATTGTGCCACGATACGGATGAAACACACAGGCTCACATGTGACGAGATGAAGATAATCTCAACAGGCTGACGGAAATCCAACAGGCTCACGGGAACGCTGCAGTTATGGTCGGAGACGCGGAGTTATTTAGTCACTGGTAAATGTTGCATCGAGTGCTGTGTGGTAAAAATCATGAAAAAGTAAAAATAATGCAATGGTGGGGCTGAGTGGTGTTCTGTGGAGGAGACGTCGCTGTCTCAGTATTCAACGCCGGACTCTGTATTTCAAGTCTGTGGTCATGCTCGATCATAAGTTCCTGTATGGCTCCAGTGCCTTCTCAGCATTGTTGGCGGGTAAGCACCTGGATCGTGTCCAAGTACTGCGGCTCTGGTGGCTTGAGGGTTGTACGGGTGCTCGCCGTGCACCCCTGCCGGCAATCTGCTAGTGAAGCTTGGTACCTACTGTGTCCGGGAGATTTTCATCCAGAAGCTGATCTTCCTAGGCTGGAGCTGCTGCTACTCCTGTGCTAGCCCTCAACCACTGGCGCTCCTACTCGGCTCCAGTGTGGGCCATTAACCACCCTGCCCGATTTCGCACTGTTGCTATTCCACACCGTCAGCATTTAACTCTGAGGTCAGACCTTGGTCCCTCCCACCATATGCTATCTGCCTGTCTGCCTCTCTCTCGCACACAGATGTGCGCGCATACACACAACAGGCGCGTCGGAACGACTTTGGAAGTGGGGCGGCCACGGAAGGGGGGGGGTCCGGGGGTCCTCCCCCGAGAAAAAATTTCAAAAATTAAAGCCAATTGCAAGCATTTCCGGGCATTTGGTGCCATTTCAGTGTACGGTAACTACAATGAAAGACTTTTTGATTCTGCAAAAAACCAAGAAGATGCTACGATCGGGGACAAACATTAACCTCCCCCGGGAAAAAAATCAAAAATTGAAGCCAATTGCAAGCATTCCCAGGCATTTGGTGCCATTTCAGTGTACATGGACTTTTGTAGTTTTGATTCTGCAACAAACCACGATCGGGGACAAGGATTTGCCACGTTTGCGCTGAGATCATCGCGCTTTGTTGCAGTGTGCTAAAAAAAAAAAAAAAAAAAAAAAAAAAAAAAAACGGCCGAAAAAGTGGGGCGGCCATGGCCGCCCCGGCCGGTGCGGTTCCGACGCCCTTGCACAAACACACATACACACACACACACACATGCACACACAGTGACACAAACACACACATAGCCAACTTCTCTGTGTTTGGTGATCATCATCATTCTGTTTTCTGATGTGCAAGCTCACCTCTGATGCCGATTACTTCCTTGCGTAGACCCGGTCTGCTATTAGACCAGTCTGCTCTCCCTTCACTCGCTTGTAAATCCTACTTGGAGCAGTAAGGTTGTGTCACTACTCCTACTGATGTCATTGTTGTGAAAGCAATATCATCGCCATTGGTGGTAATTTTCCACCGTGCATGAATCATTAACAATCATTATCTATGTGTCACGGCCTAACCATCCTCGTAACTCCCCTCATCGTGACTAGTGCTGTACCGTTGAAACCTACTTTGCTTCAGTGTATATTCGCTCCAAAGCTCTTGTTTTGTTGCATAGTGATCTGACGCAGTGTGCTATAGCCTATCGGGTAATATGGATAAGATTAGTACAGTCGGCATCGCCTATCGAGTGACCAGGTACATGTATAAGGATACTAGTACATGTATACCGGCTTAATGATAGCGGAACACAAATAGCACTATGTGTGACAGTGCAATATTCCTTTCTAAGCTCACGCAGTGCGGTGCAGATAGGTCATGTGTCGTTGCCAACTTGCGGCATGTGCATGTGCAGCAGGAAGGCACCACATGTCGACTACTACTTATACTGTACAGCATTGTGTGCTTACATGCATCTACGGCCTTGTGGATGCAATTGAGTCTCACATACATGTACATGAAATATTGCTTGTAGTGCGGCATCAGGTGCATACAATGGCTAAATATTTTTCTCGCAATAATGACCGTATTCACCACAAGTGTGTTTATGTCCAGAGCCAACTCAAGTCCTGTATTATTTATGACCATGACAACAAGACTTCCGGGCTGAAATTCTTCTATGACAGGCATGAACACTTGCCTTACAATTGTTCGTGATTGTACGAAGTACATATTCGCTGTTGCATCAATTTTGCACCATTTACGTCATTGTAGTGCCACTAGTGGTATCACCAGTGACCTGCATGCGTATTGAGTCAAACAAGGTTACCTCTGTATAATTATGCTTATCGTGGCTATCAAGAGCTTCGATGCAAATTCCCAGCTGACGAATGGTGTCCAGCTTGTGTTCAGCTCAGCTGGCACTCACAACTCATAATAATTGCGTTCTAGACGCCAGATGAGATGTTTCAGCTACAATGTAGACAAAACGTCCGTGTTCAAGAAAGCCGTCACTTCATCTTCTGTCCATCCTCAATAACACGTTCAAGCAAATACGTCTGAAACACAGTAGCGACAATCCGACAGCGGCGACACGCCGTCTTCTCCGAATGAGCTTCTATATATTCTACCGTTCTAATTCAGATTCCCCCAAAAATTCCAAAATAAATAATAGATTTCCACCAAGCTCGCTAGAATCTTGCGAACCGTCAACATGCAGGCATTTCAAGTGTTCGAGCGTGCGTAGATTCTGCTCAGCGGCTCAAGAACATTCGCCAAGCGAAAAAAAGTCGATGAGAAAGATGTAATGGTGGACGAAATTACGAAAATCGGAAGAAGGTATTCGACCCAGTTCGACTATCCTGGACTGGATTGGCAACGTCCAACAAACGGATTCATGGGGTCTCATGAGCTAGTGTGCCAAAGGGCGTTTAGTTGGAGCTTCAGTGCATCACCTTCGCCGAAAGAGGCCCTTTCTGAGATTTGGCCGATGGACTACCGGTATCGACTACACAACCCCCAAACAACGTCAACTGTTTCGTTTTCCGTTTCTTGGGCGGTGGTGAAGACGACATTGTCACAGCTAACCTGTCACTTTGCCATGGCCATGCGGTTCACAACTTCCTCAACTTCTCTCTCGACAAAGAACCAGGGAGTCGTAAAATACGACTCCCTGCAAAGAACAAACTAATGTTACTTCAGGCACGGCCAGTCAAAATTCACATTTTACATCAAAAGATGAGGGCGCTGGCGCGCTAGCGCTACCCGTGCAGTACAACTCATCGTACAAAAAGCGTTCAAAGTGCAACTCATCGAGGTATATTATGCTCGGCAGGCCGCGAAAGAGAGCCCGTTACCTGGACCCCTACTCGCGCGGGTAGAGCGAAACTGAGCACCCTGGGATGCGAGCAGCTTTTTAGTACTCCCGGGTCCAAAATCTCACCACCAGGCCGGGATGATCAAAACGTCTGCCGGGTCTGCAGCCTACAAACGTGCGACACTGTGCTGTCGACGACATGTCCGGCAAGGCACCTCCTTGCGTGAAAGCAAGGAACGCTTTTTTTTAGAAAGGAAGCTTCTTCTCCAAAATTTAAAATTTTTGAAAATTATTCCTTCTGAAAATATCATCGCGTTCTTGACCTCGAAGCTGACTGCTGAATGCGATTAGGAAAGAAGATTCCTGAAGATACACCAGACTGATTCTGGCAAGCCGTCTGTCGTCTAGATATGCAGTTGTTCGTCATGCATGGTCAGCAATCTTCCTCGTTCGTCCTTTCGCTTTCCTGACCACGATGATGACAAGCAGCTCTCATGCTCAGGTTAGTGCTGTACTTGTATGTCTGGGCACACAACACATCTGAGATTCACCCACTGACGTTATCGAACTGAAGAATGCAGCAAGGGTTCCTCGGATTCTCTTGATTTCGGAACAAATTTCCTTCACTTTCACCCTCTCAGTCTCTTCCCCATGCCCTCCATGCATGCACAATGCAGCTTGCATTTCAATTGCTGTTTTTTATACTTTGGCAGTGCCTCTGCTACACTTTCATATAGAGTGAGGTCCTGTAAATAGGATCGAACATTGTTGGTGGTGGTGTGTGGGGGGGGGGGGGGGGGGGGGGTACGTTTGCAGCCAGGATGTAGGAATGACACTTCTGCACAGCAGGTGGCAATAGTCAAAACTGGTCACTCTACAAATCCCATACCTGCCAACCTTTGCAAACCTGAGATCCAATGACATACCTAGGCATGAAAATGTATACAAAAGAAGCTCGCGGTGAGGCATGGAACTAGTGCACTTTTGGGTGCCTATTACCGCCCTCGATATCGGGACGGTCCCGGCCAAATCGGGATGGTTGTCAGGTATGAAATCCCAACCGAGAAAACCATTTAATTAAAAGATAAACTCGGCCAGGACATAGCGACTTTCTGTTTGCCGGGGGGGGGGGGAGGGTCATCGTCCGCAATATTGGTAGAGTTACGATTACATTGTATATGTAGATACATGTGCATCAGGGATTCATAGCACCTGGGGAGACGACATGAGACCTAAGTACCCAAAACGTTGTGAGTTGTGACCCCGGATGGGGTAGTTCTACGTGATCTGTGTTTCTATAGACCTTATTCGATAACGTGATTTTTGGACTCGCCTCCAGGGATTTGTTGTAAGCTGGGGCACGCGTATGTGAAACGAGTGGCAAGAAAGGCCCAGTTCGTACAAGGGAGTAGTAAAATACCGGTATTTTTCTACTCCTATGTTCCCACGCCGAGTCCACTGTGCACTGAGTGCAGGTCTCTTGCCGCTCCCTGGTTCCCGGGACCCTGGTTCACGTGATTGTGACGTTTATTGAATAAGGTCTACATGTATATGCGGGCATGCATAAATCAACCCTTCCACAAGGACGGCTCAAACAGGCAGCCAAGGAGTGAAAATTTCGCTCCTGGGGCTAGGAGTGAAACGAAGGCCTCAATTTGCCAGATGAACCTTCTCCATCGAAACGAACGAAGGTGTCGAATAATTCTTTTACCAGTTCACAGTTGCCGTTCATGCGCACTCCCCGGGGTGGGGGGGGGGGGGGGGGCTACTATGCACTTGTAGTGATACTTACCGTAAGCCAAGTGGAACACGACTAGTTGACTGCACAGACTACAGTACAGTATACATGCACATGTATACAGTGAAGATCAGTGCGTGCATGCCTGCCATAATCGTATGTTGACCTTCGTTCGAATTGAAAAGAGAGGGTCGTTTCGAAAAAGAAAAAAAGCTCGATGGAAGTATGATGCTGCTGACAATTCAAGACTCACTGAAGTCGCCTTTCTGGAATGGATCATGCACTCTAGGTTCATCCAATTGGATATGGACTCAAATCATTGTTACACCATTATTGTTTGGTTAGTTATTGTACATCCCATAGCATGTACAATCAACCTTGTGAATAATCTACCTCGGGTTTACAAAACAACTCGCAAATAACGACACAATCTTCAGATCTAGTGAACATTTGATTGCATACTTCCAACCTCACGAGTAACAACAATGCGAATAGCGACACTTTTCTCATTCACAATCGAGGGTCAGTATTCCCCAGTTTGACTGCAATTGCCAATCAAACAGGAGGGGCGAAAGTCGACCACGGCTGAAAAGGCATAAAGAAAAATTAATGTATATCATGAGCTAGATGGCTGAAGGAGGAAGTAGGTTTTCTGAGAAAGCAAGAAACAGAGGTGAATGAAGCACCAGGTCTGTCCATGCAGTGGATAGAATTATTGCATTGAAAGACAGGCTCTTTACATCAGCTTGCTACTATTATACCTACATTTGCTTTCTGCCTTTTTCATGCAGGATTCTGAAAGCTGGAGCAGCTCTGCTTACCTCGACCACTGAACTTACAACTAACTTCCAACCAAGTACAAGGCAATATTATGATGAATCAAGCACGCTTGCCATCATGTCATCATTGCAAAGTACATCGACAACATAGATTTGGTGCCGACTATGTATGATGTAGAGTGTGCTCTATGTATCTATACTACTGATTGGCCTACATTGTACTTATGTGGGCTGAGAGTAATCGATTGTGCTATATGGCAGTTTACTTGTATGTCATAGATGTTAACATTGCACACAGCTTCTGAAATGCTTTCTGTTGCACTGGCCTACTGCGGCCCACTGCAAATAGATTGTAGTGGCATGGGCCATGCCATAATTATAGTAGTATACCGGTACTACACCAACAATTTCACTGGTGCACTGTACTTACTGGTACGAGTAGATCTACATCATGCACAGCCTTGTCACTGCTTTTCTCATTTTTTATTAATTTACTGTACTGTACACATTTTGGCACAGCTCTTCCACAAAGAGTTACTAGTATTTTCTTCTGCATACCTACTGTATACAGTGACCTGACTGGTAACATCTATGGCTGTGAAATCACAAATTTCTGGGTTGACAGCCTCGAACCTATACGATTTGTTTCTAAGAACGTGCTATAAGAAATTTTCTATTGAAGTATTCTACTGTAGCTCGCAGGACATGGAGTGCAATTACGTAAAGTTTGGAACACCACTCTTCTGTGATTTGGATGCCAAATTATGAAATTCAGTGTGTGAGGTAAACCCATGCATGGCATACACTGCTATAGTATGACTCGGGGTAAAGTGTTCCAACGCATACTCATTATAGTGAATAGTTCAGTGTGTGAGGTAAACCCATGCATGGCATACACTGCTATAGTATGACTCGGGGTAAAGTGTTCCAACGCATACTCATTATAGTGAATAGTTGTGTGACCAACGTTGTTGCTGCTGGATAAATAGTACATATTCTGAGATAACTGAAGCTACACAGCCATCTAATGGTATTTTACGACTCCCTGATATGATGTGAAGGCCATCATTTAGTTTAAATTTACATATTGAGATAGGGCATTCCATTGATTGGTGACAGAAAAAACAAAAGAAATTATAGCAATAAAAACTGCTTTATGGCAGTTTTCTAAAAAAAGTTATTGTGTTCTAGTTCATGGACCCCGTCTAAAAAGTAAGAAATTAACGAAATGTGATAGCCGAAAATTAAAATTTCACACAAAACCTCACAATAATCACACACAGAATGAAAAGCTACATGTAGAAGACCTTTTCCCCTCGTGATCCTCTTTCCTATGCATGCATGACATGCATGTTGCCAATTGTTGGTGCAGTACAAGTTTAGGGTTGAAAGCAGCATTTCAAGTGCTGTGATTATTGTGAGGTTTTGTGTGAAATTTTAATTTTCGGCTATCACATTTCGTTAATTTCTTACTTTTTAGACGGGGTCCATGAACTAGAACACAATAACTTTTTTTAGAAAACTGCCATAAAGCAGTTTTTATTGCTATAATGTATGGTGTTGTTACAGGTGCATGACGAGCGCTAGCGAGTGGAGTCCCGAAAAACGGTTTTTTTACTCGCGCGTTCGTAGATCTACTCTAGTCTCTGGATCTGTACTCGTACTCGTAGAGTCGTACGAGTACAGTCATGTGCTAGCATGCGCTTGTAGTACCACCCTTTTCAAGGCTTTTGTAGGCCCTTCGCGAATTCGATACACCAAACATCACGAGTGCTATTTTTTTCGCTCGTGTACGTGTGGCGTTTGGGAGACTTCTGAAAGAGCAAGGTGTTTCTCGTTCTTGAAGGTCGAGACTGAAGAGTCATCTCTCGCTTGAGTTTACAGTTCCATGCAAAGCCGATATCGTTGGTTGCAGCCAGAACAAGAGGGTCCTGCTGCATATCTGTGGAGTTCAATTTGGCGTAGTTGTTCCTTCACAAATAATGAAATGTCGAGTGTGGAATACCTGCCTCTGCTGCCTTGCATGTCCGATGTGAGACATGTAGACGGAGTTGAGGACGAGCGCAGCGGTGACACAGAAGCTATTTTCAACAATCCAGCTAAACGGCGACGAGAGGAGCAGATAAAGAGATCTCCTAGATGCTCTAGCCGAATGACGACGCCGTGGCAGAAAAATCCGTCATATCCGAGTAATGTTTTGGGGTATGTTGATCAATTTCATATTTTTGGTGACTTTTGGAAAACATATGTGACCCAAGAAAACTTATTTGCTGCCCACGACTTGATTTGCTTGCAGTCTTCATACCGAAATAGAGGATTTTTCCAAGTACATGGCACCCCTTCCGGAGGAGCTTGCCATGCGTCATGACCTCGTGAACAGAGTGTCTGCTGTGATTAAGGAAAAATGGCCACTTGCAAAGGTATGTTTTCTTTACAGCTTTTGATTGGCCAGGAATATAAATAACTTCCTTAGCAGTCAGACTCATAGCCTAGCCGTCATGTTATGTCCTTCAAATCAAAAATGTAAATATTTGTTTAACCCTTTGTGTACCAGGCATCTAATGTATGCGCGGGGTACTCATCGGTAATGATGGACCTATAGCATCAAACTAAAACACATTTTGTATGTGCAAGTTATGTTTTTCTGAATCTGTTGGTATCAATGTGTCCAGGTAAGAAAATATTTTGACCGAGCACACAACTACAGATACAGGCCATACCTGGAATACCTATTTCTGAGTCAATTGTCCATATTTCTGACAATTTAGATCCGTGTACTCGGAATCGTGAATACTAGTATACTTGCTGACATTGCCCTTCTTCACACAGAGCAACAGGAGACCACTGCACTAGTGTATAGCCGCCAGTTGCATGCTTCAACAATAGCGAAATGGACGGAAAAGAGCCATACCGTAAAAGCCCGTGTATACGCCCACTCGAAATTACGCCCACCCTCCGTGTACACGCCCAGTCAGGGGAAGTCAACACTTTTGTTTCAAAATAGCGCCCATGCCCATGTATACGCCCAGGTATGCCGGAAACACCAGTACATGTACAGGTACTGATACCCAATACTTATGGCTATCCCTATTCCAAGTATACGCCCGGTTCCAAAATAACGCCCGTGCCCTTGTATACGCCCAGGAAATCGAGGCTGCTATTCTATACGACCGGGGGCCTATACACGGGCTTTTACGGTATTGCGTGAATACCAGATGCCAAACAATTGCATCTAAATTTCAAATTATTGAAATTGTGTCAGATTTGAATATGTACTTTTCACTTATCTACTTGCGTCCAGCGAGGGTATTGGTGATTGAGAAGACCAGGAATAGTCGATGGGTGAGGAAATTCACCTGCCTTGATTATTTCAGGCCATCGCTGCGCTCCCTCTCGCTGCTGCTTGGAGAGCGAATACTGCAATGGCTTCAGCGATGGAAATTCTCATTTTCGATTCAGATCCTAAGATTATATCGCTGCTACAACTCTCTCCTGGCGTTCACCATCACTAGTAGACATCGACAACAGCTAGAGCAAGCTATATTCTAGATACAAGCAGCGTAACCGAACGAAAACACGATCGAAATCGCTAAAATATATCGCAGAGCGCTGAAATTGCAAAGCGCACTTTTCGCCGCGATCGTTCTCCATACTTTCAAATGGCAACCTACCCACATCATCCATCAAAATTTGCAGTGGGATCTCAGCTGTCGAGCGCAACAAACCGCGAGTCGATCGGAGCAAGGACGCCGCCGAACGGCGCATCGCAGTGCGGCGCGTCGAACCGTAACGTACGTTACGGTTCGAGATGGGGCTGGTACACAAAGGGTTAATGTGCTTGAAAAGTGCTGTTGATAGCTAGCCCCCCCCCCCCCCCTCTAGCCTGACTAGGTGTTGTTGTGTCCTCCACTTGCAATATGCTGGACTCCACATGTCGTTATGCCTTGCTGGCTAGTAAGTATGTGTATACATTGTGCTATTATGTTCTTGTTGTTTGTACTGTCATTGGTGCATGTGTGGGCGTGCGTGTTTAAACGAGAGCGGCCATGCTCATATGTTTTGTTTTTGCCTAGGTCATCATGCTTGTTATTCGAACTGCTAGAAACATCTTTGCAATGCGAGTATCGGGTATATATTCTTGTATTGCAAAGACCATTCTAGCAGTTTGAATAACACACATGATCAGGGTTCCCAATGCTGTAGACAGCAAGTTGTTTCGGCCATAAAAGCCTCATCAGTACAGCCATGAGCTACCAGCCATGGTGCAAAGGAGGCACCACAGACATTAAGATAGCTCGTCGTTCTAGCGCCAGAGTGCTCTAACTACGAAAAGTAGCGGGCAATGCGTAATGCAGCAGCACTAGAGCAGCCTGCCGAGAGTGCTCAACAGGACGAATGACGAAGAGCGTAATACCCAATGCTGTAGGTTTCTTTAATAGTGGGGGGGGGGGGGTCAGGCAGGGAAAACAGTTACCCCATAACCCATTTTCCTTTTTCCAAAATTTTCTCGCCATGCAAAATGCAACGTGCGGGGACTTCACCCCAGACAAATGTGCCTTCATGAAACATCTAGTAGTGACGATCGACTGCATGAAAAACACAAAAATCGACAAATGAGTAGGGGCGCCATTTTTTCACAGTGGGACGCTCAATTAGAGTGGGGGGGGGGGGTGGGGTGGCGCCTGCCCCCCCCCTCCTTTGGCTAGAAACCTAATGACCCAGGTAAACAATGTGTAGCGAGGGCCCAGAGCTTGGCAGCTGTCTCGTTTCATGCTACAGGTACATGCATGGTTCTCGCTTGTTTTCTTTTTTTCTAATTTTTCCATACGTAAATTGGATTCAAACCCGCTGTCACCCTGCATGCGTTCCCTCGATACAATATGCATACTAGTACATGCACATTCTACCAAGAGTAAATAAGCTACCAAGAGCGTGCAACTCTGCATACAGGGTCTCCGACGGCGAAGACTCACATCACGTGTTCCTAGTACGATTTGTACTATGTACAACGAAGGCTAGCATGCGCGCAGTCCTAATATCTGCCAGATCATGACTGATGACTCGCATTAGCTGAGAGTTTTTTTTTGTCGGTAGAGCTATTTTTTTCAACTCCAATGGTCGCTAAGAATGGGCTGGGAACGTATAATGGGAAACAGAACACCACGTGATGTGAGTTTTCGCCATCGGCGGACTCTATAGAAAGGGTATCCAAAGTCACACATGGTACGACCATGGTCGTACCACTTTTCATCCAGGATGCATAGATGGTCCGCACAATTCATCCATAAGAGCAACAAAAGAGCGAAGATCCGTATTTCTTTCCCCGGGGGACCTCCTGGTTGTACCACTCCTCACTGCCCTGTGACGCCCCTGGTCTTGTTCAATTTCACTTGCCAAAATTATAACATGTTATGGCCCGTTTCGTGTCTGTAGGTGGATGTATTTGGAAGCTTCCGCACTGGATTGTTCCTCCCGACCAGGTAAGGATTCTGGGTTAGGTAGTGTAGCTCCCTGGTTCTCTGATTGCAATGTACAAAGCTCTTTCCTTGCATCACTTGGGTAAAAAAAGCATGTATTTGTAATCACTGTCCAGTTGTATAACCCTTCTGTACATGTTGTGTATTTCTGTTGATAAGCATCACTGGAGAGACAGACAGACTGTGAGAGCGCGGAATTTTTATGACATCAGTCTTTCATGGTCATTTGGCTCACTGATGCAATCCTGCGTATCCACAAACCAAAGTATTTTTGTGGATACACATGAGTTTAAAAAAATAACTTGTGCACCACAGCTACGGTAGTAGAAACAGAACAACGGATGGTTGATCCATGCTTTCTGAACCTGTTGAACTGGCACCATATCTACACGACAAGCACGAAAGCATACACACTTGATGACACTTCTGCCAACAAATGAGTCGAAATGACACATACTGTAGTGTCGCGTATAAAAGCATGACTCGAATAGAAGCCGATTTTTTGAAGCGCGCCGTGATACAGAAGCATGGTTTGAATAGAAGCCGCTCCCTGCAAAGTACATGGTGCACGTAGATGCGTGGCAGTATGCACTGCACAGTGCAGACTGATGATGTTGACATAGAAGCATAACTTGAATGGAAGCATGGTTTGAACCCCGGCTTATACGGCCGTAAGCACCTGCTTTTATACGCGACATTACGGTAATAAAATCTGCCCAGGGGTGGTCCCATCGCAGCTCGAAATAGGAGTCGCCCACTCTTGGATATGACTGTGTTTTTGCTCATAAGCATGTACTCACATACAAGCTGGCACATGCATGAGATTTACTCTGAAATAAGACTTGGATTTGCACCACATGGCTAGAGTGGACTATCCTTGCACACAGTATTTTTACAGCCACTGCACATATCCCACGTGCCAGCCTCTCTGTATCTCCCCCCTCTCTATCTATCTATCTCTATCTCTTTGGCATGTGTACGTGCATACCCTGTTGCCAGCAAGCTTTGCTGCTAGAAGTGGTGTATGCTGCCTGTGCTGGTTTCAGGCTGGCTTCAAAATAGCCACAGGCCGCATCTTTCTCCAAGTCTTCTCCGTGGATGGGAAAAAAATTAATTATTTCAAAGTATTCAACTGTCTCCCACCAGATACTTCCTCCGCGTCATCGAAATTGTCGCAGTTTGACTTTTGATATAAAACAGGGTATAATTATACTCACCAGCAGTCGTACCACAGGTAAAGAATCGGACATAGACGATAGTCATCAGTATACAAAATGGTATAGGGTGACAGCAAAGTTCTATTTTCTGTTGTTCGAAGCTGAAATTTTTGAACTAGACGCAATTTCTTCGCTGATGTCGCTGCGATGGTACTTTCGACTCGCTGAGATCCCTCAGGCGTTGCAGCCTGCACATTTCTCGCGCTTATAGCCATTCACTCAAAATTCATCACTGTTTTACCTGAGCTAGGGTGAGAATGACTTCGTGGAACAAGCGGCAGCTAGCGCTTGGAGAAACATTGGCAAACTAATGCATGCAAGGAATGCTGAGACACTCAGTACCTGCAAGGGCCGTGTAGACTCTGCGTGTACACTGTAGTGCTAGTGATGCACGTGCAGGTACTGTACCAGTGATGCTGAAAAAGAGTGCGCGCTCGACGTGATAGTACACTTACCTGCATGAGCAGTAACCACACAGCTAAAATGAATGGGCATCCCACGGCTAAAAAAAGTTCACTTCCAGATCGAGGTGATTCCGCCGACGGTAATCAACCGATCTCGCAACGATCGTGTATTCTTACTACGTTGGTGGTGAAGTAGAAACCATCCAGAGCTAGCAGACGACAAGCATAGCAGCTCTTGTCCTATGGAGAAAGTCAAAGCGTTTGAGATGAGGCACGGCCAACTTACTACCTTCCTGGAAAATATTCGGAACGATATTTTTTCGTCAATTGACATCAGCGACGACGAGGCCTTCATCTCCATGTGAAACTCTCAGTCCAACTGTCCTGGAACGTTACTCTAGACTTCAGACTATCATCATGTGTAATAATGTTTGTATGGTTTAGCTGATGGAGTTGTCAGTAACAAGTGACAAGTCACTAGTCAAACTGCGACAATTTCGATGATGCGGAGGAAGTATATTAATGAGCTCTTATCATGCAACCCACACTTTCAAAGTATGCTGGGATAAATCAGCATGCCAGTCAATTGGAAATCCCTCACTTTAATCGGCAGTCAAAACCATCGTATGGGGAAGTACTGTTTTCATTGTTTGAAAAGACACGCAGTATCTCGATAATGCTTTGCTGTAGCACGTCCGCAATTGTTGCAATGGGAAGCTCCGCTCTTTGACTGTGCTGTGCAGACTGCAGTCACTTACTTATACAGTGTAGTTTCACAACTCCGCTTTTCCTGGACCGAATTGAACTATCAAAAGGTCTGTGCACATTAGAAAGTTCTCAGCTGTTGTCTCGATCAAGTCCAACTTACGGTATGTATCTCTGCCCATTTTTTGCGGAGACCCGCGTAACTTGATTCTGGCATTAAACAAATGTGGGTGGATATAATTATGTATGTATGTGTGTGTATTTGTGTGTTTTACTCCTGCAGTGATATTGATATGGTTTTGTTTGGGAACTGGACATCTCTACCACTACATTCATTGGGGGAGGTGCTTGTTTCTTCGGGTATATCCAATGAAGAGGACATCAAAGTCATTGACTCGGCTCGGGTGAGACATTTCTAAAATTCACACTTTTGCTTTACAGTCAAATGTCACTGATTAGGTCATCAGGTATTTTTAGCATGTTGGATATCCGACAAGCCGAAAGTGAGTTTTGAAGATCCATACAGCTAAATTAATACTATGGATTCGCACTAGTGCAGTAGTGGTGTTTGGTATGATGCAACTTTTGTGTGCATTGAATGCAGGTACCAATCGTGAAACTGTGTGACAAGCTGAGTAAACTCAAAGTTGACATCAGTTTTAACATGACCACCGGTGTATCCAGTGCGTTAATGATTCAGGTGAGTGCCATTCTAGCCTTTGTGTTTCGCAGCAGTTCCTGTGTGTCGACAATGTAGGATGTGATATTTTGAGTATTTCCTTGATATTCTGATGGGGGATACTTATACATTTTGTTGGTCCGAAAGAGATGCGCTGTTTGTCTTTAGGTTGCCTGTGATCACTATAATTGTCATCAAGAGTATATAACCCCCCAAGAGTGTGGAACTCTGCATATGGCCCATTATGGGGTCTCCGACGGCGAAAACTCACGTCACATGTCTCAGGCACGTTTCGTACTGCGTAGAAACGTAGGATAGCGTGCCCGCAACCCGAATATCTGCCATGATCATGCTGGAGATTTGCATACGCGCAGTGAGTTTCTGTCAGAAAGTGCTTTTTTTATTACTCCGCTGCTCGCTAAAACGGGCTTGAAACGTACAACTGCGACACTGCACCACGTGATGTGAGTTTTCGCCGTCGGCGAACCCCATTGAAAGCGTATCAGGAGTTGCACACTCTTGGGGTGGTTATATTATACTCTTGTTGTCATCTGTAGTTGGAAAAAATGGAAGAAGCCAGGAACCATCTGCACGGTTGCAGGATCTTCAATGCTTTTTGCTGATGTCCTTGTTGCTGTTGTTGTTGTTGTTGTTGTTGCTAGGAGTACATCAAGGAGTATCCTGTACTGGACAAGCTGGTCATTCTTCTGAAACAGTTCTTGCTCCAGCGTGACTTGAATGAAGTGTTTACAGGTGGCATCAGTTCATACAGTTTAATCCTGCTGGTTGTTAATTTCTTTCAGGTTAGTGGATGATGATCAGCATTTTCTTTGTTTTTGTTTGTGAGAGAGTTAGTAAGTGAGGAAAAACTGGAAAGAGCCATGACGCCCCGAGTTTTCTTTGACCACGCCCAACAAGGGTGTGGAAGGTGGCTCATCATCACAATGCTTGCCTGAATGCTAGCTCGAGTACAGTCAGACCTCGCTTATCCGGTGCTCTTGCATCCGGATCCCTCGCCATCCGGAAGAAAATCATCAGTTACCGATTTACAGTATATGTCATGCATGCATACAGTATGTGACATCTTGAAAATTAGCCGATTTCAATCCCACCCACTATGGCCCAATCATCTCTTTTGTTCATTAGGTCAATACACCCTACACGGTGCTTCCCCTTGACTCTCGTAAAAAAATAAAGGTTCTGCGGTAAACAGTAGCAGATACTACTAGCCGATTCCAAGCATTTTTGTGGTACTTTGAGTTGAAACCTTCTGTTGGAGATATAATATCAGGGCCTGCTCTAGACATTCAACACAGCCTGGTCAGCATGTACCTGGCGCATGCAGGCCAGCCGGGTCAGATCATCCGGCAGAAAAACAACCAAAAAGCCTGCTCAAAACGCAGGAAAACAGAAAGGCGGATTTATTACCGGAAATCGGAAATTTTAGACAACAAGGCGAACTATCAAAGTCCGCAAACGTAGAAGGACCCTAGCCGAGTTTCTGTCGCTTGTAGACTGTAGTGTGTACGTTGCGCTAGATTTGCAACAGATGGGGTCCGCGAGTCGTAAAATACCGGTATTTTAGGAATTCATTGTCAGTTTGAGACATTTTTCAGCCAGGTCAGACTGGACCCGGTGTTATCTGTTCAGCCAGGTCGTGCAGTTCCCCAGCCGGGCGAGTGACCCGGCTCTCCAGCAGGCCCTGAATCTTGAGAAACACTCAGCTGGTAAAACTTGTACGGGTATCATACAGGTATCGTATTGCATCTTTCTTGCTGTGTATTTCATTTTCCTCCATTACCATAGAATCATTTACGGGAGAATGCTGATAGCTCGGCAGCTGATAGCCAGAATCCAAACCTGGCGGTGTTGTTGATAGAGTTCTTTGAGCTGTATGGCCGTAACTTTTCCTATGACACGGTAGCCATTCGCATAGCCAACGGAGGCTCCTATTTTGATAAGGTATGTGGCTGGCTCTCAAATGTTTGATTGTGACTTATCAAATGCTTTATTCTCTTGGGGCGTTTTTGTGGCGAGTGATATTGCTAACCCCGAGAAATACTTGCGTTTTATTTCGCAATTTGTGATACCGATTTGCACCTGGAAGTGTTTGCGATTGGAGTCAATTTTGTTGGTTTTCCCTACAGTTCTACATTTCGCGCAGGCTCACTTTTGCGATTCCACACCCATCCTGAAAATCGCGGAAGTTTCCAGATCGCAAAGGTTTTCAGGTTTACAGTGTACAAAAGAGCATGTGCCTATATGTTTACGATTAGGCGGCGCGAAGCCAATAACTTTATTATAGCAATCAGCAGAATCAGCGAAGCGGACATTGGACCTAGTAATCAAGAAGAATAAAATATGGATACTAAAATGTCCTAACCAGTTTTCTGGAGACACTCATCAGGGAAATGCGTGTCAATAGTGAAATCTAGCAATACGTATAGGTTATAACACGGGACCAAGTGTATGTGATTGTTTATACCTCACTCCATATACACCCACACTCATATACCAGATCTCCCATGAAGTTTATAAATTTCCATATACACTGTTCAATATACACCACTAAGGAGGTATATACACCACTGAGGAAAACCATCAGATACAGGATATATAGACCGAGTAAAAGACCGAATGCTAAGAGAATAGTCTAAGTTTAGTGACATTTTCTTTCTGGATGCATAGGTTGGGGTTATGTTTGCGAATGAAAACAGCTTCCAATACTTTTGAGTTCACTATATGTTTGTTTGTTTTTAACCCTTTATTGGCCGATTAAAATAGAAACAGGCCCGCGCAATCACCAAATATTGACCTAAAATTGGATGTAACTTTGGTTTGCATTGGACAAACTCCACGCTCTTGGGCATCCTGGAAAGGCCTTGATGAAAGGAACGCCTTGAACATCGGTGTTTAATCAATGTATGGGCCGGCCATGTGCTATGAGCCTTTTGTCTGAATCAAGAGGTCATTTTTTTACTGACGTATTATTGAATTGGCTTTATTTCACTCACGTTGTCATCATGACATGAGGTAAGAACCTCCATCAGCACAGGTACTAGTACACTGCGAGTGTAAGTGACATGAGGTAAGAACCTCCATCAGCACAGCACAGGTACTAGTACACTGTGAGTGTAATAGTGACTGCAGCTACATGTATGTACTAACGTTACATTTGTCTTTCTCATTTGATCTACAGGTCACGTTATCTGATAACCACCCCCTTGCCAATCCATCATTTCTGACGATTGAGGACCCTCTTGATGAAAGTAAGATGATCTCTGTTGTTGCTGCTGTTTGTGGTGATGTGGCGGTGGTGGCGCTGATGCTGATGATGGTGTCTTTATTTCACTCTAGCCAGATGAACAAGCAATGCTGCTTTCTTGCTGGTGACAAATATGCCTGGACTCTCACGAAATTATGCCTGCTGTCTACTGTCATATCCGCTTGATTGGAAAAGTGCAAGCAGGAAATATTTAGTGTTCAAACGATTACTGTAAAAGCCATTAGAGAGGTTCTGCTACACGGAACTACGTACCAAACTCCGTGTCAACTGCAGTGAAGTTTGACACGGAATTTTCGTACGTTGCACCGGTTCTGCTGTACGTAGCATGCTCGAAGCATGCACGAACACCCCGCCACATGTACTCTGTACGCTCAGTTTTCACACGGAGTCCAGTCCGTGTGAAGCGCGCTTCACACGGAAAACGGTATGAAAAAATAGGTATCAAACTAAATCCCGTACCGCGGCGAAGTTTCCATACGTACTTTGGCACGTTTTACCGTGTGGCAGAACCTCACTATTATTCTAACGAGGCGCATATATAACGATTTCCCAAAATTGACTAGTTTACGTGTACCAAAGGTAACGATTCTCACTCATTCTCAATGCTCAATAGGACAGTATATGTGTCGATTTCTGTATAACGATTTCTATTTTAACGACAGATTTCTCCTCGTTAACTCGTTAGAGTTAGCACTTCGTTATAATTATGGCTTTTACAGTATACCGATTACTTGTTACTTACTCAATAAGAAATAGATCGAGCGGTCATTTCGATTTTATTGGCTAAACGAGTAGAGTGGTACTTTTGCTCAGTATGGGATTTCCCCCTTTTGGGGGTTGCTTCATCATCGGAGTCAGCTCAGTCGCAGGTGAAGGGCACCCTCAGCTCTTGGGCTGCAACCAATGCATCGCCTCCGTCTCATCCATGTTCATCTGGTGGGTTCGAACAGCTGACGGACTTGTTGCTGGATCGTTGATTCTGTGCGCCCACTTTCCATCGTTGGCGATGTAGGACTCATGGAAATTTTGAAATTCCCGGAAATTAGTTACAATAATATTCGTTTAGCTGATAAGCCGTCCGTTGTGGTATCTGCTAAGCCGCTAAGGAAAACATGTACCGTATTTTTCGGAGTATAGTGCGCACCTTTGTATAACGCGCACCCCCAATCTTCATTGGGGGTGCGCACTTCAATCTTCATTGAAGTACATGAATTTCATATTCGGAGCATAGTGCGCACTATACTCCGGAAAATACGGTAATCGTTTCAGGCTAATAAATATGCATATGATATACTTGTAAGCTAAATCTCAAATAGTTGCACTTTGTTCCTCTTACTAGTATGTGTTTGTGTACCGTGGCGTGTGTGTGTATCACTGCAGCTAATGATATCAGCCGGGCATCGTGGGGTGCAGTGAAGGTGAAAAGTGCGTTTGAGCATGCTCACGGTGTGCTGGTCAGTGCTGTTCTGTCCCGTGACCCAGCACTTCTTTCTGGACCATCGTAAGTAGTTGCTGCCAGCTGCTGTCCCAGTTCCAGATTTCTTCTTTAGGTATGTACATGTACCTATAAACGACAAATAAAAACAGCGTCATACAGTCAACTTTGGCCTGTGAGGTTATGGCAACTGATGATATGGGCTTTTTATGCACTGCTGTTGTATTTGCGGAGGTTGCAATGTTTTTGCTGTGAGCTGGTGGCCCTTTGCTGTTATGATATGTGTAAGCTTGACCTTTTTTTGCTTTTCCTTCTGCACGCTGTTTGTAGACTTCTGGGACGAATTATTCGCATTAGCGAAGATGTAATCCGCTTCAGAGAATCTATGGTTCAGAAGTGGGCGGAACGCAGTGCAGTGCTAGCAGCGGGATCAACATCCAGTGCGTCAACATCTCATTCTTACTCATCAGTTCTGTCATCAGCTGCCCCGTCACGTTCTGGTGAACCAAGGAGATGTACTACGCCCGAGGGTGGCGTGGCATCTGAGGCACAGCCAACAGGCAATCAGCTAACGTATGCTGGGGCTGCAGCTGGAGCTGGGAAAGTAGAGGTGAGTGAGTGAGTACATGAGTGTCCTGATCTGTATAATTATATTGTCCACTACAGGGGTGGCTGCTGACATCCACGCCTGGGTTCCAGCTTTACAAGCTGTGCAGGGCTGGATTTCACCGGGCACTACTCTAGTTCTTGCTTGTGTGATATCATGTATGTACAGTAAAAGTACTCGTGTCACTCAGCGTAGTGTAGGTACTTTAATAGACATTGCCACTGCCAGTATGGCCGGGGTTATTGATGTAGGCGCATCTACACAGGGCACATCCTGGTCCAGTTTGGTATTTGCCAAGCACACAAGCTAACGCTGGTCATGAATTTCTAACTTTATATTAGGGGTGGAACAATTATACCGAATACCGTAGTGTCTTGTCTTAAAGCCTATCTCGAATAGAAGCCTATTTTGAATGCAAGCCTGATTTTCAAGATACACTGTCGGCATATACGCCTGGCTTTAGTGTTGACACACATAGAAATACCAGGTTTGAATAGAAGCCTGATGTGAATAGAAGCCTAGCCCTTACATTGGCTTCTACAAGAATAAGCCCGGCTAATACGCGACATTACGGTACTCCAGTACTCGCTCGGGGGTTTTCAAAAAATAATTGTACTCGCAATCAATCAGAGTACTCGTTCATACATAGTACATGCATTTACCACGGAAATCTGCAGTTTCAGAGCAGCAGTCGGCAGATATTGATGTGCAGACTGTGTGGTGAACATTTGTTCACGAGTAGAGAGAGCCCGAATGACCCACCAACCAATATACCCGAGAAAAATGACTGCTACTCGGTTCAATCCGGGTTGTATCATGTGATTTTAAGGCCCTTGGTGTGCAATTTGTAGGAGATGTCGAATATTCGATCAGAGAAAATCAGAGTACTCAAACTCGGGATCTCAGCGCCAACTTTCACCCCTACTTTTATGCATCGCTCAAGGCTACCTGTGTTTGTGTTTGAACGTCATGTGTGTACAAGGTTCGTGTCGTATGACCTACAGGTGGAAAATCACCTCCACAATACGACCACGAAAGGACGAGATGGTGGGGCGCTCTGGCGGTACTTTACGGTACTAGCATTGAGATTTGTCTTGTATTTTCAATTCTCTCCCCTTTCAGGTGGCTTCTGCAAGCATTTCAGGTTCCAGGCTTCCTCGTAGCAACTCCATGTCAGCTTGCACCCCGGCTGCAGTGAAATCTGGCGACAAGGCTACAGCGAACAAGTTGCATGGCTTGCGGGGTCGCTGCAGTAGTGCGAGTAGTGTAAATAGTACGGATAATAATAATGCGGGGGGCATGGATGATCCCAATCTGCCTTCAGCACGCCATCCAAACAAGAGGCCAGTGGCGAAAGTGATGGGTATAAGAGCTGGAGGACAGCTGAAGCAATCAGCTCACAGCAGTGCTACGAATTCTCCAGCTACTAGCAGAGCCGACAGCAGCTGTGCGGAAAAAGAGCTTTGCAGTAGTGTGGTAGCACAGAAGAAGCGCTCAACAGGACGCTCCCAGCCTGACAGTAGCACCAGCAGTAATCATAGAATAGGGAAGAGCCATTCTCCACCTGGTGAGCGGTGACGTTGAGGGCATCTTGTTCTTGTTTCTTTTCATTAACTTCCTTGTTACTTGCTTACATAGCGCTTTCACGAAATACGAACAGAAAGAGAAAAGTTTAAACTTAGTGCGGGTTTGTCCTGCAGTCTGACAAACCTTAAGCCAATATTCCACAAACATGTAGCTTTTGGCATGTAGACTTGCCTGTCATGCCTCCATTGTTTTGTTCTAATCTTCTGCTTTTTATGCATACAGAGTAGTGCAGATAGCTGTGCTGATAAGGAAAAATTATCTATATTTCACTTTGTGAGAAAACTCCCTTTTCAGTGCAAGGCGTTCATTACCCCATCCCACCACATCTTTGACTACATTTAGGTGTTTAGCTAGTTGTGCCTGTCATATTTAGACCCAAACACGCTATCTACTCTCTTCTTTTTCTATTCATTGCAGTACTTTGTTCCGGCCTGTCATGCTGTTTGGTTGGCTCTTTTGTCTCTCAACATATTCTTTGTTGTAGTCTGGGTTTTTTTTTCTTTTTTTTTTGTCCAGTTTCTTAGTGCCGTACGCTAAAAGTGTTTTCTCATCATTTGTTGGCAATCTGTCTGCCTGCCTTTCCTGCTGTGTTCAGCAGCTCATCTGGCTGTGAGAAGGGTTCTCTGCTCCAGAAGCATCCGTTTGTTTGTGTGTCTTGAATTCCAACTATACCCAGTTTAGCCAGTATGCTGCTTCTTTCAAACTCCTCTCCCTGCCTGCACTTTCCTTCTTCTCGGCTGGATGGTGTCTTTTATCTAGCGTTATTGTCATCCACATAATGTTCTGTCCATTTTCTGCCGTTTTTTTATTTCAACTTGTTTTGATAGAAATTGACACACTGTTATATTTTTTGATCTTGAGCTGGTTTTTCTCACAACCTATTTGACCTGCTGTTTTCCTTGCAGTGTGCAACCTATTTAACATGCTATAGAACCAGTGATGTGTGCTCTGACATAATAATCTTGTTCTTCCACTGGTGTACGACTCAACCCATGTGTGTTGGTGTATGTGCACACTTGTGTGAGTGTGTGCGCACTAGTGTGTCTGTGCATGTGTAGTGGCGATCCAGTGAGATGCCAGCTACCCCTCGTGCCTGAAAATATGGTCTCTATGAGTGAAAAGCTTGGAGTTTTCAGCCAGTGTGTGCGTCCTTTCTGCTGCCCTAGATCTACACAAAGTCAATACATATCGATGCAGTCCACGTCACGGCATGACATGTATTTGTTACTTCTCTTCTGGACTTGATACAAACCTGGACTTCTATTATCAAGAGTACATAACAATGGGGGGGGGGGGGGGTATGTACTCTTGCTGATATCCTGGTCTCGACTATTATGGTTGAGTCCTGGCCACATGTGTTATCAACTAATTATTATGATTGAACACTGTAAGGGGCCGTCCAAGGTTACCATTTCAAAACGAAAAGTTTTCGTTTGGGGGTGGGTGGGTTTGAAGGAGTTTCGTTTTGAAAATAATTATTGAATGCAGATGGAGAATGCCCAGTTACTTCTGGGTGTCGAAAATTGACATCAATATTTTATTGGAATTCGTTTTACCTGCAGAAAAGGTAGGTGGGTGGGTGGGTGCTGAAAAATACTAAAGCTTTTCGTTTTGCAAAAACTATTGGTAACCCCGGACGGCCCCTAAATAGGCTGGATGTACAGTCAGTGCCTGGGGCCGTACACTGTCACCCAGATTCATGACGGTACGAGTACTGAACCAAGTAAGCTAGCCAGGGCCCTCGTAGCAAGGCTAGAGAAAATGCACTGTGTTCAAATCTGATCGCATTACTATCAGTAGCTCAGAAATACGGAGAAGGATTAAAAGTACATTGTACATGTACTTCAAGAAGGCAGCTGAGAATGTACTGGTCATGTACTTCAAGAAGGCAGCTGAGAATCATGTACTGGTGCAAATTTACGTTGTGCTTCACAGTGTCAAAAATGGACTAAGTGATGAACGTTTGATGGGGCTGTGCTGTGTCACTGAGATCTATGACGATGTTTTTGAACACTGGCAACTTGAGGCTCGCGTGCCATATGGCCAAAACGTGCGTACTGGCACATGTAGTATGTATTAGGCAAACACTGCTGCTGTGATTTCTAGGCAAAAGTAGAGCAATAATTATGGTTTCTCAATTATAGTCAATAATTATGATACACTGCTCGGGTAGCATATCAACATGAATTATCAGTTGATCCTTTGCTACTGCGAGGACCAAGTAATTAGCAGATGGTTTGAACAAAACTTTAATAGCGTTAATTATACGGTAATAGTTATTTGGAAAAAGGTGTACCTGGGGCAGTCTCTCACATGTGCATAGTGCAATGATCATGTGCTGCTGGTCAACTGAGGCAAAGCAGCCTGCTCACTTGTTCACTTCTTGGGTTGGGCCTTTGCAATAGGTTTCGCTCTCACCATAGCTTCAGGATCCTCACCAACTTTCCCATCTTTTTCCGCACTTTTGCAAGGTGCTGGGTCATCTCCACTGTCCTCTAGCTCATCTATCTGGTCTTCCACATTATCCTGAATGGTATCAACAGAAAATTGATAACATCGAACCAGTCACATGCTTGATTGATGACAACTTGACAAGGGCACATCAATACAAGTCGTGCAGTTCCCTGAGCTGTGTTTAGAACAGCTATCATATGCAGGCATGGATTACCATGCACACCGGTAAGCAGGGGCGTCGGAAGGTAATTAAATTAGTGTGGTACGGTCAGCCATCTGAAGTACAATTTACATGTACTCGTGGGGGAGTGGTGGAGATTTGGAGCCCAAATCAGTGCATTTTATCGATTCACAAGGTACTTGGGGCAAATAGTGGTGCGGTCAATATCACTGTGACCGTACCGTGTCCGACGCCCCTGGTACCGTATTTTTCCGGTTGTAAGTCGACCGTTTACGACTAAAAATAGGAGAAAGGGTGGGGGTCGACTTACAACCGGGATTCGACTTATAACCGGGAACTATCAGTATCTTACAAAAAAAGACCTGCACTGCATGCACGAGTGCACCATGTGTACACATTTTTGCCAGTTTATTGGCCTTTTTCAAGGATTGGGACATTATACCCTCCACTTAGGAATGTTTACATGATTTGTTGTTGTGTTAGTACAAGGGAGTGGTTAGTAGTGCTTCTTTGGGTGAAAACTTTAAAACGCAGAATTGAGACCTCCGGATATGGGGGTCGACCTATAACCGGGGTCGACTTGCAACCGGTAAAATACGGTAAGTGTCTTGCCGAAAGTCTTTATTGAAACACTGACAGACAGTAGTGATGTAGGAAGAAACCCCCAGAACAGTAGCAAATGTGGAAATCATGGCTGGAGGAAGCAGACTAGACGGGCATACTTGAAGTATGTATTTTGAAGTAGTGGCCAGCAAACGTGCCCATCACAAACAGGCCGGGAATATTATCCTCATCAGTTCCCTGCTTGACATGTAGGTCATTACCAAGTACTCTACATGGTGCTCGAAGCAGAAGCCCAAGCGTCCTGAGTCACTGAGTTCACATGGTTCACATTTTCAGTCAGTTGGCAGGAAGGGAACGCTCCAACATTAGCAGCAGCCAACTTCTTCAAACATGTTGCAAGTACAAGTAGTGCTCTCTAATAAAGCATCATACAGCTAGCTATGGGGATGCCGAATCGGTATAAAAAAACTCGCATAATGGCCGATCAGTTGAAGGACTCAAACGGAACATTCGAGGCAAGTCTGTAGACCATGAGCTAGCTGCTGTAACGTTAAAACCGGAAAATTTCGGTGGAGATTTATTTTCGGTTACGAACTTTTAGTTTGGTACAGGTTGTCTGGAATTGTTTTTCTCAGTTCACTTCCCCGACTGATCCTTTGAAATTTGAAGTTCTCCCAACCCTTTAAAAACTTCGGTACAGGTACTTCTCTTCGAAGTAATTTTTACCTAAAATAAAACAGGACCTAAAATTCAACCATGCCATGCCACACAGTGTGCAAAATGCATTTTTGGATCTGGAAAACTGGTTTACCGAAATTTTCGAGCTACCGAACTGTTGATTTTGGGAAATACCGAAAATATTACACCACTGACTCGGAAAATTCCCGGTTTTACAGTACTTCTCCTGTCCATGCCCCCCCCCCCCCTACTTCCACCGCGGCTACATGTACATTACTATAATTCATTCTGAATGATTCATGAAGACCTACCAAGTTCTTCTCAAGGCTGGCGATTTGACTATGAAGTCCGGATCTCCACACCTAAGCAATGCATTGTAAAACGGGGCACAGGTATGATACTGTAAATATACAAATTTTCGGCAGCTATTTAATTTCGGCTATATTCGGCACCGACCCAAAACGCCTAAATTAAAACGCCGATGAAAATTTTCACAGCATCTGTCGCACTATACCATGCCCTCTACCCCACGCCGAAAATAAATTGCCGCCGAAATGTCAAAAATCGTGAAGTGCCGAAATTTTGCAGCGCCGAAATTTTGTATATTTACAGTAGTACATATTGCCAATGAAAACATGGTACACTATCAGTATTAAAAACCTGTAACTAAAGACCACCGTGACTAGCGACCAGCCTGGTACTACAGACCACTTCGCCAGACACGGACGGTCTCCCATTCCACATAATATGATTGTGCGGTGCAAGCCTCTAACTAAAGACCACCTGCCACTAAAGACCGCTTTCTCTGGCCCCAAGGGGTGGTCGTTAGTCACAGGTTTTACTGTAATAATTATGGATTAACTAACAAGCTGGAAAAAAACAGAAGTCACCAAGGTCCTGCTAGTTTCTCAGTGTTGCCGCCTGGAGTCAATAACATCATGTCGGCCCCTTGCTGGACGCAGCCTGGTGCAACAGTTCATGTTGCAGAGGTGGTTAAAGCACTGTTTATGGCAAGCAAAGGCAACCTTTGTGTCCTGGTGGAACTTGATCAGTTCAGTGTCTTCTTCTGATTTCATTTTCACTTGACTTGACACAGTATAGGCTGCTGCTGTGGCACTTTTGTATTTTCCGTGCTGCTGCGCTCTCCACGGCCGCACTAGCCATATTAACTGTCGTACCCATATGCACACATACAATGAATCCCTGGCTACACTTTGGAACTATTTCCGTTGCCTATGTCCAAATCTCTCTTCGCTTTGTTTTCGCTGCCTGGGCTCTCATTCATCTCTGCTTGCTTGCTTGTATTGCTGAGGGAACATATGCTGGTTTGTATTCGTGGGTCCCTATGGTGCATGGGCCACGCATACTCATCTGGCAGATATGTGTGAATAATAATAATAATAATAATGACACAGTAAAAACCTGTCCATTTAACGACAGTAACTTTTGCACGCCAGAGCATTCCGCACCTTACTGATCACGCCAGGCCAGGAGTGATTGCACACAAACTATTTCAAATTTAACATTTCACAAGTCACTGAAACAAGGTCGCTGCTGTTTGCAACAGGATGGCAGGAGGCCTCCAGGCAGAACTGATCAAGCTGTCACTGCCGGTCTCGCACGGGAGATGGTCACCCTGGACAGATCTTATCAGTTTTACATGACGTGCAACTGTAATTATCGAGTCAGTTAATCAGAGATGTGCCAGAGCCGAGCCTCAGTAATGGGCATTATCACATGTCACGTGAGTGCTTCCTAGGATTGGGCCAATCACTGATCTGTATGAGCGGGCAATAAAGCAGTCCAACGCCCGCGTCCAAAGCCAGTTGTCCGTGACAACCCTGGGTCTGAGACTGGACACGTGAAATCTATGGGATGGGATTCACTGATTGTGAACCTGGTGACGGTGTATACAGTGCAGTGTACATGTACATGTGAACGCGTGGTCGAAGGTGGCAATCTCAGATTTTCTTTTTCTTTCCTTTCAAGTGTTGCTGCACACGAGATTGACTTTCTGAACCCACCTTCCAACCCGGCAAATATTTAGATTTTGATAAAAACGATTCAAACCTCTCAATTATTTTGTAATACTTCCCGTTTGTGTCTTTCCCTCAAACTAGTGAAGTATAAATAATATAAGAATAAGAATAATATATACTTTCACACAAAACTAGCTTGGTGCAGCACTAATCACGGCAGGGGAACCCGACCCTCCACCATCGCCAAATCACGAAGCATGAGTGGACGGTGACGGGCCGGCCGAGCATCCCGGACACACAATACAGCGGAACGTAGCAACGCGAAAGACACCCGGCAGCGATAGTATCCCATCAACGACGAATAGCTACCTCCCGAAGATTGAGATGTGAGCAGGCAAAGGCGCCTGAGGAAGGCCGTGGATGCCGGCGCAGCTGCCCCATTCACGGAAAACACTAAAGATTGACTTTCTCCTTTTGATCCTTTCAGGTTCGGTTGTGAACATGGCGGAACGGTTTGTACCAGTTTCAAAGTGATAAATCCATAGCCCTCGGGCTCACTTGTCGGGCGCTGAAAATCCATTATTGCCCTCCCAACCATGCCATAACAATTATAATACTTATTGGTGCAATGGTGGCACTGGTATTGAGTGTGATCAAGTGATGCACCACACTGTATTCAGTGATTGCCATGCACCCAGTGGACGGTGGTGCCTTCATGCAGTTTGCTTTGTTGTAATACTTATTTACCTGAGTGAGGCTACTCATTGCTCACCTGGAAAGGTTCTCGGCCCTCCATATGCACTTCATGACCTCTCGTCCAGTCTGCAGACGCTGGTCGATTCCGCTGTGCATGCGGATTACCTTGCAGGCCAGCACTAATGCCACTGCTCACTGGTCTACTAGCACCTGAACCAGCAGCGCCGCTACCGGCCTGACCTCCACTGCTCATCGCTCCAGTCTGCAGTCAATCCCAGTTGTTTGGACGGGTGTCTACGGGGTGTACAGGCTACCCGGCGTATGTGGCCAATCCAGCAGCCACCGGTGCACCGTTCCCAGCTCAGCTCGTCGCCCAGATGGTTCGGCTTTTTCTCCTACTACTAGTAGTAGTACTACTGTAGTACCTGCAGAAGGTGACGAAGTACAATTATTATACTTGTGCGATTTTGCAGCCGACACCTCGAGTACCTCAACTAACTGTTACTTGCTCAAGCTCAAGCGTTGAAATAGCGAGTCCCACGTGAACGCCAAGATACATGTAGGACGATCGTAGATCTACGACTTGGTCGGCGCTACGCAGCGTCGACCCTTTCAAATGAGTCAACTCAAAAGACGATGTCCAGCCAAACACGATGCACGCTACACATACTGCACTGTGTCATAGTCTACCGCAATGGCAATGTTCTTTATAATAATAATAAGGCCAAACTAAAGAAGGTGTGTGGTTCGACTAACATGGACATTTTTTTTACGGGCGGGCGGGCGGATTTTTTTTTTTTTAATATATTTTTTAGTACATGTAAATACACTGTATACGCGTATCGAGTAGACTCTACTACCAGCACAAGGCAGCAGTCGTACCACTCACTGCACAGCACTGCAGTACAACTACAAGTCAAGTCCAAAAGGAGCCGCCTGCGTCCGCAGACTCACGCCGCACAGCACGTAGACGTGGACGTGTTCAGTCCACGTACGTCAGTCACACGACAGCCCGCCGAAAAAAAGTTACGGTCGGGCTGAAATTGTACGGTCGGTCGGGTGAGTCGAACCACACACCTTCTTTAGTTTGGCCTAATAATTATTTAGAAAAGCGATCCTGTCAGCTTTTCTATTATTGTGTTCACATGGCAGAAAAAACGACATCGCTATGCTACGTAAGTTTCTACGTAAGGTGCTCGGTATTTCACTTAGGCTACGTAAGTCTCTACGTAAGGTGCTCGGTATTAGATCTACCAGCGGGTGGTAGCCGTGTGCTGTGCACGTGCACGGCAGACATTATTGTGTTCAGTCCGCGGATCCGTGTTCGGATGTGCATGCGCGAGGAATACTTCCTTCTTTGGAACTGCTTCTTGCATGAGCTGTTTCGGATATTTCGTCTCATGGCCTGGCTTATTTCGTTTCGGCGCTGCTGAGACCTCCTTTCGCGGAATATTACTCAATGACAGCCACAGGTGAGTTGACCAGTTGCCTTTGATTCATTTGCTTGTGTTGACTCTTTCATTCAGGAAAAGTGTGTTGATTTTGGGGCGGAATGCAATAAATAATGGAAAAGTTGACAGGATCTCTTTTCTAAATTTTGCTTTTCTGCTGCCGAGCTGCGAGGCCTCCTTTTACGGAATACTCGATGACAGGTGATCTCTAAGTTGACCGGTTTCCTTCGATTCATTTGCTTATGTTCACCTTTCATTTTCGGAAACGTGTGCTGATTTTATTCGGATTTAGATCCATTTTATCTCTTTGCCCTTGTCTACAGTGTGCGAAGAACGCGAGTTCAACTTCTTGACGGTAAGGCTTATGTTAGATGTGTTGTCGAAATACTCATATTCATTGTACATTGGTACGTTACAAGTAAGGCACTGGTCAGTGGCATACTATCGTTGGCAGTTCCCAATCTGGAGGGAAAGGTTCAAGTACCAATTGACCGAGCTTGCAAAATAAATTCGCATATCAGGGGAATCTCTATTGTGGAGAGGTTCAGTAACTTGTTTGTTTCATACGAAACAAGCCAATGGGTGCAGTCGCGTCTCGTGAAAAACTCGTACATGTATGATTGGATTTGTTTACTCAAGTCTGGGCTGTTTGATTTGTGAGTACCGCCGAGATTGCACTGCCTCAAATAAAGTTTCGTGCCGCCAAAGCAAGAATTACGACCTGCAATCTGTTTGTAGTACCTGTAAAAATGTGGAGTACATGTATCGTACTTTCTCTGTTGCTGTTTCAGTTGCCGTCATGTTGCTAAAGAAAGGTACAGTAGAGAGGTTCTGCAAAACGAAAATTCGAACGAAGTTTCGCGACAGTCCTTGCGAAAGTGTGTGCGAATTTTTGCACGAACTTTGCGTTCTGCACATTTTCGTAGTTTGCGCGGGCCAATTGCACTTACGCCATAACCCGATCTCACGAAATTTCCTACGACAGTTCATTTCGCGTTCCCTGCAAGTTTCGCGTCCAAAGGTGCGAAGTTTCGCACTTCATGATGTAGAACGAAAGTTTGTACGCATTTTCGTTTTGCAGAATCTCTCTTGTGACTCAATTGTTTCATACGAGACGAGTCAATGAGTCGGTGTGGCTTAGAATCTTTCGCTGTAGAAGAAATCTATTCGTATGTCTATTGGAGATATAATTGTATTCTCTGGTTATAAAATAGGTTAAGCTCACAGAATAAATACCATCGGTCCCTTGGTGTTCGTCCTAAAGAGGTTCGACTGGATATCATTCATACTCACCAAAAGATGTGTAAGATTTTATTATTGCGGAGTGCCTTGTTTATCTCTCAGTACCTCCAACCATAGCCTTGCCCCTTTTCTCCTCAGGATCAGTGTAGTTGTTGAAACGAGGTTTTGGACTCGGCAATGTATTCGTTTACATTTTAATACATGTTTATTGTTCCTGCTGTGTTGTTTTAGACAATCGTGGACTAACAGTTTGAAGTCATTGAACTACTTCCAAAAGTTGTTTCGACATCAACAGGATTACGATTTCAGTTTCAATATGATGCTGGATGACCTTATCACGATAACCCATGACTATAAACCATTATAAACACAGAATCAACAAAAACATCTGCGACACGCACCTGCCGCATGGCTACATTTCTCAAATAAATCTGATTGAGGGTGGAGTAATCTGAAATATCTGAAAGGCAAGACAATTTTATTACAGAGTCATGAAATTCTGCAACAGCAACATGCACAGAATGACCTCCGTATAAAAAAGTATCACCACCACTGCTCACATGTTTCCCCGCAGAAGAACATGCATTATGCTAGTGCCATTTTCTGCAAGAAAAGGCTTGCACATCAATGCGTATAATATGGTATTGATATGATGTGAAGGCCATCATTTACATATTGATATAGGGCATTCCATTGATTGGTGACAGAAAAAACAAAAGAAATTATAGCAATAAAAACTGCTTAATGGCAGTTTTCTAAAAAAAGTTATTGTGTTCTAGTCCATGGACCCCGTCTAAAAAGTAAGAAATTAACGAAATGTGATAGCTGAAAATTAAAATTTCACACAAAACCTCACAATAATCACACACAGAATGAAAAGCTACATGCAGAAGACCTTTTCCCCTCGCGATCCTCTTTCCTATGCATGCATGTTGCCAATTGTTGGTGCAGTACAAGTTTAGTGTTGAAAGCAGGGAGTAGTATTGTACTACTCCCTGGTTGAAAGCAGCATTTCAAGTGTTGTGATTATTGTGAGGTTTTGTGTGAAATTTTAATTTTCAGCTATCACATTTCGTTAATTTCTTACTTTTTAGACGGGGTCCATGGACTAGAACACAATAACTTTTTTTAGAAAACTGCCATTAAGCAGTTTTTATTGCTATAATTGTCATTGGCATTGCACGGGGTACGGGTGGTTTTAGGATAAAAATGTAGACCTACAGTACCAGTACGGCAGTAGCAGCATTGGGAAAGATAGTGCCCTCTCTTTCGCCCTAACTGTGTGGGACTTATTTATAATAAGAATGCCCCAGGCCCAGGGTTACTAATCACGCGAGTACGGACCGGTACGGTAATCATGTCTGGGAGCGCTAGTCTAGTGAGAACTCGCTCGGGCGGCGAGGCGCCAAACCTGCATGTCAAGTGCCAACTACAGTCTCAGTCACTTTTGACTGTAAAAGCTACTATTCCCGCCAGATTGTTTCCATTCAAATTCAATCAAAATAGGCCAATTTTGAAAGGCGTCCTTTCCATAAATTAATTTCTTGTCTTTAGACGATACAGCGGCTGTAGTGTAGTCCTCAATGAGGTGCTCTTGCTGTCGTTAGTCGACAAGGTAGCTGTACAACTCGGCGTAGGTAACCGTATGACGTTGTGTGCCTTCAATTACTAATAGGAGCTAGGTAAGGCTCTAGTTCATGCATTATCAGTGTCGCCACTGAAGCCAGAATATCGACATGGACATGATGGAGCAGGCACGCCGACGACCTCTTTCCCTGTTCCCTGTACTACTGTATTCCATAATAATTAGAGTCGCCATGGACCTGGTTGGCCAGTCCGCTGCTATTCCGACGGCCTACCTAGCAGCTCGCTACCAACTGTGCGCAAATGCCGAATTACTTGTGCTGCCGGGGCCGTCACACCGGCTGTCCGTTTACCGACTGGACGACCTATGCACAGAGGTGAGTAGGCTGCGAGCACTGCAGCTTCACTGCCTTCAGCCGTAATCACCGACGGCCGCATGTATTGATGGTAGTTGCAATCCGTAAAATGGCTTCAGAGTTTATCGAAGCCATCAACTCATTCCTCTGTGAGTCTTGCGAACTACATGTATTTCGCAACTTTTCCCCAACCTTGGCCCCATGGCATGGGGGCAAGAGGTCAAGTCACAGACTACAATCCTGTGGGACAAATGCATACTAGTAGTACTTTACTAACAGGCGTGTGTGCGGTGCCCTTCACGCCGGTGCCCTTCACGACGGTGCCCTTCACGACGGTGCCCTTCACGCCGGTGCCCTTCACGCCGGTGCCCTTCAAGGGGGGGGGGGGGTTCCGGGGCCTCCCACGGGAAAAATTTCAAAACATGAAGCAAAATTCTGCATTTTGAGCGAAAAAAAGGGGGGTTCCGGGCACCCAGGAACCCATACGGGGCACGCGCCTGACTAAGTACTAGTAGTAGAATCTACTAGCTCGTGTGCCTTCAGAGTTCAGGATCATTTCGGAGAACTACCAGTAGTAGATCAACAGTAGTTGCGGTATGTGCATTGCCTTTTGCATGCACTGAAATGATGGAGGGTGCATTCAAAGTCTACTTGCACTGTGCTGTCCCTGCGGGAATTTGCGGAAATTTTCTCAAAAACTTGCGCAAGAAATTGCGGCAGAAAACAACAAAAACTGCGGCGAAAAGTGCGGAAAGATGTGGAACTTGCCAGGAATTCGTGGAATTATTTGCAGAAAATTGCGGATTTGGGCCAAATCACGAAATTTGTTGCATCCGTAGAATCGCTATCTACTCGAGAGTAGTACGAGTCGACTGTGCAAATAACCTAGCTACAGTACAGTGTGCATGATCATGGAAAGCATTGCATGGAAAGTGCGTAAAGATGTACATGTAAAAAGAGTGCAGAAAACAACGAAAAACGCAGGAAATCGCGGATTTCAAGTGCAGAAAATCGCGGGTTTGGGCTAAAAACGCGAAATTTGTTGCATCCGTGGAATCGTGATTTCCTGGAGGGACAGACTGTGTAAAGCTGTGGTTCACAGCAGGAAGGGGTATAGAGTTTGCTCTCGCTGCACTTATGCTATTCCCACTCTTCTTTTGGTGGTTGTTGGCATCATTGCATGTGCGATTATAGCAACTTTTGAGCTTTTTATGAAAATATGGGTGCCATATCAGCAACTTGTACTTGTTTTGTCACGGTTGTGAAACATAGCCAGCAATCGCATGTCATCACGTACATTCAAAATCAACATAATTATGCTAATCGACCTTTTTTTCAGCATCACTTTTCAACGAGGACGAAGCAAAGCCGGCCGAACGAAGCCCAGAGGAAGAAAATCACCCTCTCCACTTCACCATCACGATACTGACATAGATACGAGACGAAACAACTAAAACATCCACAAGAAAACTGTACGGCCATCTTCGCGCTGACTTTGGTCTGAGAATTTCTATCACGATCAAAAATGTACGAGGAGCACTCAAAATAAGCTACAGACGTACCTTTATCACTCTCTACTCCTTTTTCAAGGCACAAAAGTCTACTCTCCACTTTCAAACCAGGAACCAGACATACCAGTGGTCCTTTTCAGCTGCTCCACGAGCGCAGGAATGTTCACCAAGGGGCGCAGAGCAGCATCCATTCCAGAAAAGGAGCTAAAATACGAGTGAGACTGCATGCCTGAGTACATGCATGAGTACATGTTGTTCCTGCACGTGGATCCAAACATGAACCATTGAGTACAGTGCATCCTTTTCCAAATCAAACCTGCTAAACGCATGAAAAGAAAGTATAGTTACCGTCTACTGCCAAGTACACTGTCCACATCACGTGGCATGCTACATGTGTGAGTGACCTGCAGTCCTCAGTGCACCGCGGCGATGTAAGAATTGGCGCTCTGCACTGCTACGTGGTACTGCACATGAAATACCGGTTGCAGCCACAAACGTAACGGTTCTAGCGGTCGGCCGGTCGAGCACTAAGCTATAGGGAAGGATTGTGGATTAGTTTGAACTTTGAACCCGTATGACTGGGCAACACATCAGCTTGAGTGCTTTAGATGTACATGTTCAATGTACATGTTCAATGAACAAGCTATTGCAGAGCACTGTAGAGCGGGTAAATTTAGCGACTATTAACCCATTGACTGCTGAGCCCGAATATATTCGGGATTCAGGATGACGTCAGGGCGCTGAGCCCGAATATACTCGGGCTGACAGGCTATCCTACCGTACTAAGCTCCGTGTTCCAGCGTAGGGTTGCAAGAGACCCCAGAGTCGAGCGGTACATTTCCGGCATTCAGTACGAGAGGTTGCGGGTACGAATCCCGCTTGGATACTTTTTTTTCTTCTTTTTCGTCCGGTGATTCAACTCAAATTGCCGACTTTTTCGTATTTTACGCAATTTGGATGAACTTACGTGTCGTATAGCATCTTGTTCCCCTTTCTAGGAACTATATCGAGTTGGTCAGCGTGATGATTATAGCCTTGGTCAACATTTCACAAGAGTTCAACAACCTAGTTTCTTAGACTATGAAGTTGTGGAGCTGTACATTGGCCATATTTTTAGCATTTTCTTCAGAGTCTCAGATGAAAGGCCCTGTAGCCCTCAATGGGTTAATTTTAGCGTTTTCCCATTGTCAACCGGTTAGCGACGTTTTATTTTAGCGATTTGCAGCGATTTTACTCACGGATCACCAGTGCACTACTAATGTCTCAACGGATTAGCGACTTGAAACTTTAGCGAAAATGAGTCGATCGCTAGGGGTTTTACGTCGCTAAAATCACCCGTTCTACAGTACCAGTTTGTACCACACGACCATATACGGATCCCATTATATATACATGATACGTATGTCAAAATGGAGCTTTTGCAATTCTCCATCACTTGCTCTGCAGTGAAGCACAATCGCATAGATTGGGATCTACTGGATCCACAGACTAGTCTGATGTGTATAAATTATTCAGTGGTTTGTCATGTGTGATGTCACAGTCTGCCAGACCAGTGGAAATATGCTTCCTATGGCCCTGATCATGCGGTGTGGCAGATGATACCCAGCCTCATGAGTATAGCAGTGTGGCTGCCATGGCACTACACGCCCTGGGCTGTGTGATGAACGCGGCCGAGCTGCTCTGCCTTATATTATATATGAGGTCAAATTTCACTGGCCACCACCATTGTTTATGTATGGGAGTCTGAATGTGACTGTCGCGTGATGTTTCTGGATTTGCCGGCAGGTTGTTGGGCTGAGATGTGAGCAAGCCCATCGCTATGCTGTGACCGGCATGTCACTGAGCGTATCATCAAACTTGCTGGTCACTGTATCATCAGACATGCTGGCCCTGTGGACCAATCCTTGCAGTAGGTGACACCAGCAGCAGCACCATCATCATGTTTAAAATAGTCAACCATATTGTGTTGAGCAGAGTTTACTTAGCTGACTGTGAATCACTGGCCGCACATCCCATATCAGCAGTTTGTGACACATGCACGTCAATGCCGGACTACTGTATAGTGACCGTGCACCACACTGTATATGTGAAATATGCACTTCGGACTGGGTGTAGCATGGTTGCAGAAGGGAGGGGATGTGAACTGGGTCACTGTATGGCTTTTATGGAGTGGGGGGGGGGGGGGGGGGGGGATATGGGACACCCAATCCAATACTGTTTGGTCTATGTCACTTGGTGGGGGGATATGGGACACCCAATCCAACACTGTTTGGTCTATGTCACTTATTTCAACGTGTAGACTTGCCAGATGACGTCATTGAGGTGTACAGTAACCCTGGTTTGAGTCAGTGCGTAACACTGAGCGAAAGCGAGGATTACGCATGTCTTGCCGTGGACAATGATGTCATAGTCGTGAATATTATGGTAAGACACATTGGTTGTCTATGACTGTATAGATTGGGTTAATCCTGCATTGAATATAGAACCAGCCTTGAACCGTGCAGACTGGAAGGTCATGCAGACTTTATAGAGGAATATCAGGATAAGCGAAACGTGTCTGAGGTGATGCTCTAACCATCTATGTTGTGAGCTGCCGTTGGAGTCGGCGCCTTTTAGGTTCGGCCTGGTCCCATAGCTCGGATGGTTAATTGCTCATGACAAGCAAGGTCCCGGGTTCGAGCCCTGCTGTCAGTTCTGAGTGAAGAACAAATTAGGCAACTTGTGTACAACTTCAGCCGTGCTTCTCAACCTTTCAAAAAAAGGGTACGGCTTAGACCCCGGTGTGGCTAACACCCGGGAAACACGGTATATGTATATCATGAATCATTCATGTATATCATGAATCATTCATGTATATCATGAATCATTCATGATATACATTTACGACAAGTAGCCCCAAACCCGCTACATGTATCTGGCCGGGTTTGGACCAAGTTTGAAATGTCCAGTACTAAAACATGCAGAAAATGTGCCATAATATTCAGTTCACAGGGCATGTGTTTAAAAATTAGGGAGGTTTCGCTCTACGATATTACGTATGAAAATCTGTATATATCACATGCACTGGGAAAGAGGGCAGCTTTCATCCGTAAATCTCTCTACGGATTTCTGTAGGAAAGCGCTTTCCTATGTTTCCTCCTCTGTGGGACTTTTGAAATACATGTACTTAGGCCAAAACAAATAATGACCTTGTTTCCGGTCGCCCGACCGGGCCACTTTTTCCCAAATTCTGAAACTTTTTTTGGTCCCAAATGTATACAAACGGTGGCAATGCCATGTGTGCAAGTGCACTCAACGAGTCATAGCTCAGTCAAATCTCAGCCGAATTCCACAATCGAAACACCTACAAGGTAGCAGAGATTCTCAGCTGTCGGCTCGAAAACCTATGGGGTCGATACGAGCTAGAATAACGGAGCTGGAAGGACTCGAACTGTTTGCTTGATTTCTCAGGATGTACGAAAATAGGAATACACCACATGCTGTACAAGAACAGTGAGTCAGTCAACTTTGACATTGATCCTTGCCATGATATATGTACAATGTACATGTGTAGGTGCTCTTGTCCATCAATACCACAACGATTGAGGAACCAAAAAAAGTATCCTACAAAGTTTCATTCTGGCCGACCGAGTCTCCTTTTTGAGGGGTTGCCGACCGGAAACAAGCCTATTTTTTGTTTTGGCCTTATCTCATTTTCTGGATTTATCCATGATAACATTCAATAATTCAACTCATTTCACAATGTTACGTTTTGGCAAATTGCCTTCATCAGGTTCACCGTGATGTGCAAGCTCTCAAACCAGCATTGATAAAGGCCAACTCCCCTGTCAGTAAGATATAACATTCAAGCCACTCGAAGCACTCAGTACACACCACGTGGAGAACGTGGCAACACATGGCCATGGGCGCATGCAGCCGACTCGTCTCCAATGCAACATGGCATACTTTGCAGTCCTCGAGAAATCAGGTAGAGTGAAACCCTAGCAGCATGGGGTTTGACGGATGGAAATGACATGCAGTTCCCACGTTATTTTCATACGTAATTACGTAGAGCAAAATTGCAAAACCTCCATATTTTTAGAGTACTAGTAATGTGGGCTACCTACATAACTGGTAGACAGCAGGCAAGTCTAGAGATGCTCAACTACAAATAATTCATGCAGCAACTGCCTCAGTGCAGGAGCACAGATTCTCAATTCCATCTACTGCTGCCTGCGTACTTGTTTCTACTGGACCAGGACCGTAAATTAGAAGCAACTCTTCAAGGTCATACAGCACCCGTGACAGCCATCAAGGTCTTAACAGACTCGCCGCTTACTGTTGTTTCTGTGTCGGAAGATCGTACTTTCAAGGTCAGTATCAAAACGTAGATTGGAACAGATCCACTCCTGTGCCGCCCACCTCCAACATTCACAATTTCACATGCTTGCTCTACAGCTCTTTCAGACAATATCTGGGCCACAGAGCTTCCAAGACGTGATGTGGGCCAAACTTGGGCCCAAGAAACTGTTTCTTAAAACCACATGTATCTATTTTGTGTCACAGTGTTTGACCTGCAGCGTCACACATTGGGTAGTGTTAATTAAAACCTGGCTGCCGATTCACTTCAAACCTGGCTGAAATCCCAGTACAGCTCCACCGCCAACAAGTCTTTCTAACTAGTGTTACCCTATATTCAACAGCCGCCGCCGCCGCCGGACTTTAGCCGATAATTTCATGTACATGTACACACATTCTATCACGGTCACTGAAGAGAACAATGTTGAGAGGGCCTTCTGGTAGACTGGCCGTTTGTCTAGCTAACACGTTACAGCATAGAAGTATTCTATTTACTGTGCTGAGTATAAAAAGTTCTCGGTGCTATTGATGTAGGTATGGGATATTGAAGGTGGCTGCCTGCTGTATCAATCTGCAGTTCTTTCAGGTAAGTTGCTTGTCCAACATCAGAAAGTGCATTCACCGGAGCATGTGCTGTGTGTGTGTGGGGGGGGGGGGGGGGTGCGTGTGTGCGTGCATGAGCCGGAGAGGTACCCAGGACTCCGTAGGTACTTGTATGTGCAATGTGACTGTTGTGTAACCTTGGCCTGAGGTTACAATTACACTCACAGGAGCATAAACTCCCCAGCCCCCAGCCAGGCACCAGTTCCAACCATGACAAGACGTTGAGATCAAAACTGCAACTCTCAAGTCAAAACATTCTCTCGAAGCAAAAGGAAAACCAGCATCATACCAGAGCGAGCCAACGAAAGGATACGCATGCGTGTGTGCCTGTGAATGTGTACGAATGACGTATGCATACATGTCATGAAGTAGAGTCACATTCATAGCTACAATCAAGAGTGGAAATATTACTACGCCAAACGGAACATGTGCAACATGTTACACCTCCCCCCTCGTTACAGAGGGAACGATAGTGACCGAAAGTTACAAAGCTTAGAGCATATCCGTGATAGCTTTCTACATGAGAAAATTAAATACTGGAAAGTGAAATAGTGTGGCGCAAGTACGGTACAAGTGTAGTTAATCGGTGTGAGGTATAATGGAAAGTTTAGAAACTACTAATGCTATGTAAGTGGACTGTGAAACAGCAAGTGAAATGCTCGACATTATTCATACTAACCTAACAACAGGTAGGACTGTGTGAAATATGTGTATTTCTGAACTAAGAATGTACAATTTCTCAATAATCACACTGTACAGTCATAGACACTCACTGAGCAAACCTTGCCGGCGGCTGAATGTTTGCACGGTTCCGCAGATCATAGTGGTGCACAACAGGCACAGGTGCATGATTCAGTGCTGCGGCTGGTGGCGGCACCGGCGCAGCAGCAATTACTGGTGCAGGTGGCGCCTGCACTGGAGCCGGGATTGGTACTGGTTGCACATTATACTCAACATCAGGCGTATAGTCGGCAATAGAAGTCGGAGGCGAGTTCGGTACGAGCTCATTGGCACTTGCAGGCAGATCAGAGCCAGTCCAAGCCTTCAGACGGTCAACGTGAACAGTCTGGGTTGTGCCGGATTTGTCAGCTATCCGAAGTACTACATCGTCAACACGTTCTAGCACAGTGTACGGGCCTTTCCAAGGTCGATGGAACTTGGAAGTCGTACCTGGTTTGACGGCAGGAGAATGCAACCGAACCATGTCACCAACGTTGAGTTTCGGTTGTTTAGCGTGCTTGTCATAGTGGGCCTTCTGCCGTCGTTGGGCTGTTGCTCCAGCATCACGGGCATGCGTGAACGCTCGTTGTAGATTGCGTCGTAAGTTGATAACATACGTGTTCACATGGGAGCGCTCAGAGTCTGGTGACTGAAACATCACATCAACAGGCAGGTGGATTTCATGACCTAACATGAGTATCGCTGGCGTCTCCTTGGTCGAGGAGTGCACACTAGACCGGTAGGCAAGCAGACAACGTTGCAGATGACGGTCCCAATTGGTGTGGTGGTCGTCGACGTGAGCAGCCAGCATTTGCTCCAGTGTGCGATTCATCCTCTCGACTAAGCCGTCACTCTGGGGCCGGTATGCTGTTGTACGTGACTTTCTGATATCCAACAACTGACAGATCTGCTGGAATAACCTCGACTCAAATTGCGCACCACGGTCAGAGTGCAGCTGGTATGGAATACCATAACGACAGAAGAAGCCGTCAACAAGGACATGTGCTATTGTTTCAGCAGTAATATTCGGTACAGGAAACGCTTCTGGCCACTTAGTGAAATAGTCACAAATGACGACTAAATACTTGTTACCGCTAGGCGTAGTAGGCAGTGGGCCCATAATATCAATAGCAACTTTCTCTAGCGGGAATGATGGGCGGTCTTGGACAAGCGGGGCTTTGGCCTTTGGTAGCGGTGCTTTGCGGCTCTCACAAATATCACATGCTTGGCAAAAATCACTAACTGCAGACGACATGAAGGGCCAATAACAGCGCTTGCGAAGCTTGTCTTGTGTTCGCTCAATACCTAAGTGGCTTCCAGAGACATCAGCATGCACAGACTGAAGAATGCGGGATTGCAGAGACTGTGGTACAACAAATTGTAGGTACGGTGTGTCGCTATTCTCGGGGTGGTAAACCCGGTACAACACTCCATTAACCAGTCTAAGACGCTTCCACTGGCTCCATAATCGTATCAATGCAATAGACGCACCGTGCATGGCAGAATCACTACGCAGGGGCCTGTCAAGTAATGCCTCCTGCCAGCCGATCATTGTACTAACATCTGCATCTTCTAATTGAGCTGTGCGCAACTCTTCAACAGTGAAAGACTCACACCAATTGGGTGGCGACACTTCAGCATTGACTGTTACAGGATTACTATCAGGACTAGCGCTAGACAGGTGATTGACAACAATAGTCTGCTCACTTACTCTCTGCTCGGGCGTTGGCGTCGGTGAGGTTGCGGTAGCCGGGCTGTGGCAGCGGAGTCTTGACAAGGCGTCTGCATTGACATGCTGCTTCCCGGGCCGATGTGTGACGACGTAGTCGAAGACGGCCAAACGCTCAATCCACCGGGCTAGAAGACCGTCCACTTCCCGGAACGAATGTAGCCAGATGAGCGCTTTGTGATCAGTTCGCAATGTGAACTGATTTCCAAGTAGGTAATGGCGGAAATGTGCAGTAAATGTGACAACAGCAAGCAGCTCCTTGCGTGTACTGCCCATGTTACGTTGGGATCTCGTTAATGCTTTGCTGGCATAGGCAATCACTACTTCCTCACCGTGACTATTGACTTGCGAGAGAACAGCTCCCATGGCAAGATCTGACGCATCAGTGTCCAGGATGAAGCGCTTGGCAGGATCAGGATATGTCAGAACAGGTGACTTGACTAGTCGGGACTTCAGTTCAGCAAATGCCTGTTCACACTCATCTGTCCAGTTGAAAGTGGCATTCTTCTGGGACAAACGGTTCAGGGGCTCTACAATTTCTGAGAAATGTGGCACAAAGCGGCGATAGTACGATGCAAAGCCAACAAAGCTACGCACCTCTTTCAGTGATGTTGGGGATGACCAGTCTTGAACCGCCGTGAACTTGCTTGCGTCCGGTGCCACACCTTGCTCTGAGAATAAGAATCCCAGGTATGTGACTGAGGACTGAAGCAGTGAGCACTTCTTGGGCTTGATCTTGAGTCCAGCTTGACGAAGACGACTGAATATTGTTTGCAGACGACTCATGTGTTCCTCAATCGTTGATGAGAACACGATAATGTCGTCCAAGTAGACCAGACAGATATTGGGTACTAGGTCACCAAGGACCCGGTTCATGAGGCGTTGGAAAGTTGCCGGTGCGTTACACAGGCCGAACGGCATACGGTTCCACTCGAATAATCCGAACGGTGTCACAAACGCCGACTTAGCTTTGGCAGCTTCATCTATCTCCACCTGCCAATAGCCAGCTGCGAGATCTAAGGTAGAGAAGTAGCGTGCACCCGCCATAGCGTCGATAGCATCGTCCACACGAGGAAGGGGAAAGGCATCCTTCTCGGTGATACTGTTCAACTGCCGGTAGTCGATGCATAGCCGGATAGATGAGTCAGGCTTGCGTACGACAACTATCGGTGCAGCCCAAGGGCTTCTGGATGGAGATATAATCTCATGATCAAGCAGTTGATCAACGTGCTGCTTTACCTCGGCTCGTTGACTGAGAGGAATTCGGCGGGGTGGCTGTCTCTTAGGTTGATCAGATGTAGTCTGGATGTTGTGTGTTACTACATCAGTCTTCCCAAGGTCGAATTGTCCCTGCGAGATGACATCGGCATTGTCGTTGAGCACAGTAGCTATAGCAGACTGCGCTTGCGGATCGAGGTGACGTAAGTCAAATAGATCGTCTGGCTCGGAAGGTGAGCAGCTCTCTTCCTGTACTGCGTTACAGCTATGCTCGTCAACAGAGGCAGCATGCGTAGGCGAATCATTGAGATCATCGTCAATGTAAATATCAGAATCAAATTCAGCAATTTGATAATTCTTCGGGACAGTTGTGGAATGAGGAAGAAAATTTTGTAGGCGAATCCAAACACGGCCAGCAGAGTCAGGAGTAGCCACCACACGTGACATAGCAGTGCTAAACTTGGAAAAAAACTTCTCTGAAGGCGAAACAAAACCAGCAGAGCTAGGTAAATGATTATCATCGGTACGCAGCTGAGCTTGAACAATGACTTGTGTATACGCTGGTACAGTAACCGAATTAGCAAGATGAACACGGCAGACTACAGGATTAGCATTATGGGTGGGCTCTAGGGGTACATCGACACCGCCTGCATCGAGCATGTTGCGACCGAAATCAATTGTGCAGCCATGAGATTGCAAGAAGTCAATGCCGATTAGCACATCGGGCATAATGTCAGCAACAATGACTCTGTGGCGTACAGCAAGCTTGCCAGTTGCTAGCAATACGATAGCTTCCCCGAGCACAGGAACAGAAGAATTATTTACCGCTTTAAGAACAGTATTAACGGGTGAGATAGATAAATGAACATTATGATGAGAGAGAGACTTAGCAAAGCTGGTGCTCAACAACGTTACGCAACTGCCGGTGTCCACAAGCATGTTGGCTGGTACAGCCTCGACCGTGCCTTGGATCTGCACCGTGCTGTCGGACTGTGTTGCAAGACACGACAGAGGCAGGACGATCGAGTTGTCTGGACACTCGGCTGGAGTAGTTGTGCAGGCCTGACAAGTTGTCTCAGTAGGTAAGCAGACAGCCTCACGACACACAGAACACGGTTCACTCTGCTTACCGGTACATGGGTCCATTGGGGAGGTTGCTGACGGCGGACCCTGGTTGTCAGCGACGCTCAGTTTCCCCGACCGCGTCCACGACCCCGGTGACCACCACGGTTAGCCGGTGTGTATCTCTGGTGCGGACAGTCAGGTGCGAAATGCGTTGTGCTGTCGCACACATAGCACCGCTTGGTGTCACCATCTCCACTCCGATGCAGATTAGTTGGCCTCTCCAGCGTGAGCCTGGAGATCTTGTCCTCCAGGGCTGCCATCCTCGACAGCAGGGCGTTGAGTGTAGGGTCACTGGGCTGAGATTGCACCGCACATATAACTGGGCTAGCTGCCTGCTGCTGCTGGTCTGCCTCCAGGATGCACTGACTGAAAATGCATAGCCCGTCGGAGTGCATCATCCAATGTTGGTGGGTCCGTGCCACGAACATGCAGGCGCAGGTCCCTGCTGTCAAGGCCGGCTACAAAGGTGTCGCGCGCCAGGGTATCCTGCACTGCTCCAGCCACCGTGGGGTACGCCCGTCTACTGAGCCTGCGGACGACTTCCGCAAAATCCGACAGGGACTCGCCACGAATTTGCCGGCGTGACTGCAGCTCTGCTCTGAACGTGGGGATGAAGTTTGCGTTGCCGAATCGCTGTTCAAACGCCTGCAGCAGCTGGTCGAATGGGCCTGTCCTCGTATGGGCTTCCAAACTTTGGAAGTAAGCCAGTGCGTGGCCGGTGAGGTACAACCCAATGTACCTGCTTTGGTCTGCCGGTGTCCAGTTGTTTGCATTCGCGACGAGGCGAAAATGGCCAATCCATGATGTCCAGTCGGCGTTGCGCTCGCCAGAGAATTTCTCTGGCGTGGCCCATGCCCGCATCTGCTGTTGTTGACGTGCTGGTTGTTGCGCTGGGCCCGGTGGTGGTGGTGGAGGGGGCGGAGGAGCGCCACCTTGCTGAGCCATCTCTACACGATCAATCTTCCACAAATAATTTGGTACGCGTGCTCTCACAAGACGTGAAATTCGAATTCGCTGCCACCACGTGTAACCTTGGCCTGAGGTTACAATTACACTCACAGGAGCATAAACTCCCCAGCCCCCAGCCAGGCACCAGTTCCAACCATGACAAGACGTTGAGATCAAAACTGCAACTCTCAAGTCAAAACATTCTCTCGAAGCAAAAGGAAAACCAGCATCATACCAGAGCGAGCCAACGAAAGGATACGCATGCGTGTGTGCCTGTGAATGTGTACGAATGACGTATGCATACATGTCATGAAGTAGAGTCACATTCATAGCTACAATCAAGAGTGGAAATATTACTACGCCAAACGGAACATGTGCAACATGTTACAGTTGTGTACCGGTAGAAAGACCTTTCATGGCTCATTTTTGTTGTGGTCCTTTCGTTTATTTTGGTTTGTTTTGCGTTCTGCTTTTGGCTATGTTGGACTGTTTTGGTTTCATGTGTAGTTTGCACATGAACCAAGTAACGGTTACGTCATTGTCATGCGTTGTGTTTTGTTGCGCGCATGCTCATATGCTGCCATAATGTTAGTCTTTTTCTTCAGTTATCAGTTTACCTCGTCGTGTCCGGTCTTCTAGTCTGTCCGTCTCAGTCTTGTCAAGAAATTATGTAGAACTCTTAGTTCAGTTTCGTTGTTGTGTGTGGCGGGTCGGATGGGCAGGGAGGCTGGGCCCCTGACGCCTGGACAACATGTGCGAGTGCACAAAAGTGACCTTGCATCAACCCCAAAGAAAGACAACCTCGGAATTTGTATTAATTGGCAGGGGATCTTGCTACTTGAGGTCGCGGGCAAGGCAGTAGCCTCTCTAGTCCAGCAGCGATGGCAGATTCCTGTGCTGCGGTAGTTTGCCACATAGTCAAACTAGTACCTCCGCCTGTGTGTCAACTTAGAGCACCGATCTGTCCTTTGCGGCAGACACCTGGTAGCTGCAATGTATAATCATGTGACCCCCGTAGTAGAGTTAGATGATGTGATTATTGCTAAATTGCTATGCCTCACCAGCACTGTGCGGCGACTCACTTTACCCTCGTCTCTTTTTTCTGCTTGATCCTGTTCCCAAGCGTCACCTTGCCTGTCACTCTCTTTGAACAGTAGCAGCGAGGAGCTAGTCATTGGATTCTCGGATGGAATGGTATGTTGATGCTGACGTTCTGCCTGAGCACCCGTCCCCACAGACAGCATACACGCGTCGTACTGTCTAATAGTTCATATCAGATTGAGTGAGTACGGCGTGATGATGGCCGTCACAATACATTGAAATTGAGCCCACATTTTAGTGAAATTATCTTCATGTAAACGGTGTGCATTGAGGAAGGCATATTTCAGCTGGTCGCAGATCACTGATATCTGCTTAGCATTTAGAATTTTGTTTGCAAATCCAAGCTGCAGAGAATGCTCGATGCCATAGACAGAGCTTAGAACCTAGCAAACTCAGTTGGTTGTGCGGTAATTGCCTCGTGGCATGAAACTCAACCTGAACGTCCTCCGTTGAGTCCGTTATGTAGAACATTTCTTATTTATACATGTATATATTTCACTTGTGTGCTAATTTCAGGTAAGAGTATTTGACACGAGGAAGGACCATGCTTATTCGTGTATCCATGAAATCAACACTGCTAAAGTATGGACAAGTGTAATATCTGAACAAGCAACACTGACAGATACAATTGCCGGTAAGGATGTAGTGCATGTTGATGAAATCAGTATTCGCAGCACTTCTGTTGAATTTATTGAAGCTCCTACTAGTAATCAGTTTACAGAAGCATTCATTAATTAAGTGCCGCCGTAACACTCGGCACTCGCCAACATTTTGAGGTTTCAGACTGCGTTATTGGTTGCCAATTGCAGGTGCTGGTCAAAAATACGACCTCGAGCAACTTCACTTTAGGAAAGATATACTTGAAAGTACCATTTAAGAGTGAACCTTTTGCATATGTTATTACTGTGAACCCTTTGCATATGTTCTTGTTACTGTTGATGATGTTTGATTATAAAGAGTCTAGTAGTGGAGCCAAGATTATTTCCAGTTCTACGGGAAGGTCAGCATACAACCACCAGCAGCTCGCAGCACCAGCTGTGCAGGCGTATAACGAACCCCAGGATGAGAGCATGTTGGCTTCAGCAGGTATGTGTTGGTAAGGTTGGCAAGCAAGCTAACTGAGAACTTCGGGATGCATGGGAATTTAACCCTCAATTGCTTTTTTTTTAAAGGGTTATTATTGTGGTATCAATCAGTGCATGAAGTGTTATCGTTAACCCGGAGAAGTGACCACCTTAGCTTCAACAGCCATCTGCACTACCCACATGACCACTTTCTTTGGCACAGAATGAGTGAAATATGCAATGTCAACCTTGTTTGTGTGGCAGAGGCTAGCCACGTTCATAGATCACTTTTGGCTAATCCCATGGATGGGTGCTGAAACCAGGCTATATTCACATTGTAATGGAATCACGGCCATTCCGTTCCCCGGGATGCAGCACGACACAAAGGACAAGTAATTGTTTACATTACAGTATTGTTACCATGGAAAACAGGGACAACAACTCCAAGAGACGAACAAGAGACTGAAAGGACAAGACTCGAGACTCGCAGATCAACGCACCACACTCGCGCCGTACTACGTAAACAGTTTAAGAGTATGTAGGTTGCCTCTAAAACGTTCAGCTGCATCATGTTCTGGAAGATACGACGGCACTACATGCATGGACAATTTGCCATACATCATTGTCCTCTCCCAAGCGGTATTATACAGCTCGAAGTATAAAAGCTAGATCATACTATTTGAGTATGTGGAAGATGAATTCATATGTACATGTACTTGGTAGTAACTCTTGGTGGTTTTTGCAGGTTTTGCTGTGCTGGGACTGTCGATTTTGGACGCATCACCAGACTCTGCACCATCAGCTACGTCATCTTTTCCACCATGCGCATCGCGGCAAGAAGAAATTAGCCGACGGAGGTTACGGTAAGTACTCTGACACAAACACGTGTCATATATAAACATGCCAGTTCACAGCCGATTTTCATGTACACAAAGTCAATGCATATCGGTCTATCTACACAGGTTTGATGTGCGTACCTATTCTGACTGTGCTCTCGTCAGAAATACTGCTTCTGGCCTGGCCACCTTAGCTCTGATTAGCATTCTAAAGGGAGAGTGAAGCACACAATCCCAACGCATTGCAGCACACTATCCCAACGAATTGCAGCACGGTACCCCGATGAATTGACGCGCGCTATCCCAATGAATTGACGCGCGCTATCCCAATGAATTGAAGTACGCTATCCCAATGAATTGACGCACCCTATCCCAATGAATTGATGCACGCTATCCCAATACATACATTGCCACTCGGCATACAGAGAAAAATCGAAAACAAATTCGCTTGTGTAGTCCTCCGTGAGCTGCCTTCGCTAGTTCAATTTTTCGATCATTGTCACATAGTTACGGTGATGATAGCAAAGATGTGACATTCTTCCTGTGTCTTTTAATTGGCGGTGAATGCATGGTGAAAGCGGCAACGGAAGTCGCACGGATGCCTCGTTACGTATGTAGCAAGAGGAAAGTGTGAAATCAATCCTCCGCGCCTTGTTCCACATGTGGAGTCTTGCGCGAAGAAGACGTCGGGCACTGTTGCTGCTGCTGCTGCTGCTTGGTGCTGCTGCCGCTCAGTTTCAATTATTTGATTTACTGATGCCGATAGTCCAGACTCTGTTTTCTTTCATGTTTCTGCCGCTTGCTGATTTGTGCCCCGTCTGAGATAGGATTTGAAGTATGACTGTCCCGGTGGCACTTTGTAAAAATCTTACAAGTAAAATATGAAAACTCCTTTTCCCGTTCTCTTCCTGCAGTGATATTCTCAAGACAACTGGAAAGCTGCTTGTGGCAACAGCAGCATACGTTCAGTGTTTTACCATGGGTTCATGGCAAGTGGAGAAAACCTGGGATCTGCGAGGTACTTGCGGCGGCTTGTAATACTGGAAATGGTTATGCATAATAAGTGTGCAATCCAGTAGATCCCTCCAGACTGTGACCGCAATTCAGGTGAACTGATAAAGTTGCACGGGGTAGCCAAGGGCTGTTTATGTTTAGCAGGTTGGGTGTTGCAACAATGACACGGCTGCAGTGGAGCTTCAGAGTTCTCAAGCAACCATGACCACATGCAGCCTGTGAAATGAAACGTCAAGGGCTCACTGTTGTTGATTGGCAAGGCAGGACTTGGAAATTGCAGGTGGGCCATTCTTTGGGTAAAGTGTCACTGGAAAATGGGAAAGAGTGCAGGCTGAAACCCCACAAGTAAGTGCAAGAAACATCTTGATGCCTTTCGTATCCACATCTGAACAGGCAGGGATTGTGTCATATTACATGTCACTACTTCAAAACCATGATTAAGAAACATTGAAGAATGCATACTTACTCAGACATGCGGTACGGTGTGTGCGTCCGTGTTGGACGGGACAAAACTGCCTGCCGACGGTAGGGCCTTTTGCATCGAAAACTCCCAGATCGTAACTGAAGTGATTTTAGAGCAGATCCGCATTCCTGATCCGCGGATCGCGATCGATTTTCAGCAGTCCAGACAGCGACCTAACAGTTAGGAAGCAACCAAATGACAGGATGCGGCACTTGATGACGATGTTGTCTTCTATTTTCGCCACTCCGCAATCGGACATGGAACAGCACCAGCTCCACCACCACATCGCTCATTGACAGAAGTTTTGATGAGAGCTGCTTGTCAGACTCATTGGCCAGCGAGGCCAAGATCTGGTCCTGACGGGACAAATGACAGAGCTGGATCGTCTACGGTCAGATTTTATTGACTGGCTTGATGGACGAAAGCTTGGATATTCAATATGCACAATCTGTATAATGCATAATGGTCATACAAGTATGCAAATGGCAGAACCAAAATAAAATAAAAACCTGACCGACCGATCCTGGTATGGATGAGTGACCCGAAACAACGAATTAATTCTGGGTGGCCTGATCGATACGGCATGGTGAAAATTCACATTAGACATAGTTGCTAGTGTTCTGACGAAGCATGTGCGGCCGTTTGACAGTTATTACTGTCTTACTGTCTTACTGTCTTTGCACTTATGCCGCATGCGCTGGACACAGTGCTGCATCTTGTGCCATTGCATTGACTTACAAAGACCTCATCTCAACAATTTTTTTCTGAGAAAAGTCTCAACCGGAAGTACTTTTGCAGAGCGATTTCTTGGGTCCTACTGGTAGGACGGCGGCAAGCTATCAATACTGGTAGGACGGCGGCAAGCTATCAATACTGGTAGGACGGCGGCAAGCTATCAATACTGGTAGGACGGCGGCAAGCTATCAATACTGGTAGGACGGCGGAAAGCTATCAATACTGGTAGGACGGCGGCAAGCTATCAATACTGGTAGGACGGCGGAAAGCTATCAATACTGGTAGGACGGCGGCAAGCTATCAATACTGGTAGGACGGCGGCAAGCTATCAATTTAAAAATTAAATTAAAGAGACGTCACTAACACATATCTGCCTCCAAACTGATTCATGGATTGGATATGGAGTACCGTAAACTGATTCATGGATTGGATATGGAGTACCGCAAACTGATTCATGGATTGGATATGGAGTACCGCAAACTGATTCATGGATTGGATATGGAGTACCGTAAACTGATTCATGGATTGGATATGGAGTACCGTAAAGTCCCGCCAGAGCGCCCCGTCTCTCCCATCCGCCCCTCCCTGACTTCTTGTCAGGGAAGTGATTGATTGTATCCTCGTAGGACTCTGTGATGCCGTACTGTACATATACTGCAGACGCGTGCTTGACCCCGTTGGAAATGTACGCAACAGCGCCCACCCTCTTGACCAGGGATCGCTGCACAAACCCTGAGTTTTGACGGGTCTGTACGACTCCTGGCTCTTGCCCTTTGGTCGGTGTACGAGATGCACGAACAGTTTTCGTAGGGTGAGTACTTTTTCATGTAGTACTGAATGCGGCAAGTAGGACTCGCCCATCCGCCCCTCCCCAACGAAGCGTCCAGGAGCTAGGGGCGCTCTGGCGGGATTTTACGGTATATTTACCTGCCATGGTGGCAGTCAGTGGCTATTTCCTCAGATTTACCCATTTAAATATGTTTTCAGATGTATGTATATGTCCCTTGAATGGGTGTGTATTTTACTGTATTTACGCAGTGCCACTGCCATCACAAACAACTACAATGATGGAGAGCGCAGGCATACTTCCAACACCGGGTGCTATCATGTTCAGTAAAAGTGCGTACACGCGCAAGGTAAGTCAGAGCGCGAAACGTAGATTGCATGTCAAACTGTCTTACTCGGTATGCAATAGGAGTTCTAAATTTTCACAGTTGTTGAATTCCTATCCAATCGCATATCGATTGGTGTGCTGACGATGCTCTTGGTCCTGACCTAATATAACACTTGGATCATTTCAGCAGTGCTATTTGCACATGATATGGAAGTTTCCGAAAGACGAAACTGTAGTTATCACCAACCCTCACCGCGCCTAGCTCACGCCGCTGCCATGTGCGACCTGAGCTAGGCGCCCTGCCGCGCAGCATGGGGCCGTCCTCAAGCCAGTCGCATATTTGGCTGCCCAGTGTGCTGTCTACGGGATCTCAGGCTGGTTGTGTATGAGGCAGCCTGGTGGGCGACCGGCAAGGCCTCAGGCATTCGCATTTGGATCTCCGAAGTGACACAGGGGCTTCGACGGCACCCCGTGGCGCATCAGGGAAGCTCCTGGGGCTCAAGCAGCCCATAAGCGCACCACCACATCAGGTATGCGCAGGCGGAGCAGCAGGGCAAGATATGTGCTGGAAGTTCACCGTCATCCAGCCGACCTCATGGTTGGGTAGCTTTACACAGCCGGCACTTCTTACTTGTTATAGCTTGCAGGTCAGAATTTTTTCTTTCTTTTTCCCTTCTGCCAGGCACGGCTTCATGTTAGAGCAGTAAATAGCAGTTAGGGACTCAGCTTGTCAAGTTCGGCATAATACAAGAAGCATGACAGTATCCCCAAACAGTTGTATGGTTATTGTGTGAGGGTACATGCAGGAGTCCGCGGTCACGTGAGGGGGGGGGGGGGGGGGGGATAAGGGAATATTGGTGTGCATTGCGAGGATGAACGCCTGCATCACAAGACGATATTGCAAGGATGAAAGTTTTCATCACAAAATGAAGGAATAGTGGTGCTGCCATTGAGCGGTGTGAGCGACACCACAAGAGCTGCTTAGCCTCATTTTATATTGCAATTTGTACATACCCTCATACCTGCTGTACGATTATAGCTGTATTGGGTCCAGATTGCTGTATTGGGTCCAGATTGCTGTATTGGGTCCAGATTGCCAAATGTCCTCACGCACTACCAGACTAACATGAAGAGATATCCATGGATCATAGTCAGTGAGAGTGGGGTGCTCTACACATGGATCATAGTAAAGTGGGGTGCTCTACACCTAGTAGTGACTACCTGTGTCTATGCCACTGTATTTTTCAGTGATGAAAATTGTCACGTGTCAAAAATAATGATAGCAGTTCGCATGTAGCACACGAGTGAGATCACCCTTGGGGTTAACACATCTGTTGGTAAAAGAGTACAAACACACATTCTCTCCATTCTGTAGTTGCAGGGAGACTGCCTCGATCCCTCTGGTTGGTGAATCTGATCTATCCTCCGCCACCGTTTAGGAACCGCATCTGACGCCTGGTCATGAGGTGGGGTGGTGGTGTCCCACGGAAGCGGAAAGGTGGTTCTTGACCTGCCCTGTACGCGAAGTTGAATGACGCGAACCGTCTAATTTGTTTGTTGCTCATCCTACAGGTTTGGTGTATCAGTGCTGGAGCACTGGTAGCATCAGCCACTGTTCTACAGTTTCACTTCCCAGTCGCCACCGACTCTAGTCCACAAGCTGAGCAGGTATGCATAATAGTGATAACCTGAAAACATGTACAGTGTGGCAGGTAATACTCGTACACTGCCTAAATAGTTATAATGTACAGTGCGTACTGGCTATAATGTGGTCATCTAAAAGAATATACTGCCTACAAGAATGAACTCTCATATTTTCATATTCATAACATGGGTTTCAAGTTAAAACATTTATTCCTACAAGCAATGTTATCGCATAGTAGAATATACCGGTCCTAAGAATGGACTTTGTGGAGCAAAATATGCCAGATTAGTACAAAGTGTATCGCCTGTAGACATCTGCCCAATGCAGTTCTGATCCGACTCACATTGCGTCGTAGTTCTGCAGGTTCAACTGTTGTGGCCATGCAACTTGTGTTGCATAGCCACATGGTAAGCCTATGGGACTATGAACAGCCGCACACACAGTAGCACTGCATCGCATGTACGATGGCCTTCCCGCCTCTGCACACATGCATATGATATAATCATCACACTGTTTTATTGTGAGTAAGAAATATCGGAAACAAGAATTAAAAGTCGTTTTTCAAACATCCACGCTATAACCGAGGGGACGTACTGTACTTCAGTGCAAAAAGAAGAAGAATGGGTGGAAGGTGTGAATATGCAGAGAGAAAATACCTGACAATCACCTGCTATCTAGATCTGCTGACTATGATCATTGCTTATGTTGCAGCGGCTAGCAACATGTGCACATGTGTATCACTTTGGAAATTTAGCAGATCATTGGTAATCACTTCTGAACCAAACTATCCACATAAACAACCTGTTTTAAGGAAAGCGCTCGGCAAAAGTCTGCCTTGCACAAATTTTAATATCCTTCTGGACGGGCACTAGATCAGGCTGTTCTTTCTGTGGGACCTGTATCTGTACAACCCATCATTAGTTTTTGCATTCACGACTGCTTGTGCTCCAAAGCTGACTTCTCTGGAACTGGCTGCACCTATCCTACCGCCTTCTTTGTCTCTCGGCTGGTCTAGTTTTGGTCCCAGCTTCATCATTGTTGCAAGACTTGTGGCTGTAGGTTATTGGTGAAATCTTGTGAAAAGGAGAGGAATAATTTGGGTTTGGGTGAACTACTGATGCTGAATAGATCGCTGACATTGATGATAAGCATTGGATCAGTGGTGGATCTTCCGGAAACCTAGCCGCTGCAGATCAGAGCCCAGATGCGTCCGCTACAACATCTGACGCTGTATCTGTTCTGTCGAGGTGAGACAAGCATGTATGCTTTGACTACGTTATTAACTTTATGCAAGACAGAAGTGCCGTTGTATTTTCGATGTTTGATTTTTTCCGCATGGAATTCTGTACAGTTGTGTACAACAGTCCTTGATCTAACTGGAAGTCCTGTACCTCTACCAACTTCTACCGACCTCTACCACCTTCAAACCTCGTAGAGCCGGTAGAGAAAGGTAGAATCTACATGTTGAGTAGAAAAAATGGAACGCATCTACCGAAAGAACTTGTCAGTTTGACTGCTCCAGAATACAGTGCAAGATACAAAGAGACTGTCCCTTTGCCGGCCAACCTAAACTATAGGAGTACATCATAACAGCATATCGGTGTATGTCCTCGTCGTATTGAGGAAAACTTACTAGTGCCATGAGCTGTGTACATATTGTTTAAAATTACCAGGTCACGGTACAACTTATCTGTTGGACCGATTCTGTAGTGAATGTTTTCACTGCACTAATCGGCTGAACTCTGCGCTGTGCTTTCCAGCCAACCTCTACAGCCAAGCTCAGTGCTGGCTGTAGTTCCTCTCACACCGAGCAGCTCCAAGTCACTTGATCCAACAGGTGGCCCTGGAAGAAAACATCCCATTGCTGGTATGGGTAATGTCAGTTGTATCCTATGATGCACTGTGTTGGTATGCAGAATTTGACCCGACTAACCCACCCCTCTGTAATGTTGGTCTCTTACTTTATTCCAAACAACAACTAACCCGGAGCTCCGGAAAGCCCCGCAATATGATGCCAACAGAATGTCATGGTGTGCGTGCATGAGTACAGAGTCGGTGCGTACCGACTGCCAGCACAGGTGTGGGAAGCGGCCTATGTAAATGGATAGGAGTACAAACGGCGCTGTGTACATATATGCGTGTGACAGTCCATATATGTATGTGTGAACACTACACCCTCCAACCCTCATGATACAGTTAATAATGTGATGGAGAAAAATTGGATAATGTAGTCTTGTCAGTGTGACATATGATATAACTGGGATGACTGGGATGACTGGGATAACTGGGATGACTCACCTGCATCTGTGACTTGTAGGTGGTAAGCTGAAAAGCGGCTCGGCGCCTTCAGCGAAACCAGGTGTGAAAGACCAGCCCTTGACGTTCAAATCTAAAGTGAAGTCTTCGGGTTACACAGCAGCTCCAAGGTAAGACTGTCCTTCTGACACATTGACACACGTAGGTAGTGTGCTCTCTTTGCTGTGTGAGTACTTGGTACGCGTCATCAACATTGTCGCTTATCTTTCAGCTTGGTTTTTATGTCACCAATGCTCACTTGGCAGACCATTTCATCCCACTTTTGGTTAGTAAGTTATTTTAGTAGTACTTGAAAGGTCTAGATAGATTTCGAGTGGATTTCGTGAGCGACGAGTGGGTGACTCTGATTGACACCACGCCGCATCAAAATAGAACATCCTGTCACGAGGCTGCACAGGCAAGAGTAGCGCGACGCACAGGAAAATAATCGGCTACTCGGAATCAGGTCCATTTTCCGTCCTGTTGCAATCATAGCTAGATTGACTACCAACACCACAACAACGCCAGCAAAGAAACTGCCAAGGGTGAAGGGAGTAGTTCTGAAGAAAGCTGCTGGTGGCGGGACACTAGCAAGGTGAGTGAAACAAGTGATGCCACGTAAACGAGGAGCTGAAATCAAAACTCCGTATCGATGGCATAGTTACAGCATACATGGCCCTTGCAAAACGGCCGGGATCGCTTACCTCGGGGGTCACCTGAGATCGCAGTTCCCTTCATGCAGCAAAGAGGGAGAAAGGTTCATTGGAGCTCAACATTACCAGCAATTATATGACATCCCACAGAGTCCGAAATTCCGTAAAATATTTGCGCATTTACTGCAGAGATTGATCTTGGAAGGAAGAAAATTGCTCTGAACTATGGCCATAATCGAGATGTAAGGCATCAAACCAGTGAACCACGCCAACAAGACGAACAGTTACACAACGAAAAAAACGAAAGTGAAAAATATTGAACAACCGATGCGATCTCAACTCCTAAGAATCATGATTTTCTTCTCCACTGAAAAGTATCTGTTACCTTGGTGATCTTGAGGAAATAGCAAGAATTGACCTTCTTCATGGTCATTTCTGAAGCTTCCTCCAAATATTGTCAGCCAGCAAACCACAGCATTGTCATCTGGCTAGTCTGATCTCTGTCCTCAAGAAGGACCAGTTCCAAAAGATTGCAGGTCCAGTGCGCTTTCTAGCTTCAAAGATCTAGGAAATCGCCTCATTCTGCACATTTCAAGCATCTTCTCAATTGTTTCTGGCTTGACATTGAACAGCAAGAAGATGAAAAGCACTTCTTTCTCAGTTTTTTCGAGTAAACTACCTCTCCAACCGCGTGGCTTTCTCTGAAGGCCATTTTGTAGGGGCTTTCCCATGGCCATGTGCTGGATCATGCCATGTCCATGTACATATGTACTGACATGATGCATGCTGTCATGTACAAGGACGTAGACTACTCAGTGACTACACTACTCTAGTACTCTGTACTGTAGAGTGACTGAGTTAGGGAGTCGAATTTTATGACTGCCTGTTGACAAATAGCAACTTGTTTTGTGTAAATTTCTAGGTGGTATGGTTTGAGGACAGCGTTTAGAGTGGCTGACAGCTTTGCCAGCTTGATACTTGGTTTCATTCTGCAGCTCACTGGTTTGAGAATACAGTGTTTTTTGCGGCTTCTTCAACGGATATTGTGCACCATCATCAAGGTGGTTACCTGTTTGTGATGCAGCTTTAAATAAAAGTACAACAACAAACGCGACAGCCTACATTCAACAGCCACAGCCCATGACAACCAGAACAACAACAACAACAATAACACCAATTCTCGTTCCTCATATACCGGCACACACAGAGACATAGACAGCAATAGCGACAACACACAAATTAAAGGGCAGTTGGCCGCAGCCAGATATGACACTTCCGCAGCTAGTGGGGAAGCACTAGCCATCGGTATTCGTTATGAAAAGATAGAATCTTGCGGCCTACGTATATTGAATGCCTTGAAAAACGCGTCAACATGTTGAAGGTATGACCAGCATCAGCCAAGGACTGATGGTCAAAACAAATAACAAAATACACTGTTATAATAAACACACGATCCTTGAAGGGTGGTGGCGTTCCTACGGTTGCGGAAAACTCGGCCTTTAGCCGAGTTAGTGAAATATACAAGTAATAATAAACAGAACTACAAGGACACATTATGTCACCATAATGTCGGCTGCGTAACCAGTCACTCATCTGACATAAGAATTTTTGAAGCAGCTAGTTGTCTGAAAACTGGGCATGCTTCCAGTTTGTGTCGGCACTTTCAAACTCTGGTTGCTGCAGGTGCAAAGAGATTCTCGCAAACCTATTAAAACGCACGGTTGCAGGCAGCGGCGTACACGAATAAAAAGAAACGGAAAGAAATAACAAGGGTGCTTCAACATTGACTGGGTTCGATCACTGAACACTAGACAAGAATGTCTGCAAAACAAAGGTAGAAGAACTGGTCAGCCTCAAATGCTACCTCAAGGACACACAGCGTAGCCAAAAAGTAAAGAAAAAATGGAAAATGGTGAGCTGGAGGCGACTGTCGCCGACATCACTGAGCAGTGCAAATGGTATGGGCAGACAAAAACAAATTGGAGAAGACCTACACAGTACTGAAGGAGATGTCAAGCATGAATGCCAAACCTACAAGTGAACCTGAAGGAGAGGAGGATGTGGGTGATGCCATCTTGGCTACCCTGGCCAAAGATTTCTCTGAGCTACGGCAGCACATACCTGCACAGGAAAACCAGCAGAAGCATAACGGAGAGCCTCATCATATCGTTGGGAAACGGGAACAGCAGCGCAACATGCAGAAATAGAAAGTGTGTGCTGATGCTGCATTCTGGTTTACAAGAATGTTTGGGTCTCACTGTTAAATTACCTCGTACACATGGCCTGTGTAATTGCTTTAGCCTTTTCTCTGCTCTTTCCGGTTGCACGGATGTTTAGCTTGTACAAGTGCTTTCACTTACTCCCACCCACTCTCACCTCTCTTTCCGGGTATATACAGATATCATTGCTTTTTCTTCTATCTTTCACACTAGTAATGTACTGCGTCCGGACTTCGCTAAAGCTTAGATAAATATTGATACCTAAATCTATAACTTGCACTGCTTCCAGGAATACAATTGTCGTCTCGGAGAGAAGGACTGACGCAAACATCTCAGCCATCACCAAAAATCAGAAAAGCACACGAAGGAAGGGAAGAACAGCCAGGAAGAACACGTCGATTGAAACAGGAGCAATTAATCAGTGAGGACACCATTGAGGACACACAAACAAATCGGTTACCAATACGCAAAAGATAATGAAGAAAAACCACAGGGCGCTACCCTGAAAAAACCCACAGGGATCGAACCTGAAAAAACCGCAGGGATTGAACCTGAAAAAACCGCAGGGATTGAACCTGAAAAAACACGGAACTTATAGTACATCCGCTCGCAAAACCAAAAAACTGAAGAAAAGAAACTGTCAGGGACCGATTGCGACGCACAAGGGCCAACCAGCAACACCCGGAAACCATAACACCCGCAAGGCAAACCGATAAAAAAAAAACGCAGGATTCCTGCAGACCACCAAGCAGACCGTGGCTCACCATGATCAGATGCCCACCCAGACGAACTAGAGAAACCCACATGCCGAAACACAATTATTACAAAACCACACGCTCACAAAAAAAATTCAACCTGGATCAAGAACGAGAATCCTACATGAAGTTCACACCTCCCACCAAACCGGAAGCCAACAGCTTTCCTACTTTGTTGACAGTGCATGACCGAGCCTGACAACGCTCTACACCATGTACACAGAACATGGAGAAACTACTACTAAAACGGTAAAAACACGAAACAAAACAATATGGATCGACTCCATACGAGGCAGCACCTCGAGAACGTTCAGGTGGACATCTAAACAAATCACGCGACACAGTCACACTATCGGAGCAGTCCGACGGCAACTCCGTGACAAGCACAAGTGCACAACACAAGACGAGATCAAAGCTACCCATGCTGAATGCACGACGAACATGCAAACACAAGTTCCAGATTCGAACGAGTAGCGCACGAACAGAAGTTTGAAATTTTCATACACAACAGTACAGTACAGGGTAGTCAGAGCGACACAACTAACACAACGGGGCGAACTAATTACTTCCAACGAGCATGCAAGACTACACTACGAGTACACACTCGAACACAAGAGAACAAGGTTCCACGGAATTCCTGCCGGGACCCGCGTACCCGAGTCACCCGACGCAAAACAATTATTTGAAAATTCGAAATCGAATACAAGGTACGGCAACACATTACGCAGAGCAGACAATTACAAAGGCATGCTCACCTGAGTAGGAGCTCCGAGGATCTTGGAAAGGGTTGAACAGACGCAGCAAAGCGGAGCCATGGCGAGAACGCGAAGAGGAAAACGAAAAACACAGGCCGGAGAGCGACGAGCTTCAGGGTCGTGGGTTCGATTAGTTGGGCGCCAAATGTCGTCTCGGAAGGTTGAGAACGAACTGCCTCTTCTATCCTCGCCACGCCACACCTCAAAACGAACTAGTCAGTGGTTTTTCTCTAGAGCTAGAGAGAGAGTTTTCATAGTTTACTTCAAGCGGCGACGGAAGAACTCATAATGGAGAACTAACACTGACAACGAATGTCTGACGACGAACGTCGGACAACTGACTCTGACAACGAACGTCTGACAACTGACGACGACCGTCGGACAACTGACGACGACATGGCAAAAGGAAAACATGATATCAGAAATTGGTGCCCTCGTCAGCACAAAAGGTGGTGTACTCAGCACAAAAAGGTGCACGTGTCAACAACAAAGCAGCGCAGCAGCATGTACGGGTCAGCAGCACAGACACAAATACAGCAGCAGCTACGACGAAGAGACAACACGTGCAACCACATGTACACACAGAGACACAAATACAGCAGCAGCTACGACGAAGAGATAACACGTGCAGGCGCAGGTACAACACAATGCTGGTGATGCCATGCTTTACCTCCATTAACCGTCTGTGCCATTGTGCAGATTTGTATTCAGACAAATTAGTTTCATGCTACAATGCTTTCGTTGTGCTCTGCGGTAAGCTCATGATTAAAATCAATGCCCTTTTCTGTGGAAGAGACAAACTGCCGGGCAGCACGATCCCCTACTGCCATAGATCCAGAGGAGTCCTGCAGGAACGTACATGGACTACGGCGAATCATAGGCTTGATGGTAACCAGGTAGTGAGCCCGTGGGCCTTGTCCATGTACGTTCATGAAAGTGTCGTCTCGGAAGGTTGAGAACGAACTGCCTCTTCTATCCTCGCCACGCCACACCTCAAAACGAACTAGTCAGTGGTTTTTCTCTAGAGCTAGAGAGAGAGCTTTTCATAGTTTACTTCAAGCGGCGACGGAAGAACTCATAATGGAGAACTAACACTGACAACGAATGACTGACGACTGTCAACAAACGTCTGACTCTGACAACGAACGACTGACAACAGACGACGACCGTCGGACAACTGACTCTGACAACGAACGTCTGACAACTGACAACGACATGGCAAAAGGAAAACATGATATCAGAAATTGGTGCCCTCGTCAGCACAAAAGGTGGTGTACTCAGCACAAAAAGGTGCACGTGTCAACAACAAAGCAGCGCAGCAGCATGTACGGGTCAGCAGCACAGACACAAATACAGCAGCAGCTACGACGAAGAGACAACACGTGCAACCACATGTACACACAGAGACACAAATACAGCAGCAGCTACGACGAAGAGATAACACGTGCAGGCGCAGGTACAACACAATGCTGGTGATGCCATGCTTTACCTCCATTAACCGTCTGTGCCATTGTGCAGATTTGTATTCAGACAAATTAGTTTCATGCTACAATGCTTTCGTTGTGCTCTGCGGTAAGCTCATGATTAAAATCAATGCCCTTTTCTGTGGAAGAGACAAACTGCCGGGCAGCACGATCCCCTACTGCCATAGATCCAGAGGAGTCCTGCAGGAACGTACATGGACTACGGCGAATCATAGGCTTGATGGTAACCAGGTAGTGAGCCCGTGGGCCTTGTCCATGTACGTTCATGAAAGTGTCGTCTCGGAAGGTTGAGAACGAACTGCCTCTTCTATCCTCGCCACGCCACACCTCAAAACGAACTAGTCAGTGGTTTTTCTCTAGAGCTAGAGAGAGAGCTTTTCATAGTTTACTTCAAGCGGCGACGGAAGAACTCATAATGGAGAACTAACACTGACAACGAATGACTGACGACTGTCAACAAACGTCTGACTCTGACAACGAACGACTGACAACAGACGACGACCGTCGGACAACTGACTCTGACAACGAACGTCTGACAACTGACAACGACATGGCAAAAGGAAAACATGATATCAGAAATTGGTGCCCTCGTCAGCACAAAAGGTGGTGTACTCAGCACAAAAAGGTGCACGTGTCAACAACAAAGCAGCGCAGCAGCATGTACGGGTCAGCAGCACAGAGACACAAATACAGCAGCAGCTACGACGAAGAGACAACACGTGCAACCACATGTACACACAGAGACACAAATACAGCAGCAGCTACGACGAAGAGATAACACGTGCAGGCGCAGGTACAACACTATCCCCTACCAAAAAAAGACATCCACTCCTGTGGATGGAAGCAAAAGTGAAGTGTATAAAAAACGGAAGGAGACAGACCGGAGAAGAAGACAGAAAGACAGGGGAAATGAAATATGAAGCAACATAAACAGGCGACAATAAAACACAAAAGAGGTGGGCCACAACTGTTGAACGCATGACGAGTAGGCCAGGAGGGTTAACACCAGTCGGGAGCCCCGCAAAACTGTGCACCAATCAACGGAACCTGCAAGCAACAGATTTTGCAGAGGACCCCGGCTGGCGAGCTGTTCGACCTGTGTTTGTCCCTTTGGATCTTTTATTCTTAGAACAGCACCAACCTAGTACGCCACCCATCCACCAGTCATGACAAAACAAAAGTACAAATGCATGAGAAAACAGGTTATGCCGACGGACCCAGCGACGCTTCCAGGAGCGGCGAGACCAACAGCACGCACCGGCCGAGAAGAAGACTGGGGCAGCAGGACGCACACTGGCCGGCTGTCCGAAAACCGATGGCGCTACAGAAACTCCGAGAATCACAGGACACACACAGAAAGAGAGAAGGACTGACGCAAACATCTCAGCCATCACCAAAAATCAGAAAAGCACACGAAGGAAGGGAAGAACAGCCAGGAAGAACACGTCGATTGAAACAGGAGCAATTAATCAGTGAGGACACCATTGAGGACACACAAACAAATCGGTTACCAATACGCAAAAGATAATGAAGAAAAACCACAGGGCGCTACCCTGAATAACCACAGGTCTCTAACCTGAAAAAACCCACAGGGATTGAACCTGAAAAAACCACAGGGATTGAACCTGAATAACACGGAACTTATAGTACATCCGCTCACAAAACCGAAAAACCGAAGAAAAAAAACTGTCCGGCACCGACTGGGACACACAAGGGCCAACCAGCAACACCCGGAAACCATAACACCCGCAAGGCAAACCGATACAAAAAAGCGCAGGATCCCTGCAGACCACCAAGCAGACCGTGGCTCACCATGATCAGACGCCCACCCAGACGAACTAGAGAAACCCACATGCCGAAACACAATTATTACAAAACCACACGCTCACAAAAAAAATTCAACCTGGATCAAGAACGAGAATCCTACATGAAGTTCACACCTCCCACCAAACCGGAAGCCAACAGCTTTCCTACTTTATTGACAGAGCATGACCATGATGACCGAGCCTGACAACGCTCTACACCATGTACACAGAACATGGAGAAACTACTACTAAAACGGTAAAAACACGAAACAAAACAATATGGATCGACTACATACGAGGCAGCACCTCCAGAACGTTCAGGTGGACATCTAAACAAATCACGCGACACAGTCACACTATCGGAGCAGTCCGACGGCAACTCCGTGACAAGCACAAGTGCACAACACAAGACGAGATCAAAGCTACCCATGCTGAATGCACGACGAACATGCAAACACAAGTAATTCCAGATTCGAACGAGTAGCGCACGCACAGAAGTTTGAAATTTTCATACACAACAGTACAGTACGAGTCGTACAGGGTACTGGGTAGTCAGAGCGACACAACTAACACAACGGGGCGAACTTCCAACGAGCAGCAAGACTACACTACGAGTACACACTCGAACACAAGAGAACAAGGTTCAACGGAATTCCTGCCGGGACCCGAGTCACCCGACGCAAAACAATTATTTGAAAATTCGAAATCGAATACAAGGTACGGCAACACATTACGCATAGCAGAGTAGACAATTACAAAGGCATGCTCACCTGAGTAGGAGCTCCGAGGATCTAGGAAAGGGTTGAACAGACGCAGCAAAGCGGAGCCATGGCGAGAACGCGAAGAGGAAAACGAAAAACACCGGCCGGAGAGCGACGAGCTTCAGGGTCGTGGGTTCGATTAGTTGGGCGCCAAATGTCGTCTCGGAAGGTTGAGAACGAACTGCCTCTTCTATCCTCGCCACGCCACACCTCAAAACGAACTAGTCAGTGGTTTTTCTCTAGAGCTAGAGAGAGAGCTTTTCATAGTTTACTTCAAGCGGCGACGGAAGAACTCATAATGGAGAACTAACACTGACAACGAATGACTGACGACTGTCAACAAACGTCTGACTCTGACAACGAACGACTGACAACAGACGACGACCGTCGGACAACTGACTCTGACAACGAACGTCTGACAACTGACAACGACATGGCAAAAGGAAAACATGATATCAGAAATTGGTGCCCTCGTCAGCACAAAAGGTGGTGTACTCAGCACAAAAAGGTGCACGTGTCAACAACAAAGCAGCGCAGCAGCATGTACGGGTCAGCAGCACAGAGACACAAATACAGCAGCAGCTACGACGAAGAGACAACACGTGCAACCACATGTACACACAGAGACACAAATACAGCAGCAGCTACGACGAAGAGATAACACGTGCAGGCGCAGGTACAACAAAAGCATCCCAACCTGGAGGAAAGAACTTCACAGGGAAATTCTTCGGTCCCAACCCCCTTTGTCCAGTTTCTGATTTGAAAGTCAGAAATAGACTATTTCACTTCTATTTTTTCACTGCACAGCAGTGCAAGCTCCATCAGCTGCCTCAAACATTCGTCATCTGAGAAAGGGCCCAACATTCCCCGAACCATCAAAAGATCTACAGCAAACAAAAGGGAGATTTTCAAATTCATGCAAGAATACATTCAATAAATTCACCCAAAATGAAATGAAATCACCTGATAGATCGTCACTGATATCTTCTTCGCACTCCCAACTTCGTAAAGGATAAAGTCTCTCCATTTCACAAGGTACTGCACGCTGCCACCCTAAAGCAACAAAATTCACAGTGCAACGAACAGCTCAATTGTGTCGACCTCGCGACCTAATTTATTACAATAAAATAAACGTACCTTCTTTCCCACTGTCGATCCGGTAAGAAGCAGCGAAAACTTCAGGCCCCTAAGACTGCTACTGAAAACATCAGCTTGGCGTAAAAACCAGGCTCATTCTGTCTATGAAATACCTAGCGTAAATGAGAGCCTTCTCGCCGCCAGCCACAACAATAACAACAACAAAAATCACCTCCACCGAAAAAGACATGCAGAGAGAGCTTGTTGTGTACAGCGCGAGTTCAAAAAAATCCTTTTTCATTGAGATCACAAAAAAAACTTCACGCTCGATCGCGCGAGCTCAGCACCAGCAGTGACGTTTGGGTGGAAATATTTTATTTGAAAAACTTTTGTCAGGCGAGATGTCGCTGATTGCTGGTGATGAGTTTGATCCGATTACGTTTCTAGGGGCAACTGTGATGTATGTAACGTGTGTGCGTGTTGGTGACCGTACGTTCGTGCATACATACGTGTTTGTCTGTGTGGCTGTGTATGTGATGCCATGTTGGAATCTTTTCTTTCCGCAAAGGACAAAAATGTTTGCACCTCAGACAAAATCATCCCCTACCATGGCCAAGAAGCCAGCTGCAATGAAGGTGGGAGCCACAGGGTAGGTTTAGCTTGTGGGATCATTGACTCGACCTCTTTATCTGTTACTGATCAATCTGGTGCATATAGATACATATCCTCCCCCCCCCCCCCCCTCCACACACCGTCACACACACACACACACACACACACACACACACACACACACACACACACACACACACACAAAAGCTTGTGCACACAAACTGTACCACCTACCAATCCACTCCATATGTTGCGATGTAAACTGGCAAAGATATGCTCGAGAACTAACGTCATGTTTCTCTGCTGTGTCACACACTGCACAAAGTAGAACCCTGCCTGGTACGTACCTAAAATTGAGGACATAGAAGTATGTGCACAGTCCGCTGTGCCGCCAATGTATGGGACCATGTCCTAAAGACCCTTTTAAAAAGACTGCCTTAGGAGCAGATTTGCATTCTGACTATTCCTCTGCTGAAAGTCCAGTGTTGGTTAGCATGGCTGAATGTCGTTTGTGGTTTGACTTGTGCAATTGTAGATCTGCTCTTAGTGGGAAATCCGCCTATCCACTGAGTGCAGCTGCACCAGTGCATCGCAAAGCTTGCTTGCCAATCAGCCCTCAACAGTCAGCCATCACCAAGATCCAGTACTCTGGTAAGCAGGTCATCACTCAACTTAGCGTCTGCACGCCTGTGGCTCATTCGAAAAGGCATAGCAGTCATAGAAAGGCTTGAAAACCCTTCACTTCTAATTAACCATAGGGACTTTCTTCTAGTTCCTGCTTCACTTGCTATGTTGTCTGTCCGTACTGTGATGATCAGTATCTCCATAGTAACTCAGCCTACACACTAACATTCTACTGGTGGAGACACTGTTTTTTAACAGTTGTATATTCCGGTTGAGTGTACTGTATGGCAGTGAACCGGGATGCGTGCAGTTTTCATACATTGTACTACTGCACATCGTGTACTAGTCTGTGTTATCTGTGCATGTACATGTAGGTACTGGTCACTCGTCAGTTGCTTGTCAGTGCATGGAGGAATGCACTGTGTTGGGTTGTCTCTAGATTGAATAGCCTACTAATGTTGCATCGACTGATCTATTTTTCAACAGCTTCGGGGAGCTTACTGGCATGTGCTATGGCAAGGAAAACGCTGGATGTAGTACGGACACCGCTGAACTCGACTTCCAAGATCTCAACTGCTACAGGTGAGCAGGCGCGTGCACCGGGTCAAAAAAAGGTGGTTTCCAAAAAGTTTCGACCGCCATTTTGCAATAAGCTACTGACTGGATAAGGGAAGGACCTGGTGGGTGTCAAGTGATGATTGGCGATCGCCACCTTTGTTTTATAAAGGGGCAGTGCGTGGACATAGTTTCCACCAACAATTCTCGCCATCATAAAGTGTGCCAACGTCGGAGAAGTCAAAATCTTCACCAAAAGTCAATCTTTTTGCAACGGGCTCGTCAGCAGTTTCGTTGTCTATTGTGAAACTTGGCTCGTCACAGTCTTGAACTTCAACTTGGCTGCCGCCTTCAGCAATGCCGGTGCCGGTGGCGGAAGAATCCGACTCTCCGTCAGAAATTTCACGTCGTTCCGGGTGCGACGCTGCTGTTTTTTTTTCCCCAGAGAGCGGACAAAGTCTTCTGCTGAAAACTCATTGCCTTTGTCCTCAAAACCACAAACCTGAACAGTACTTTTACTAACAAAACAGACAGCCGCTCGTACTCGAGTCCAAGACCAAAGCACCCACTTCAAAACCACGATGAAGCGGCCCTGGTTTCCACTTTGGACATACATGTACATGTATGCGACATGCCTACTGTCCACGCTTTGTCTTTGATGTCCTTGCACAACTACTGTCCACGCTTTGTCTTTGATGTCCTTGCACAAGCACAGTACACTGACCTGACAGTCTGTACAGCGTAGTCAAGTCCAGCAAAAAATTATTTGCATCGCGCGTGAGTGGACATGTCACTAGCGCCGGTACTGTGGCCTAGTGGCTGTGCCTGTGCCTGACGTATAGCTGAGCTAGCTACGTACTAGTGGCCTAGTGGCTGTGCCTGTGCCTGACGTATAGCTGAGCTAGCTACGTACTAGTGGCCTAGTGGCTGTGCCTGTGCCTGACGTATAGCTGAGCTAGCTACGTACTAGTGGCCTAGTGGCTGTGCCTGTGCCTGACGTATAGCTTAGCTAGCTACGTACTAGTGGCTGTGCCTGTGCCTGACGTATAGCTTAGCTAGCTACGTACTAGTGGCCTAGTGGCTGTGCCTGTGCCTGTGCCTGACGTATAACTTAGCTAGTGGCCTAGTGGCTGTGCCTGTGCCTGACGTATAGCTGAGCTAGCTACGTACTAGTGGCCTAGTGGCTGTGCCTGTGCCTGTGCCTGACGTATAGCTTAGCTAGCTACGTACTAGTGGCCTAGTGGCTGTGCCTGTGCCTGACGTATAGCTTAGCTAGCTACGTACTAGTGGCCTAGTGGCTGTGCCTGTGCCTGACGTATAGCTGAGCTAGCTACGTACTAGTGGCCTAGTGGCTGTGCCTGTGCCTGACGTATAGCTGAGCTAGCTACGTACTAGTGGCCTAGTGGCTGTGCCTGTGCCTGTGCCTGACGTATAGCTTAGCTAGCTACGTACTAGTGGCCTAGTGGCTGTGCCTGTGCCTGACGTATAGCTGAGCTAGCTACGTACTAGTGGCCTAGTGGCTGTGCCTGTGCCTGACGTATAGCTGAGCTAGCTACGTACTAGTGGCCTAGTGGCTGTGCCTGTGCCTGACGTATAGCTGAGCTAGCTACGTACTAGTGGCCTAGTGGCTGTGCCTGACGTATAGCTTAGCTAGCTACGTACTAGTGGCCTAGTGGCTGTGCCTGTGCCTGACGTATAGCTTAGCTAGCTACGTACTAGTGGCCTAGTGGCTGTGCCTGTGCCTGACGTATAGCTGAGCTAGCTACGTACTAGTGGCCTAGTGGCTGTGCCTGTGCCTGACGTATAGTTTAGCTAGCTACGTACTAGTGGCCTAGTGGGTCGAGCGTCACTCGCGTAGATGCATGAATTACGCACACTGTGACAGTGCACGCGCACCGCATGTTGCGCATGCAGCAAAAATATCGCTGGCCGCAAAAAGGTGGTTTCCGGGCTCCAAGAAAACCACGCGGTGCACGCGCCTGGTGAGGTAAAACTAAGTGGTGAGTTAGTTACTAAAAAATCAGAGAAGGAGTTTGCTGGTAACCCGGCTGTAGAGCTGCTGTAGAGCTGCTGTAGAGCTGCTGTAGAGCTGCTAGGTGTCAAAACTACAACAGCAAATCATAAGGTGAGCCTCTAGCCTCTGGTTACACCAAATGTTGCTTAGAATGGGGGGGGGGGGGAGGGGGGGGGGGGGGGTACTTGGCCCAATGTCAACCAGTCTACCCAATTTATCCTGGTGAGTGCTTCATGTCAGCCAGTCTACCCAAGCCAAACCAACCTGCAGAATGTGTGATGTGTCGATCAGTCGGAGCATCGTGCTGCATGTTTTAACTGTTTAATTAAGTCACCTCGCCAGAGTGCACAGACACACTAGTCTCTTTATGGGCATTTGGCACTTTGCCCTTCACACAGAACAGCCACAACCTGTTAACCAACACAAAGTTTATAAAAAAAGATCAAAAATTGGGTCAATCAGTGACATAAAAGAAGTGTTTTGGTGCAGCCTAATAACATAGATTCCATCACCAGCGACATCATCCTGGCCATGCTGTACGCCATGCAATACCCGGGAATGTCTGTAAGGCATGCAGCAATGGTCCGGTATATCTGTAAGGCATGCCATGTGCAATAGTCTGGATGTCTGTATGACATGTAATAGTCTGGGATGTATGTAGGGTATAACGCATGTAATAGTCTGGGATGTGTGTACGGCATGTAATAGTCTGGATGTCTGTACAGGAGCTTGAGATCTAGCCACCCATGGTGTATCCAATGCCTGATTGTGCTTTAAAACAAGGTCATGATGGTGCTGTCGTGGATCTCTGCTGGGCTGCACACGGCGACAGGCTAGTGAGCGCTGGCACAGACCGCACTGTGCGCATGTGGAGCTCGTCCAACCTCACTGAACCACTGCTTGTCTTTGATCGGCAGCATCACAGTGCAACAGTCTCAGCTTCGCGTGCTGGAGCATTACAGAAGAAGCCAACCACTGACAAACAGTTGGTAAGCCAAAGCAGTGTTTTTAAAGGCTTCACAAAGTGCTCAGGCTGGCCGTGCCGGCCAGCTTGTATTGCACCACTGACTGGCACTCCAGGCTTGGTGGACTCTAGCGGTGAAGACGCTGTTGTCAAGGTGAAGACAACACTGCTATTGCATGATTTCATGAACTGATCACATTCATGGGTGGGTCACTGGCTAACTGTGGTGCAGAGTAAAATGTTGAGCAACCGATGCCATTGCTCTACAGTTGATAGAGGCATGCAGAGTTGCAGATGTTATTAAAAGGTCTCTTGTGTTGTTGTCCTTCCCTTTCTTACTACTCTATTGTCTAGGGAAGTGCACCTCTCCAGGACGATAACGGCACCTTCACTAAGGACATCACTCATTCTCGTTTCTATTTCCTGGACAAGTTTGTCCTAATCGCTCATGGAAACACATTTGGTTTGTACCAGTATAACATCAACACTGAGAAACCGGATGACATCAAACGGTAGGCATATGGTTGAAGAACAATAGCAATGGGCTCCACGTGGGGTCAATAGCCAAAATTATCTGTCACATCCTGTATCATTTGTGTGTGTGTGTGTGTGTGTGTGTGTGTGTGTGTGTGTGTGTGTGTGTGTGTGTGTGTGTGTATTGGTGTTGGGGTCCCAATGCATCCCAACACTCTGTGCGTGTGTGTGTGTGTGTGTGTGTGTGTGCGTGCGTGTATGTGCGTGCATGCGTGTGTGCGTGTGCGTGCGTGCATGTGTGTGTGTTGTTGCAGATATCAGACAACTAACAAATACAAAATGTCAAAGCAGTTTCAACATAGCACAGCTCAGGCCATAACAGCTCTGTCCTGTGTGAATTCTTTCAACTCCTGTATCCATCTATATACAATGTACACACATAACCTGCATGGACTCTATACTGAGTCCTACATATACAATGTACACACATAACCTGCTATACAATGTACACACATAACCTGCTGCATGGATACATCTATATACAATGTACACACATAACCTGCTATACAATGTACACACATAACCTGCTGCATGGATTATATACATGTACTGTAGTAGTGACTGGGCTAGGACAACATTTTTGTCTCTCCAGTATTTAGTACGGGACTCGGGGATGCACTACCGGTTCAGGCTAGATTTACCTGAGAATTTTCAACCCAGGTTGGAACTCTGTACAGTTTGAAAAGAGGTGTGCTTGTATCTGCGGAAGTACGGTATGTGTGAAGTTATAAGAAGTCTTCTAATCACTTTTGCCGGCATACAAGTCACCACTTTGCGATTGCTCAGCCCGTCACACAACAACGCACTTACAGCTTAGGTATGTTGAGCTTAGGACTGGGGTCCAAGGTGACTGGTATGTTGAGCTTAAAGGGAAGTTAAGGCAAAAATTAAAATTTCACCAGTTGTAGTCTTCGGGGTGCTGAGTCGAATGGTCTTGGTCCGAGAAAGCTGAGACGCTCCCTTCCTACTTGAATCCCAATCGAACTCGCGCACTTCCACCGAAACTGGGTGACTGCGCCCTACTAGATGGGGATTTGTATGCAAAATGTCACTAAAAGCGCCATTTCGTTCTTATAAAAGCACGGATGACCGCCATTGGCCCATATGTTGTAGTCTTTTGGACGCTGAGTCGACTGGTTTTGGTCCGAAAAGGCTGCGATGCAGCGTTCCTCCTTTATTCCCAATCGAACATGCTTGAACAAGCGGTCACGTGCTCCTGGGTGCCCAAATCACCTGGTCACCGTGCACGCCAGCAGGCGACAACTTTCACACCAAGGTTCAACTCGAGTGACAGGACTGCACCCAAAAAAGGTCAAACAGGCTAGTAAGTTGTACCCTGCAGGCACGGTGACCAGGTGACTGGCGTACGCAGGAGCACGTGACCGCTTGTTCAACCATGTTCGATTGGGAATAAAGGAGGAACGCTGCATCGCAGCCTTTTCGGACCAAAACCAGTCGACGCAGCGTCCTAAAGACTACAACATATGGGCCAATCGCGGTCATCCGTGCTTTTATAAGAACGAAATGGCGCTTTTAGTGACATTTTGCATACAAATCCCCATCTAGTAGGGCGCAGTCACCCAGTTTCGGTGGAAGTGCGCGAGTTCGATTGGGATTCAAGTAGGAAGGGAGCGTCTCAGCTTCCTCGGACCACGACCATTCGACTCAGCACCCCGAAGACTACAACTGGTGAAATTTTAATTTTTGCCTTAACTTCCCCTTTAATGCTGGGGTCCAAGGTGACTGGTATGTTAAGCTTAATAGTAAATACTGGGGTCCAAGGTGACTGGTATGTTGAGCTTAATACTGGGATCCAAGGTGACTGGTATGTTGAGCTTAATACTGGGGTCCAAGGTGACTGGTATGTTGAGCTTAGGTCCATTGTCACTGGTATGTTGAGCTTAACGCCTTGCCTATCCAACAAGATATCGTTCTTGTTGCTGGATCTGACAAGTCTGTGGAGGTTTTCGACATGAACGCAGGTCGCACGGCAAGGTCCATGACGGATGTGCATACCCGCTCACCATACCTGATACGTCAGAACGAGGTACGGTCGCGATTTGGAACGTATTCCTTATTTTTGTTGCCATGGCTGGATAACATCCCATTCCTTTATATTGGCTGTTGCCACTAGACGGTGAATGAAATGAATAAAATTTGAAAATTCTGAAGGATGCCTCGTGCATTAGAATAATCCAAATAAAGCAACTGTGACATGTGGCTAGTGACCATGTGCGTGACGTTGCTATGTAATGTGGCCACATGAGCGCATGGACGCATGCCTTGGTCGCAGTGGGATCGCCCGAATGCGACTTTAGAAGAAGAAAAAAAGATATCGTAGAAATGGTTACCCTTGCCTTGTGTAAAGTTCAACTCGGATGGCGAGCCAATTAAATTATGATGAAAAAGTTAGTTAGTCATAACTCGTAACATTTTGTCCTTCTCCTTTTTCTTGCCTTGTGTGCGTTTTAAATCCCTCAAACTAAAGAGTACTTCTTCATGTAGTTTTTGTGTCAACATTTTCTTGACACAAAAACATTGACATGAACTCTGTTGCACAGTAGTCTTTTAGCAAGTAGTCCAATCCTCCATGTCCAATCCTCCATGTCCAATCCTCCATGTCCAATCCTCCATGTCCAATCCTCCATGTCCAATCCTCCATGTCCAATCCTCCATGTCCAATCCTCCATGTCCAATCCTCCATGTCCAATCCTCCATGTCCAATCCTCCATGTCCAATCCTCCATGTCCAATCCTCCATGTCCAATCCTCCATGTCCAATCCTCCATGTCCAATCCTCCATGTCCAATCCTCCATGTCCAATCCTCCATGTCCAATCCTCCATGTCCAATCCTCCATGTCCAATCCTCCATGTCCAATCCTCCATGTCCAATCCTCCATGTCCAATCCTCCATGTCCAATCCTCCATGTCCAATCCTCCATGTCCAATCCTCCATGTCCAATCCTCCATGTCCAATCCTCCATGTCCAATCCTCCATGTCCAATCCTCCATGTCCAATCCTCCATGTCCAATCCTCCATGTCCAATCCTCCATGTCCAATCCTCCATGTCCAATCCTCCATGTCCAATCCTCCATGTCCAATCCTCCATGTCCAATCCTCCATGTCCAATCCTCCATGTCCAATCCTCCATGTCCAATCCTCCATGTCCAATCCTCCATGTCCAATCCTCCATGTCCAATCCTCCATGTCCAATCCTCCATGTCCAATCCTCCATGTCCAATCCTCCATGTCCAATCCTCCATGTCCAATCCTCCATGTCCAATCCTCCATGTCCAATCCTCCATGTCCAATCCTCCATGTCCAATCCTCCATGTCCAATCCTCCATGTCGCATCTATGCCACGTGACATGGACAGAGAGAGTGGGAGAGAGGTCGGGGAGGAAAGCTCGAAAATGGGGTTTATCTGGAGTGTGAATGTGAGATGCAGCATTTGAAGTAGAGTGCTTTTGTCTGTGTCTTTTGTGTATTGCCATGTAACTGTCAGGGCTCTCAATTCATAACCCATTCGAGCGAGGCCTATGATCTCTTTCTGACAAGCGCACTAACGGATGACATCAAGCTGTGGGATCTGAGAACAAACCGGTAAGAAAATTGTGTTTTGCAGGGTGTGAAGTATGAAAGTAATCTATCGTGAGGAAAAGAAATCACGTTGACAGTTTCTTGATGACTTTGGCGGTATTAGTGATGAGCTTGGTTGCCCCTACGTGTGCAACACACACTTCCAGCCGAGGTGTGACGTGCTCCTCATGTGCTCCGGATTGCAGTCGTGAGTCAGTCAAGTGTCAAGTTTGACTGGAAGTGTGTGTTCCACGTAGGAGCAACCAACTTTAGTTACTGTAAAGGCCTTGTATAACGAAGTTCTAAATCTAACGAGTTAACGAGGAGAAATCTGTTTTTATAATAGAAAACGTTACACAGAAATCGATACTTATACTGTTGCTAGTGAGCGTTGAGAGTGAGAATCGTTCCCTTTGATACACGTAAACCAGTCAAATTTAGGGAATCGTTATACTGCGGCTCGATGATATGTGCAACCCCGGCCCCGGCAGTCTGACCGACGGCCCACCTGTAGCTGGGATCTCGCACATAATTATGAGGAAAGAAACTGAAAAGTCCTTATGTGCTTACTTGTCAGCGGACTGGCTAGTCCAGCCAGCTGGGATCCCGGTTCAAAGCACCCAAGCCCTCGCCTGCCTTGGCAAGCCGGTTCACAAAAGTAGTGTATAGTTTGTTTGCTTACATGTCCTAGATCCAGTCTGACCGTCAACCAGCCCAGCCCAGTCTGCCATCATTTTTCAATCCAGTCCATGTTTCTAGTACAGTCGTGGCCAAAGAAATCCGACTCCCCTGGAGTCAAAAGTAGCGCTGCGTTTCCATTACATCATGCACGGTCCGAAACTCATTTAAGGGCAGCAGGGGCCGCATGAGCCTTGATGCTGCTTTCAGTTCATGGGGCGGATTTCTTTGGCCACGACTGTACATTTTCACCATGGCCACTGTTGATAATAATATTTATCTGGCCACCGTTGCTAATGTGTGTTGTTTGCACATGATACAGCTGTGTACGTCGCTACCATGGGCACATGCAGAGAGCTCACCAAGTCGGCATGTCCTTCAGTCCATGTTCTCGATTTGTAGCTGCAGCATCGGAAGACCGCTCGGTGAGTGAATTCATGTAATTGTTGATGACTGGGTGACCGGGTGACTTTTTCAGGTTAACCTTAGCATGCATTGGGTCTACCACATGATGGGCTTCAAAGTGAGACGTCAAAGATTACTGGTGTGATTTTGTTCTATTGCAGTAGTAACCTGGATCAACTTCGAAGTAGACAAACAAATGGCTGTTGCTTGCGGAAAAATGCGCTGGACTTGCACCATAGTTGTCTAAGTTAAAACGAAATTGAGATGCGTTTTGTTGGCCCTTCTGCCTGACAAATGTGTAACACGCTACTTACCCATACATGCATTGCCCTATCTATTTACTCTGTACTCTCATGAGTTGATTGTTGTACCAGATCCTTTCCTGGATCAGTTATCCCTATCCATTCCCGTACTGTGCCTGATGATGTGCAAGTACAATTCACATGCATGGCTATGTGGGTGGCATGCAGGTGTATATTTATGACATACGTCAAACAGCACACCTGCATCGTCTGAGTGGTCACAGTGACACGGTCAGTGATGTCACTTTCAATCCCAAGTATCCACAGGTTAGTCCTGGCTACCGTCATGCTCATACTGCCTCTACTGCCTCTAGGCTTCTTTCTATTCCAATGTTAGAACAACTTAGTAGCAGCAGTGAGCAGTGAGGCTTCCTGCAGCTTCATTCATAGAAAGTACATGTAGTTTAGAGCAGACCCACTCTTTCCCATACACTCTGCAATATATCAAACTTATTTATGAACAAGTGCGTTTGGGCAAAATTGCCCTCATCCGGTTTGCAGTGAATGGGAAGAGCGGGTCTGCTCTTGATGTCGGCTCTATTCTTTCCAAATCCTATTATGCATGACATGTACATTGCACTGCTGATGCACTGGTATGTGTAGAGCAATGTAAGCGTGCGCTTCCCCGATAGTAGCTCTGCAGGCCTGATTTATGATTGTGGCACTCGTACGATGATCTTGCCCAAAAGCATCAAGCAGTCTGAATCATGTGCATGCATGCATGTGTGTGCGTGCATGCGCGCGCGTGTGTGTGTGTGCGCATGTGTGTGTGTGTGTGTGTGTGTGTGTGTGTGTGTGTGCATGTGTGTGTGTGCATGCGGACCATGCCTACACTGCTTGTCCACGCCTGTGCATACTCTACAGCTGTGTTGCTCCACATTGGATGGCAGACTGTTTGTGTACAACGACAAACCCGTCTAGCTGTAGCTAATATAGCTTATTCCTGTAGCTACAACTGCTGTACATTGTGTGTACAGTTGTTGCACACCTGCCGTACAGCTATGGACAATCTCATCATTCTAGCCACTTTCACTTCCTTTCCCCAGGAGACTCCCTTTGATAGGCATCCATTTGCCTCTGGAGAATTCTTGAAAATGTAATAAATCTGACTAATAACAGTTACCGTAATGTCGTGTATAAAAGCAGGTGCTTATGGCCGTATACGCCGAGGTTCAAACCATGCTTCTATTCAAGTTATGCTTCTATTCGAAACATGCTTCTACGTCAACATCTTCTGTCTACACTGTGCAGTGCACATTGTCACGTATGTAGTGAGTGTGCAAGTACATGATACATGCATGCTTCTATTCAAATCGTGCTTCTGTGTCATGGCACGCTTTGGAAAACCAGCTTCTATTCGAGGCATGCTTCTATATGGGTCATGCTTTTATACGCGACACTACAGTATGTGAGCTTATTATTTTTATAGGATAAGACGAAGACATGTGGTCTTCTCAGCTTGCCATGGCAGAGGAGTGCAAAGTTCCACAGTCCACCTCCGCTGCTTCCATGGAGTTTTGCACCTCTGCTGCTTCCATGGAGTTTTGCAAAAGGCCTCGGAGGAACACCTCTATATTTTGTGAACTCCTCCATCAGTCACTTAGCAACAGTGCTGTGAACTCCTCCATCAGTCACTTAACAACAGTGTTGTGAACTCCTCCATCAGTCACTTAACAACAGTGTTGTGAACTCCTCCATCAGTCACTTAACAACAGTGTTGTGAACTCCTCCATCAGTCACTTAACAACAGCGTAGGGTCAAGTTTAGGGTAAATGTTAGACCACCGTTACAGGACTCTGGTCTGAGTCTTGGTAGCAGGCATTATCAACACAAATATTATTTATGTACATGAGTGTGCATCAGGGAAATTGTTGCCGCGACTTTCATTGGAAACTATTTTAATTTAGAGACCGCGTACTTGAACGAATCAAGCGGAGGTGGTTCTGCTTGTGCAAGCGATTGTGAGTTTGAGTGCATGAGTACTGTACAGGGCATGATGCAGGCAATACGCAATGAAGGCAACACACCATACATGTCATTTGAAACATAACACGGTTGCATGTAAAGTACATGTAAAGTTGTGAACTCAAACTAACAACCCTCCGGTTTTTTTCTAGCCATATTTATCCAAAAGAAATAATTTATTCAGTGTGACATAATAATTTTTTTATGTATTGTAAAAAAGTGAAAAACGTGCATCTAATTTGAAATCCTAGTACATATATACTGTAGTATTGTAACATTCTAAAAAATGTCATGAATATCATGAAAGAGTATCAACTATACTTGCAATGGCTTTAAAAATGTCACTCTGATGGCAAGAACACTGGACCTATGGAATGTGCAGAGAAAAGAGAAGGCAGCGTCGGCAGGTTCATTGTCTGCACAAATACAAACACAGCCACAATATGCCATGTACTGACCAAGGTACATGCGCATAGCACTCAAAGAAGCGGCTATACAGCAGTGGGACTCCACTATAGCCGTCAACGACTTCCACAATATCCTAACAAGCTACAAAGGCATTATTATAAAAGCATAGCCAATGGAAGGTGCGGGGGGAATTAGCTGGGATGTTCAAAGTATAAAGCTGTTGAAGATGACCAACATGAAAAGTAACACAAAATATATGGCAGCAGGGAGAGCGAGAGCTTGCTAAAACAAATGTTGCTTCTGAAGCAGAGAATTTTGAAGAGAAACACCGTGGAAGTTCAGTTAGTTGAAATGTGTCCGTTATCCATGATTTTCCTTCTGAAGCTAACACTTACTTTCAAAGATATTTTTGGTTGGCCCAAGTTGCAAGGGGTATTTTGGCACTATAATTTTTGAACAATGACTAACGGAGATGAGTGAGCACTCTTGAAGTGAATACTGGCTCGATGAGTGATGATGGCATCCAGCTATCAATTAAAAGTAAAAAATAAAAAGTCCTGGTTTGCATGAGAGTCTGTCCAACTGACATTTGAGAATCAGCAGGGTCACCACCCTAACAGTCGTGACCGAATATTGCTACAGAATAGACCAGATGACTGGGCGATGACTATTACATGTGCCGCAAGTCCATAGTATCTGAAGAGAAAAAGTAGAAAAGGCACCAAGGCTTCTGTAGCTAGGGCTTGCTATGAACATTACTGTGTTGTTTTATGGACCATTCACACTACGCCCAAATCGTGGCGTACGTGACGTTTTCGTCTGGGTAGCCATGACAACATGGAACATGGCGGGAAAACCGTACCCCTGATACGAAAACGTAGACGAAGTATCCAGACCCCTGTACCGAGTTTCGTTCTGTCGTTCCCAGCAGTTTGTGTCCAAAAGAAGCTGTACACACAACAGTACGAGCAGCGCGTACGTGCCTGTGTGAATGCACCTGCATGAAAACGACGTCAGCCAGTACGTCGTGTTCCAAAACGTGACGCGTATTGTAACGTAGTATGAATAGCCTATTACTCTTGTTCGAGTGAAAGAGTGTGCAGCCTATATACGGTAAACAGTCCTGATCAAACCAAACACAGCGTGCCGCAATCCAGCGATGACATCACCGAGACGAGTCGAAGAATACATTCGGAATGCAAAATGGCCGATTCCAGAGCCAGTTCTATTTGGGAACAAGGTTATCCGGTGCTCTCGAACAGGAGGCAGCAACATTGAGCTGCTGAGGTAATGGGGTGCACTGTATACTATATGCCACTGCCTACTTTGTGTAATGTTTTGTTTTTCAGCTGATGACGTAGGCAACTAGGCATGCATACAATCAAGAGTCCATAAACAAAGTATGCAAGTGTGATCTCTTTTCTATGGGCCAGATGCGCACTTTCCCTCTGGTTTGAAATGAACTTTCGTACGGAACTGGAGGTCACGCGCTAACATTTAGAGATCGCGTAGGTACTGGAACAAATCGAGCAAAAACAGATGGGCTTGTACGAGAAATTGTGGGTTTGAGTGCATGCTTTCAGAGCGTGATTAAGGCAAGTTATGTAATGAAGGCAGCGCGCCGCACACTGGCCCATAACCACAGTTGCATACTCTTGTTTACGCACTCTTGATACAATTGAAAAGGCTGAAGACTTTGCCAAAAGCCTGACAGAAAAAGGAAAAAAATAACAGAAGATGTAGTCTTCGGGCCACAGAAACAAATACATGCACCCTAAAATACCATTGATCCGCCCTGGGTAGGCTATCACACCTCACAATACTGTTGTACACACTTGCTTTCTGTATTCTTCCAAAGTTCAGCTAGTCCATCAACAGCAGCAGCAGCAGCAAATCTAATCCAAGTAGCACTGCAGTGTAGAGAGAATTCAAAGAAACCTTACCATTGTTGCCCTTGTGAAGAGAAGGATTCACTGCTCATGTCTAGATGCCAAGCCAAGCGCCATAAATATGCTCAAGTGGGCGACAACAGATAAATCTGAAGCGAGGAAGAAAGAGTCACGGACAGACAGACCAGGGATGAATTTACTGTCATATTTTTGTATAGCAGTTTCTGCTATACGAAATCACAATTGTGTAGCAGTCTTTGATTTTGGTTAGCATTTTTTCTTTGGAGGTAGGGTATTTACCACATTGTCCTTCTTGAGAATGATGCCTGAAAGCCCATTTGCAAAAAACCGACTGAAGCATACATGTGCACGCAGATTGAGAGTGCCTGCACCACATACACTGCACTGTATGCATGTTACTTGATAGCACAGGCTAGGCATGGATAGTCTGTATGTATCGCAATTTTCTGCGAGTCACGGTGACTTTTGAGTAGCAGTAGATCGATTTTGCATCGCAAACTGCGATGCGATACAGGATAAATTCATCCCTGCAGACAATAAAAATTATGTACAGGTCCTCCCTCATTACAACGAGTCCGGTTAGTACATAAACCCCGTTAAGGCCACCCTTTCTTTTTTCGTTGTTTAACGTCCGCGCCCGCGTACCTTTTTGCCTCCGACCGGGAAAAAAAACAAGAAAGTAGTAGTACCAATAATATGCGAAGTTGTAAATACATGATTGTGTAGTTTCACAGTGTGCCGATCATGACCTTAAACTTATA